GCCAAGGTAGTGCTCATTGCCATTTTAAATATTTAGAACTTTAAGATCTCTACTGCTGTTACAAAGGTGAAATGATCAAGAACACCTTGGAAAAATTTTAAATGTGGTCAATACCAAATTTCCAAGAAACCATACAGATACTTGTTCTTAAGACATGATAACTTATTCCAAGCACATATTAGTGGAACTCCACCCAACCCTACAATTCTGAGTGATAAGAAGCACCAGGGAATAACCTCACCATGCAGTAATTTAACCTGCTTTTTCCTTGTGGCTTGCCAGTGCTGAGAACATCAGGGAGTGGGGTAATCAGACACAGACCATCTGCAGCTGTGCTGAACTTGAATGTGGAACGGGAGGGACAGAAGGCTAATTCGAGGAAGCAGTTGTGCTGCAGTGCAATGTATTTTCCTTGATATTCATGTTTAACCTTTCCTTTTCCTCATCTGTTAAAAAAAATAGTTAAAAGTGATGATGACCTTTGAGGTTTTATGTGTTTTTATTTAAGCAAAATCATTCTTTTTTTCCAGATGAAAACTTATGTGAAGCCCAAATTTGAAAAACAGATGAAAGTTGAGCTGCTGGGTGAGAGTGTATATGTGTGTGTGGGTCGCTGGAGTCCACTCTCTTGATTTCATCTCCACCACTCTCAGAAACCTCTGGAACAGCTGTTTTAGAAAATGAGAAATAACTCCTTGCAACACAGTTTGAAAAGCATGGCTTAGTCTCTAATTTCTAGCTCAATTTAGTTGTATTATTTGGGTGTGGATTTAGGTCCACAATTGTTTCTATTTTTAAATAATTTTTATTTTTAAATAAAGATATTTCCATGTCTTAGATAATGGGTCATTATTCAAAGCAATCCTGAATACAAGAAAATCTAAATAAGAAACAAGATTTAAACAACATTTTGAGTTCACCACAATGGGCTTTAGTGAGAAAATGTTTCTGTGAAAGATTAGATGCTGTTCAGTATAGCACACAGAAAATATAATGAGCAAAACAACATCTCAGGATATTGTTATGCTTCAATTGTGATGAATGATCATTTATTAACTTGGCTGATGCCATGCTATGATGGCAAGTATTTCCTTACAAACAAGACACACTTTTATGCAAATATTGAAAAGTGTTCGCAAGGTCTTTGCTAAGGAAAAATAGTATCAATCCCCCAAACATATAAGATGTATGAAATTCAATATGCATCTTACTTACTTATAGAAAACTCTTAGTCTTGATGATGAAGCGTAAATTGAATTAATTAATAAATTTGATCAGAGCCCTTCCGGCTCTGGTTGTGATGAACAATTCAATACCAGTCCCCAGCTGGTAGGGGGATAGTGCAGTAATATAAGGAAAGATGTTAGCACAGGGGCTGTCATTGGTATGAGCCAGATGGGATCTATTTTTTGGCAATCATTCTTAGGAAAATGTTCCTACTAGCAGATTCCTTTGGTGGCACCAGCTGTACAGTTGAAGTCATACCTTTCACAGTGTCAGTAGCAGACTCTTTCAAGAAGCCACAGGCCTCTGCTCCTCTATTCTCTTTGAAAGACTAAGTTTGGCCACTCTCCTCTTCCCTTTTTAAAAATTTTATTTAATCCATGTTTTTTTCTTTTAGCACTGTGGAATGACATCACATTTCCTATTATTAGTCCAAAGGAGAGAGAAAGAAAAAAAGCATTATTTGGATGCAATCCTAGGAGATTTGGAGCAAGTGTAGGAATAAATGATGAGATATATATATATGTCTATGGATCTTGATTTCCTTCCAAATGCACCTTCTTAAGGGAAAGGCAATAACATTGACTTTTTTCATTTAATTTTTCTGCATAGGTAGTATTCAAATGGTTCAAAAGCCAGTATACATAAGTTTACAGTGAAAAGTCTTCCATCATTGTCCTCCAACTACCCCATTCTCCCCAATGGGTCACTCTTGTTCATAGTTTCCTGTATCACTTTCCATAAATTCTTTAGGCATATACAAACAAGTATAAATATGGATTCTTGTGTTAGGAAAACTAATCAGATGATTTTAATATCTGTTCCAGGAACCTGGTAGGTGTTTCTTCTCATATCCAAAGCTCTTCTACCAAATCCTTCTGATATTTTATTGTAAATGGTGTTACAAAGTACAGAGAACTCACTGGTGGAAGAGGACTTCCTATAACTGGCATGCTGAACAAGGGTAGCAAAGTGTAGACAAGTCCAGACTCTCAGAGTACACAATTTCCCTTTCTGTCACTGAAAGTAAAGGGAGAGAGCCAGAGGAGCAACAGATCCATACCCAGAAACAATTTACAGATGAAGTGTGGTTGCCTTTTCAAATCAACTGCTTTTTCTATTATTTCCTGAAGTCATTAAATAAACCATGACCAGTGCCGGGGCAGTTCAGCGAATTCAGAACAGATCCCTTGGTTTTGGCAAGTCACTCACCTGGCCCTAGAAATGGGGCTGGATTGAACCGGAGCTGAAAGAATTACAGTGTTTCCTTCCTCTCGATGACTCTCTCTGGGAACATGCCTGGAATGAGTGAGTGTGGGAGGCGAGGTGGTGTTCGCTCAGAGGCAGGGCTGGGTGTGCCTGTGGAAGCAGTGCTGTGCTCCGGGGTTATTTTGGGAGGCTATAATTCCACTGCTAGGTTTCCTAGCTCATCTGCTCTTACAACATTTTTCTTATCCTAACTTCCGTCCTCTCTCTTGAGATCTTGAAGTTCTCAGTGAAGCTAGAAGCAAGATAGATGGTTCAGGGGTCAGTCTTGGAAACCCATTCTAGTCAAAATTTTCTCACTCAATCCCATGTATTGAGTTAACATTACCAGAAAAAATGCAACTCTTAACTCCCACTCATATTAAGACTTGACTTTTGAAATTCTTCTTAACTAATTAGATAAAAACACAACTCCTAGTTGGATCATCCTCAAAACATCATTTATACATCAAACATTGGCAATGGCCATTAAGAACAAATTGTTTGAAGACTTCATGGCAGGCACAGTGCTTGGCATAAGTAAGTGCTCAAAAAAGATCTGGTAAATAAATACCAGTTAGCCCCAAATGCTCAGCAACGATTGATCATGTTTCTATGGCATTTTGTAAAAGCTAATATTTGCTTCTTCCCCTATAAATTCAGTAATTGTCAAAATGGTCTTTTAAAAATGGGCAAAAAGGTCAATTTAGTCTCAGGAGAGCACTTTCATTGTTAACCCCATTCTAGAAGTGGGAGCCAAGTGAATAGATGGACTGAATCAGGAAGATCTGGAATAAAATTTGCCCATCCATCCATCCAACAAATACTTATTAAATCCTCTATATGTTGAGACTAGGCAGGATATTCCTATATAAATCAATGTGAACAAAACAGCTTCACTTCTCATCCTCATGGAACTTACCATCTAGGAGAAGAGAGATTAAATAAAATAATCAAAGATTATGGTAATGTTTACGAAGGAAACCAACAGGAGGCTGAATTAGAGGACAATGGGATGAGAGTGTGTAGATATTGTAGATAAGGTAGGCAGAGAAGCCCTCTATGAGAAAGGCATTTAAGCTGAGACTCAAAGGATGAGCAGAATTTAGCCATGCAAAGAGTTGAGAAGATCATTTCTGGTGCAGGGATCAGCATGTGCAAAGGCTCTGAGGTAGGAAAGGACATCGTATATCAAGGGAACTGAAAGACTGGTGAGAATTTGAATTCCAGCTCTGACTTCAATAGCTGTGGAAAATCGAATAGGCTACTCAATCTTTTGAGCCCTCATTTCTTCATATTTAAAAATGAGCTAATGGCACATACCTCACAGGGTTGTTGGGAGAATTTAATGGGTATTAAATGAGATAACATGTAGCTTACTTGACTCACTTTATCTCTACACAAAGGTCTCTGAGACTCCAGTTGGTCCTCGTGACCCAATGTGCTCAACCTGTCTAGTCTCCTAACCATTTTATGTAGTCTTGGTAATCAATCATCACTGGAGCCAAAGAACGTCCTCCATCCCTGATTTTTCCACACTCAACAAGAGGAGAGAATAGGCACAGATTCCACTTGCTCATCTTATAAACTTTGGAAATCAAAAGAGAAGAGAGAGAGAGAAATACTGAGAAAGTGAAATGAGAGGATTTTCTTTTTTAAAATGTGCTTCATTACTTATGGAATAAATTTATAGAATACATTGTAAAGGTCAGGTAGGATTTTGTTTTTACATCTGAGGAAGGTTGAGGTTTGGAACTAGTGTTCAGAAAACAGAATAAAGAGAAATGAAATCGTAGTCATTGAGTATCCCCATTGGGTAATCAGTAGATGGCAGACACAGTGCTTGGCAAGTTATGCACTTTATTTCATTTAATCTCCACAAGAATCCTTCAAGACAGGTCTCCTTAGCCTCATTTTGAAGATGAGGCTCAGAGGGAAACACTGACTTCACTCAGTCCCTCTCTTATCTTGTGGAATTTAATATGGAATTGAACAATTCTTTGATAATGATGAAAGTCTATGAAGTTAGTATATGGTGTATGTAGTTATATAGTTTTTTAAAACACCTTATTCTTGTGGTAGTACCACATTATCATTAATTGATTAGTCATTAATGATGATAAATAATAATGATAATTATTAATTACAATTGACAATGATAATAATGCCATTGTCATGAATTTATTTCAACAAACACTTACTGAATACCTAATTGCATCTCAGGTATTATAGTGGGTAGAGATACATAGTGCACCGCTTGTTTTGGGCATGGAGAATAACTGATAGTCCACTGCAGCTAGGGTGTGCAGTGGGGCAGGAGTGGTTAGCAGCTTCGAGCTGATGAAGGGTCTTGATGCCATGATAAAGAGTTTTGGATCTTGTCCTATGAAAGATAGGCACATGATCAGAGTAGCACTTTAGAAAGACTGCTCACATAGCTATTTTTAGACAAGGCTTTCTAAGCACCAGTTTATCCTGTAAGGTCATGTTGGTAACCTTTATCGTACATTGTGCTCCCTTTATCTTTTCAGGAACAGTGGATGGTGCCATGGACTTGATCTTGATCAATTCCCTACCTCTTGTGTCTGATGCTGAAACATCCCTCACCTGCATTGCCTCTGGATGGAGCCCCCACGAGCCCATCACCATAGGAAGAGACTTTGAAGCCTTAATGAACCAGCACCAGGATCCACTGGAAGTTACTCAAGATGTGACCAGAGAATGGGCTAAAAAAGTTGTTTGGAAGAGAGAAAAGGCTAGTAAAATCAATGGTGCTTACTTCTGTGAAGGGCGAGTTCGGGGAGAGGCAATAAGGATACGGACCATGAAGATGCGCCAACAAGGTAACATACCCCTTAGTTGTGGGCAGTTGAGGTCCACTGAGACACACACACACACACACAAACACACACACATGCCTTTTGTTTTAGTAGCTGCTCACTCGGAGGCTGAACATGAGCTGCCTGAGTATGATGCTTGAAGATCTTGTCTGCCTCTTTCCAAGGCTTGCTGTCTCTGGTACACAGAACATTAGAGATCAAAGAGACCATCAGTGCAACTCCCTCACTTTCAACCCCTGCACTAGACATTGTGCCTAGTTCATGAGATGAAATGAAATATATCATATATTCTACTAAGGGCTCCGGGATCCTTACAGAGATATGAACATGTTATGTGTATGTGGTATAAAAATCACAGCAATGAAGACAACTCTCCATTGCCTCTTGGCTCTTTTGAACTTTTTCATTTGATTTTTTTGTTTGCTTGCCCCTGAGTATTCTAAATATAGTTAAGTTTTTCAGGGAAAAAATATAGTAAAAAATCAAAAAGTGAAACATCTATCAATAACTCAATCTAATTGGTTACTTGGTATATCAGTTATCTGTTGTTACAATAATGATGTGTAACACACAACCACAAACCACAGTGGTGTACAATAATAAGAGTATAGCTTGTGAGTCTAAGTCAGCTGGGTTGACTAGGGGCCTCTGCTGATCTTGGCTGGGTTTTCTCACATGTGTGGGTGGTGGCTGGCTGTGGGCTTATTCGGCTGACCTTGGCTGGGGCAACTTGGCTCTGTTCCATTATCCTTTAGCAGGCTAACCAAGCTAAGTTCTCCTGGAGATGGCAGAGGTGCAAGAGAACAAGTGGTGGAAGCATATGAGGCTTCTTGAACCCTAGACTCAGTATTGTACACTCTCACTTCTACCTAATTTTACTACCCAAAGCAGGTCAAATAGCTGAGCCTAAAGTCAGAATGGGAGGTACTACCAAGTTAAATGGAAGGAGTAAGGATACAGGGAGGGATGAAGAATGGGGACCCTTTTTGCAGGCTACTATTCTTGGAAAGAGACCATAATTTAATTTTAGCAGTCAGGTCCCCAAGCCCAGCTCACAGAACTCCAGAACTTTGAAGGAGGATGTTGAGAGCCTTCTGCAAGGGGAGAGTGTTACTCCTTGCTTCTGCCTCACGAGGCAGTGATGTGGTGAGCCTTTCTCCCATAATAGAAATGTGTCCTAAGCAATATCTTTAGGCCAGTCCATGGATGGCTGTTGGAGGAGATAGCATTGAAAACATTCTTTAGTGATTCTGTTCTGCTCTAAGGCTCCAAGGCTGGACAGGGAGGTAGCCTTCTAGTGTTCTTGATGCTATCTGCTGGGAGGAAGGTACAGATTTCAGCAGAGATAACCTCTGCTTGTTCTCACTGGAATGATCTGGCCCCTTACCCACAGCCCCCTTTTCTGGCTGGTCTACCTAGAATGAAGGAGTCCTTACCAAATTAACATCATCGTAACCACAGGAGGCTGTGGACTGAGTGTGTCATTTTATGAGATAATGACAATGTAAGTTCTTCAGGGTTTAATTTTTAATTGTGAAACTGATCCAGATAAGTAACACACCTTTGCACGTTTCTCTGATTGGCAGTTTCTTATATAAGAATGTGCAGTTCTTTAGATCAGTGCTTCTCAAAGTTGAAAGTGCTTATAAATCACCAGTGGGTCTTGTTAAATGTGGACTCTGATTCAGTAGGTCCTTAGGGTGAATCCTGAGATTCTGCATTTCTAACAAGGTCCCAGTGAAAAGGTACCCCTGAGCCGTGGACCAGACTTTAAGGAGCAGGAGTTTAGAGTTAGCCCCTAGCTCGAGTCCACCTGAAAACATTTCTTTGAATTTGCCAATGGCGGTAATTAAAAGATTTGAAGGCAGCAAACTCATTTTAAGGTCAAAAGTGATAAAATCACTATTCATTAGATTAGAAATAAAGGAAAGAGTTTTCTTAGCAAAACTGTGATGTTCACCTTTAAATGACACTAGGCGACTGGGAAAAGTGCACAGCAGAAATTCCCAGGAATGCGGCTCTCCGGTGAGGGAAGAGAGGTTGAACAAAGGATGTGAGGTGTGCCAAAGCTATCATGGCTGACAAGGCAGCTCTATTATTTTTCATATTTCATTTGGGATTTGGTTTGTATAAAGAGTTATGTCCTTCTGCTGATGTTTCCACATTCTGAATGAAGATGGTCTGAGATTTGTGCCAGTGGTTCCATAGGAACGTAATGTGCAGTGCCATGGCGCCCTTTCTGGGCTGTCCTGGGGCTGTCGTTGACGATGTATAAATAAGAACCTGTAAAGAATATTAAACCGGAACACTAGGAATCAAAAGCCAACTGTAGTGATCCCTCCAAACTGAGAGTCCAGGTCACCACAGATAAAGGATAGCTCAAGTTCAGTTAAATGAGGCGAAGGCAGGCGTGGATAGCCAGCAACGGTGGAGAGAAGATGGCTTTTAGATTTATACCCACCTGAGTTTTAATTCTTTCTCCACCACTTACCAGCTGTGTAGCCTTCGGCAAGTTAACCTCCGTTGGTCTCATTTTTCATCGTCTGTGAGATGGGTATAATAATATCTTCAAAATTGTCTTGTTTTAAATAAGATGGTATATGCAAGAAGCCAGTTCCCATGAGTGCATTTAAGATAAGATTTGATTTACATAATAGATGCTTCGCCAAATGCTTGTGTAAAGAGAGACTTTGCAGAATAAGTTACATAATAATAACGCTAGCAGTTTGTAAATGGTGGGAATGGGATCTGATGCCAACAGATCTGACTTCAGAGCCTGTACATATGACTCTGTCCTGCCCTCTGTATGTCGCTCTCACTTAATGTTAACCACCCTCCCCCATTCTGAGCACGTGTTTTGTGAAGTAGAGTGAGTCCAACTGAAACACTAAGAAAGCCATCCAGGGCACAGAGGAGAGGCATGGGAGTGGAAGTCAGCCAGACATGTGGCTGAGCCCAGCTCTGCACCTGAACTCTATGACCTAGGGCAAGTTACTTAATTGAAATCATAGTTTTCGCATCTGAAAAAAAATGGGGAAAGAGATTTTACCACATGCATTTGAGAATCAAATGAGATCATCAACATTATCCGGCTCACAGTAAATGTTCAATGATTATCATTATTATAGTGCCTTGGAATAAGCAATAATTTACTGGGACTGTTAATTTTCCTACTCAATTGTGGAAAATTTTAACATCATCTATTAACATAATGGTGGAGATTTCTACAAAATAGAAAAATAGGTAGTACTTTCTCTCTCGTGTTTAATAATAACGTTTTAATAATAACAACACCTCAGCATCAGGCTGTTGAGCTGATTCGGTTTCTTTTGCAGACCATCCAATGGCTGAAATATGGTGCGAGGAAAGTGATATCATTTATGGTGAATTAGGAAAACCTCCAAAACTCTGTCTTCATGACACTGTTAATTGCCTAGTAAATCATCGTGGGAACTCAGAAGTGCCTGCCCAGGGACACAGCAGGATAGGATAAACATCCATATATTCCTGCTCGCTGCTGACTCCCGCATCTGGGGAGGAAGTGGAAAATCCATTTGCCATGTGCCAAAACATGGCTTGAGTTGGCTCGCATAGCCCAACTGGCCAAACTGTTTTTATCAATGGCATCATCCAAAAAAGTCAAAGGCAATTTGTTCAAACCTCACTGGTGATTTCATTCAGGGGTAAGGAGGCAGAAATGAAGTTTGAAATGTTTTCACACCCCAAGATCTGTTTCAGAGTGTCCCATCAGAGGAAACATAGGTTATCTTTCTTCCTATTTTCATTTAAGAAATAGCTGTACTTTAAGAACACCAAAATTCCCACACATGATTTGTGAAGTTTATAGAGAGGAGCCATTTGTATCTAAATGACACAAATAAACATGTTAAAATGCATAAAGAAAATAGGAAAATTTGAAGTCAGACATTCATTTATTCTTTCATTTCACAAGTATTCTTAGGCCTCTGTGCCTCACTCAAGAAATGCAATGATGTTAACATTTTCTGAATACTTCTTGCATGCCTGATGTTCCCTTGGTAACTTGATATACATTACTGTATAATTTAGTCTTTACCAAATGCATGTCTGATTTGAACTATTATGACCCCATATTAATAGATGAGGCTAAAAGCAGTTGTAACTTAGGGGCATTCCCAGCATTGGCTCCCAGTGTTGGCCCTGGGAAGGGTAACACTCACCTGATCCCAGAGGCCAAGCCCTACCTACCACCCTGTGCTACCTTTCAGGACAGACTGCCTTCCTGGAATGCTCAGTCCAGTAGGGGAGATACACTGAGTGGGGCTATAATGGGAACATGCAGGTATGAGGCACTTAACCTGGATTCCAGGGCCATATAAGGTCCCTGGAGAAAGTGACATCTAAATAGAAACTGATGCATAAGTGGGAGCTGGTGGGATGTACGACAAAAGAAGGAGCAGAAGGGAAGGCAGGAAGTTCATGACTTGGACGTGAGTGATCACATGGTCTGTTGGCGGAACTGATCTATGAATCAGAATGGCTGGAACTGAGAGCTAAGGATGCAGGCCTGGAGGAGGATGAGTCTGGAGAGCTGGTGTTGTGGAACAAGTGGGGAGGTCTTGAGTTTGTGTCTCAACTTTCACACTTATTCATTGTCAGGAAGCCTTGAGTAAGGGACTTAGTCACCTTTAACTCCATTTCCCACGTCAGTAGACGTGGATATCCTGTCTTCACGGGGCTGTTGTGAAACTATAGAAAATAATAATGGACATAAAACTACGCTGTTACTCTTAGTCCTTATCTATCATTAAATTAAAGGAAACAACTGAAATTTTGCTCAATTATTTTTCGTCAATGAGAAACATCTTTGTTTATAATGTTTACTACCATCTATTCTCTTCTCCAGTCCTTAAGGCATAAGTGAGTTGTATTCTTAGTTAAATTCTGTCGACTAATTAGCCCATCCCAATGATCTTGAGCAAGTCATCTAACCTAGGCCTCAGCAATCTCATTTATAAAGTGAGGTGGTAGGCCTTTAAAGCCTTTTGAGGGCTAGCATTATACAACTGATGAGAGGTCTCTGGAGCCAAGTTACCTGGTTCAAATCCTGGCTGTCTCATGAAATTGCTGTGTAATCTTAGACAAGTTACTTAATCTCTCTGTACCTTAATTTCCTCATTTGTAAAATTAGAATAATTGTAGTTCCTATCTCATAGAGATAGTATGAAAATTAAATATATGTAAAGTGCTTAGAACAATGCCTGGTCCCTAGTAGGCACTATTAAAATGTGCTTATTTCTTTCATGATCCATTTAAGTCATGTGACATCAGTCTTATGTCAACACATTGTGTACGGGCTGGGCTCCTGGGTTCCAAAGTATAACATCAAGGCTGTGGACCCCTTCCTTAGTGCTCCAGAGAACAATCAACAGAGAGACATTAATGCAGGAGGTGGCAGGCTGGGACAGCCAGTGGAACTCTGGGGTGACTGTGTTCCTACCTAGGAAAACAGGGAGCTTAAAAGGCACAAAGTCTCAAATAATAAAGAGCCACAGTGTGGGGAAAAAGAAAAGCCACAATGGAGTTGTGCCTAGTAGGGAATCTCAGTTCCTTTTCAGAACACAATGCTGAGGGAGAAATCCCACGGTCACCTAAACAATTTTCATACAAAGGGTCAGAAAATATAAACAAACCGCACAGAAAGGAGCAACAGCGTGACATGGTCAGAAAAACTCTCCCAGGAGCCCAGGAGCGCAGGGGCCCAGGGGCATGTCACAGGGAGCAAGAGCTGCCCACGTTAGAATTGCTGAATGCAGCACCTTGTCAGAGTGAGAGGGAGACCCCAAAAGTCCCCTCACACAGTCCCCTGCTTGCCTTCCCTATATGGCCGGTCCATTTGAGTACTGCTGAGAAGGCTGCCACTCATGTCCATATTACCAATGTCAGCACAACAGTGTGGCTGTTTATTTATATTTGGGAAGGATACTGACCTCTTCTAAGCACCTGGGGCCTTGGCATACATCATTTAATATTCCTAACAATCTTTTAAGGTAAATATTTTTACTTCCACCTGACAGATGAGGAAACTGATGTTCAGAGGTGAAGTAACTCGCTCAGAAGGACAGTAGTGGTAGAGGGTGGCCTCAAGCCCCGGGCTATCTTATCCCAGGGCTCACAGTGCCCTTTGATCTACACCATTCCCATCTGTGTTTGCCCCATGTCACTGTCTGCACCAAGGCATTTATGTAGGGGTCCTGGCAGGCCACTCTGCCTGGGTCAGTAGGCACAGAGGAAAACAAGCAGGCGAACCTAAAGCCCCGGTCCTTCTGAGTGTGGGTCAGAGGCAACTTCTGGCCTCCTGGGTTAGCTCTCTAAGCCAGCAGTGCACATGGCACTTGGTCAGCCTCTCTCAAGCCACCAGTCGGAAAGTCACAGATGAGACAAGAATGAAGGCTGACTCACCCACGGTCCTCAGCGAGAGTCTCTCTGGTCCTCAAGACTTGGTCCTAGGCTGAAACTCTATAAGAATTCAGACCTTAGGGCACAGAGTGTTTTGCTATTGGTCTCAAATTTAGGTGCATTCTGGTCAGAGAATTTGTTCTACAGGATATTGATTCTTGGTTATTCATGGAGATGTGATTTATGGCTTAACAGGGAAGCAATATGCTTGAAAATAACATGTATTCAGATAGCTGGGTACAAGGATCCATGAATATCCAACAGACCTTTAATTGTGTTGTTTAAATCTATCTTTGTCCTTGGTATTTTTGGTCTGTTGGATGAATCAGTTTCTGAAAGTATCCATTATGCTTGTGGATTTGTCTGTTTCATCCTTTAATCCAGGCAGTTTTTATTTCAGGGGTTTTAAAGCTCTGTTGTTAGATGCATATATGAGTTCAGGATTATTATATCTTCCCAGTGGATGGGTCCTTTTTATCATCATGTAAAGACCATCTTCATCCCTAAAATTTTATTTTGGCTTTAGAATAAGTTTTTCTTCTGATATACATATTGCAATATCAGCTTCTTTCAGTTATTATTAGTCCAGTATATATTTTTCTGTCCCTTTATTCTCAATCTTGTGTGTATGTCATTATGTTTAGCTCATGAAAAGAGCACATAGTTATATATATTTTTTTAATTCATTCTGAAAGTCTCTAGCTTTTAACGTAGATTTGGCTTCTGCCATTTTGTTCTGTCTTTTCTGTGTTCCATGATTTGGGTTGTGGGGGGTTCCCCCCCCCCTCCTTTTATGTCTTCTGTTTAGTTTCATTCTCTCCTGCCCTCCAGCTACAGAAGGAATTCTGTTTCTCTTTTTTTATTGGTGATCCGTACATTTTTTACGTTGACTTAAATTATATGTCAATTATACCTCAATAAAGCTGACATTAAAAAATTGGCTTAACTTCATAAAGCCTGAAGTTAATCCCCCCTTATTCTTGTAGTTGTGGCTTTCTGCAGGTTATGGTGTCAGTTAAAGGAATTCAGAAAATGTTGTGGCTGGAAGTACGTTAGAAGATTTTATTCACACATCTTGTCCAATAAACTAAGGAACTCAGGCAATGTGGTGTTCCAAGCCAGACACAGAGACAGAAGTTTCCAAAATGATCTTATAAGACAAATATACAGTAACTTCTCCAGTCTCCTCCTAGTACTGTTCAGTCCCATGACTATGCCAGTTCATATACAGATAATTAAAAGGTAGAAGGCAAGTATTGGATCCCATCTTTGACTTATTCTTCAATATTCCAATATTTACAGCATTAGTAATAAATATAGCATTGTGCTGATTCCGTTTGAGAAATGCTTGGGGAATTCTAAAGCAATGAGAATTATTTGGAGCCACAATAACCCAAAAGGACAAAGGGACAAGCCATTTGGCAAATGTCTGGCCATTCATATTCCTTTCCACTTTGAGGAAACTTGGTAGGGATTTGAAGAATGCTGGCAGATTCATACTTAATATAGTTTATAGTTAATATCAGGTCTTCATTTGGTAATAGATATTAATTGGCACAAAGTCCTCAGCACCCCCCAAAACAATTGCATGGAAAAATTGTGTATATGCATATTGTGTGTATATATTTACCTTTTTACAGAGGAAGTGACCATTCCTTTCATCTGATTCTTCAGAAGGTATATAACCTCAAGAAAGGTTAAAGCACCTTAGCTACCACTGTTTTTAATACGAAGACCAGCTGACTCCTGCCTATCGCCAGCCCTCATCTTCTAAAGTTCAAAGTTTAGTCGCTCTTGAAGAAAGTGTGCGATCTGATTTTTCTCATTTGTTTTCTCTCGCTCTTTTAAAAGCTTCCTTCCTACCAGCTACACTAACTATGACTGTGGACAGGGGAGATAATGTGAACATATCTTTCAAAAAGGTGTTGATTAAAGAAGAGGATGCAGTGATTTACAAAAATGGTGAGTATGTGTTTTGTTTCCTTCCAGCACGATGGTGTGAGACATCAGATAGCACAAAACATATCGAGTTGTTATCCTATTGCAGTCTTCGGGACAGACGTTTGAAGCACAGCTCCTATGAGGCAGGCTAAGGCAATTCTGTGATAGAAGCTCTCCCAGGCAAGGTTTGTTGATTTAGTCCAATAAATTAAAGTGGAGAGTCATATACATACATGAATGTGCATATATTGTACATTTATGGATGTATAATATGAATTATGGATGTACCATAAAACCCCATGCTGGTGTGATTTCTGCCATGTAAAATGTTTGGTTGTTTGATTGCAAGTTTAAGGAAATGACCAGAGTGAACCTGGGAGCCAATTGGCAGTAGTTCTGGGGGTCCAAGTGTGCAATCCAAATCTGTCTAGGGCCAACTACGGTTTGGCATCCCTTGGTGGCAGTTGTCTGGTTGAGCTGAAATATTTATGGGGATTATTCTGAGTTCTGTGGAGGGATAGGGTTTCCAGATTGGAGTGATTCTAGGTATCTCCTGGTTAATCAATTAGTTGGCAGGGTTACCTGACATCTCCCACCAGCTTTGCCTGTTCAGCTCTCCCTGCAGAAGATAAGAACTCTAGCCTACCCTTGTTTCATGTGTTTCGTAGTGGGTCCCATAGACTAACCTATCTGCTCAGTCACCATAGCTTTCTTGACTGTTAGGAGAGCACCAAATAGCTCAGCCTTTTCATTCCTCAGCCACATCCAATATGCTAGAGCACATTTTCCATGTCAGGTCAGGGAAAGCTGATCGAGTGGAGGGACCAGACAAGGAAACAGGAGTGTTTGAGTGTGACCATTGTTCTCCGCTCTCCTCTCCTACCAGGTTCCTTCATCCATTCAGTGCCCCGGCACGAAGTACCTGATATTTTAGAAGTGCATCTGCCTCATGCCCAGCCCCAGGATGCTGGAGTGTACTCGGCCAGGTACATAGGAGGAAACCTCTTCACCTCGGCCTTCACCAGGCTGATAGTCCGGAGTAAGTGACTGAGAGCCCGCCATCTGTGATGGTATAGTTGTTAGGATTTTCAGTTGCAAGTAACAGAAACTGACTCTGGCTGCTTAATCAAAAACCAGGGATTGGTTCGAAGTTTACTAAGGACTCTTAGAAAATTGATGGAAAAGCTGACAAGCAAGTTTCTAGAAAAGATAGGCTCCAAGGAAGATCTGGGGCTCAGCGCTGTGGGAGAGAGGGTGGGCTTTCTCTCAAGGATGCTAACTTAGCTTCAGTGATGTTTCTTTGAATTCCAAATTTTGAATTCCCAGGAGAGAGAATCAAATTGGCCTAACATATATTGCATATCTACTCGCCTAGACCAATGAGCTGTAAACAAGGATGGGACCACATCCTACAGTGCAGGCAGTAGGACCTCACGCTTGAATAGCAGCATCATTCCTAGAAAAAGTGGGAATCACAGCGAGCTGGCGTCTCCCTGCCAGGTGTCTGCTACAGAGGGATGAGCTGGGCCTTCTGGGTTGGTCTAATATCTAGTCAAACATTTAGTCTGTAAATCCCACACTTTCCAGATCATTTAAATCTCTAATGTGATTTCTATTTTCAGGTTTGAAAAATACAAAAGTTAGAACTAGTGAAAACAATTTTTTCCCTTATCATAACTATCAAAATGGAGACTTACTGTCACCGGTAGTTTTCACAAGAACTTGATGTACAAAAAATAAAAAATTTGCCCTGAATTTTCCCCAGCTATGCCAGGTAGTTATGATGTTGAATATTCAGGCCTTCGGGTCTAAGTAGTTGGATGCTCTGTCATTCCTCTAAAGGTTGTTATCTCTAACGCACGAAGAGTATTTATTTTGCTTTGCATTATATTCATTCATTCATTCATTCAACAAATATGTGTAGATTGTACCTCTGTGTCAGGCATTGTGTTGGTGTTGGGAATACAAGGATGATAAGATGAATCACTGTCCCTTGGGTAATTCCAAATCAGAACAGGTACATTTATAAATAGACAAACAGATATAGCCATATGACAGTACGATTATGAAAAGTGTGATTCATCTAGTTTGGGCGGATGAAATCCCCTTTTGTTCCACTGCACTCATGGAGAGTCTGAGTGGCAAGGATACAGTTTGCATTCATTTCATTTGGATAGTTTTTCTCCAGTCTGATACAGCACCAGCTGCCAGGGGTACTCAGAGTTGGGGCAAATGGCAGACTTTCCAGCAATATCAGAAACATCAGATGTTGATATATAGTAAAAGGTTTAAAGCTTTTTTTTAAATGTCAAAACAAAGTCGAGTCTACCTGACTTAGCGTAGACTCGAATTTAAAATTCACTTGAACTTTTAAGATAAAGCAAAAGACTTCAACACATTTCGATCTCCACGTTGTCTCTTTTCAGATTGCTGGGAGCACACGTTTATCATCTTTTGCTCTTAGGAGTATTTCAGTGGAACTGTCTGAGAAGCACAGCCAATATCTAAAATCACTCTAAGAAAGTTTGAGTCGGGCCACAGTCATCCCATTTAAAAGTATTTTTCCCCAGTGTGTGCTCTTTGATGTTTAGTAAGGAATGAGGTAGAACTGAAGGCATTTGTCCATTCCCCATAACTGTAGGGTGTCTTTCCAGGATGAGTTGAAGCCTAGGAATAGTCAGTACTTAAAGCTGTGTGTTAAAAATCACACTGGTTGTATTTATAGAATCGATATCCTTCCCAATGCACGTTCTCTTCCTGACAAAAGATTTCTCACAAGCACAAAGTTTATAGGACGTCTCTCTGTATTTCATGAATGTATGGTTTCCTAAAATACAAAACCACAAGGCTTTTGAAGAAAATACCAGAAGCCTAATTACATACTTGTTGCTTATCAACAAACTCTTTCCCCGATTTCTCCATCCCCAAGAAATCACCCCAATTATTCTCTCAAGGTTTATTCTTTCCTCCTTCCTAGGATTAGGAGTGAGGCTGGGACAGGTCCACAGATAGGTACAGGCTGAGAGACATAGTTTAATGTAACATGCAGCCCATTCTCATCTCCTGTGTCTGCCATCATTAGTTTTCAACGTGTGCCAATAACCTGGGGTCTGGTTCTCAAGAAATTACTCATTGTGCAGAAGCATTTTTCCCTGTATATGTAAATATTAGCTTTTAGACATTATGTAGCTCTATCTTGTATGTGGAAGCCTGTAAAAAAGGGTCTGTGTTGACAGTCTTCCTGATTGTTTTAGAGAAAATACTGATAACCAGGGGTTCTTGCCAAAGAAATTACGAGGTTACATCAGCTGTAGGCACAGGTCCAAACTTACCACTGTGAGACTAACGTTCAGGGACAAAGACACTACTTCCTTTCAGGAGAGAAACTGAATTAAATTCCTGGCCACAACGGTCACCCCAACCCCACTGGGTTTGCCTTATATTGGAAGGTATCCATGGACTAATTGACAATCTAAAATTGCCAAGTGCTGGAGAGAAGTAGCTGGGAAATATGACTCTAGAAGCATTCTACCATCCTTCTCCTTGAGGTTTTGTGTATCTTGTTTCACTTCTTATATGTTTTCTACCTGAAAAATAGGTGGATGTGACCGCTGCTGCTTCCCTTTTTAGCCGTATCCCTTCTCCACATACTCTAGACCAGAGGTTCTCGCATTCTCTGTATCAGCATCCTCTGGGAAGCCTTGTTTCATGCCCTCTTCCATCCCCGAGACAGGAATAGGTACTGCTTGTCTTTGTTTCTATCGTTATTTTCTGTTGATGTATCTGTTTCACATGTTAGCTTTCAGAGAGCAGAGGTTGTGTTAGATTTACTTTATTCGCCGGTGTCCGCTAAAATGGCTGACATGTTGCAGGTGCTCCGTAAAGGTTTGTTGAATAAATGTGCTCCACTCACCACAGCCTTGTCTTCCTTCACAAAAGGATGTGAAGCTCAGAAGTGGGGACCGGAATGTAACCGTGTCTGCACCGCCTGTATGAACAACGCTGTCTGCCATGAAGATACTGGAGAATGCATTTGCCCTCCTGGGTTTATGGGGAGAACATGTGAGAAGGGTAAGTCAAGAGTTCTCGATGAGTAAGTCCTGGATTTAAAAGGCCATCATTGTTGGATTTAGAATTTTAGATCTGGACAAAGTTGGGAATGGAAGCTAAATGGCCCCTGCTAGGCCGTATGGTACCTTTGTGTGAATTAGAAAAAGGTGCTCTTTCCTAAAGGTTCTTTATTGCCAACTACTGGAAAGTTGTAATAAGTATATAAATCTATGATGTGTGTGATATGAATGTCACCCCCTAGGTTTGTGCAGTACACAACCTGTACAACTGTGGGTGGTGGCTCTGATATCCTCTCTGTGGGGCAGTTTCATTATCTGTAAAATAGGCCATAAGGGGGTGTTCACCCTGCCCATGCCACAGCTGAGACTGGATAATTTTCCATGTTCTTCCACCTAGGAGAGATCCTTTAAAAGAAGAATCATGCATGACAAGGACTTGCCTATTTCACTCTGAATCATCTTTTTCTCCCCTCAAAGCTTGTGGACTGCACACATTTGGCAGAACTTGTAAAGAAAGGTGTAGTGGACCAGAGGGATGCAAGTCCTACGTGTTCTGTCTCCCAGACCCCTACGGGTGTTCCTGTGCCACAGGCTGGAAGGGTCTGCAGTGCAATGAAGGTATGCACCAATCACACTCCCCAGCAGAAAAAGTTCTAGCAGGTGTCCCAAGGAGCTCCAGCTGGCTGCCAATCATCGTGTGGGGTATACCTGGACTGCTCAGTCAGCCATCCGTCCCTGAGCCACAGGGCTTTGAATCACAGATGTTTTCATCCGAAGTTACTTATGCCTTTACATTAGACTCTGGGCCTCATAGAAATTGCTTCTCATACACATCACCTGGGAATCTTATTAAAACACAGATTCTGATTCCATAGGTCTGGACCGGGGCCTGGGGTTCTGCATCTCTAACAACCTCCCAGGTGGTGCTGATGCTCTTGGGTTGAGAGCACGCTTTGAGTTGGAAGGTCACAGAAGACTTGTTTTTTCAGTACGTCATAAATATCAGCCCTTTTTAGGTCACCTCCAGACAGGATTTGGGATTTGAAAATCAAGGAAGTTAACATCTTATCTTCTGTGGAACTTACTCGAACAGTCCTAACTTCACCTACTCAGAGGTGCCCTCTGCCCTTTCTCGAATATACTTTCACATTTGATAGGGCTCAAAGGCGTGTATTTCGTGTCTGTTTTCCAGTATGCTCTTCACATCTCCTGTACACAGTAGCTTAACGTGAACCTGCAGCCAAATATGCCAGACCACCCCTAGTGAATATGAAGGCGTAAGTTAGCCATTACCTCACAAAGCCACCTTTATCCACATTTGGCACTACTGGGAGCTGTGAGGGGGTCCCCAGTGACTTGATAACAATGCTCTAGGGCAGAGCAGTTCAGTAGAAATATAAGCAAGCCAGATATGTAATTCAATTTTTTTCTAGTAGCCACATTAAAATAGTAAAAGAAACAGGTGAAATAATTTTAATATCTATCTAACTGAATATATCAAAAATATTATCACTTCCATATGAAATCAATAGAAAAAGTATGAATGAGATGTTTTACACTCCTCTTTTCATACTAAGGCTTTGAAATCTCCATTTGGACTAGCCCTATTTTGAGCGCGCAGTAGCCGTCCGTGGCTAGCAGCTGCCATACTGGACGGCAGAGTGCTGGGGCTGAGTAAGAGGGAAAAGAGGAGATTACACTAAAGTCAGCTTCAGCTACCCACAAAACCTCACTCGGCTCGCTCTAAATGCTGCCTCTGGCCCCCAAGGAAGATTGAGGGAGCCACAGCAGTGGATGAATCCTACCTGGCCTCAGAAATGTATACCTTAAAGTAAAAGGCGCCTCCAGGTAGGGGCAGATCCAGTCCCTCTTTCAAGAGAGAATATTAAAAAATCATACACAAATTTTAAAAAAAAACGTTCATATGGGAACACTTTGCTAGGGCCCAGGAAGGGATGCATGCATGCGAGGAGTCTAGACCATAAGCTTCATCAGCTACACAGTCAATGTGTCTCCAGACCCAGGTTTATAAGAGCACATTTATTAACTCACTTCAACCCATGAAGCTCAAAAAATTACTAGGATTTTATGAATTGAAGTATTTTAGTGTTCTCTCAGACTCCTTCCTCGGACCTCCACTTACATGTGTGTCACACCCTTCGATATTGTCCCCTAGGTCCCTGAGGCTCTAATCGTTTTTTGTAGCTTTCTCCCTATCTGTGTTCTTCAGGTTGAATATCTATTGATCTAACTTTGTGTTCATTGACTCTTTCTTCTATCATCTCCATTGTTTTGCTAAGTCCGTATAGTGATATTTTTATTGCACATATTGTGTCTTTCAGTTCTAGAATGTCTTTTTTTATTTTTTATAGTTTTTCTTTGCTGAGATTCCTCATTGTTTTGCTTGTTGTGAGCATATTTTCCTTTACCTGGCTGAGCATGCTTATTATAGTTGCTTTAAAATTCTTGTCTACTATTTCCAGTATTTGGGTCGTCAATCAATCTTTATTGATTTTCTTTTCTCCTGAGGCTAGATCGTAATTCTCCATTTCTTCTGTGTTGAGTTATTTGGGATTGTATCTTGGATATTGTGATGTTACATTGAGGAGACTCTGGAGTACGATATATTCTTTTTGGGAATGTTGATTTTGTTTTGTTATGATGTAGTGGGCAATCAACTTGGTATGAGTCACACTGCAAATGCTGACTCTTAGGCATCGGCTCAGACTCAGTTCAGTGCTTTTATCCTTGGGCTGCTTTGAATCCATACTTAGCATGCGTGGTTCAGGGGCCAGGAAAAGATTTGGGACTTCCTCGCTCTGGCTCTCCTTTCTAGATTGTCCCTGCCACTTTCCAGTGGTGCTGGTTGCCCTGAGTCTGTCCCCTGTTTCTTCAGGTCAGTGAGACTACAGGTTTTCTCTGGAGTTTTAGCTCCCCAACATAGCGTTAGCTGTATCCAACTGTGAGACTAAAAGCAGGAAACTGGGAAGCATGCCATTCCTGTCTTCCAAATTTCAATTCCCCTTCAGAACCTGACTGCTTCCCCCACTCTTCAGTGCTTTCAGGTAGCTGTCTTTTTATAGTTGTTATTAATGAAATTATATTAGTTCTTATTTATCAGAAGACTGGCCTGGTGGGAGCTTATTCAACTCTCCTGGAAACAGAATTCACCAGCCCTTTAATTTCCTGGGAATCCCGATAAATAATGCTGATAAATCACATACTACCTTCCATGAATCAGCAAGGTTGATAACTTGGAGAGAAAAATAAAACTAGCCACCTACAGCCTGAGTTTTCTCCCTTCCCCTGTATTAACTCTGGTTTTTGGTGTCTCTGTTTACAGCCTGCCAGCCTGGTTATTATGGGCCAGACTGTAAGCTCAGGTGCAGGTGTACCAATGGGGAGACGTGTGATCGGTTCCAAGGATGCCTCTGCGCTCCAGGACGCCAAGGGCTCCAGTGTGAGAGAGAAGGTAAAGCAAGGTAACACGGTGGTCAGGGCCATGTTAAGCGTGTCTGAACCAGGCTTTGCTGGTATAGTTCCTGCCCCAGTACCCCAAATTCTCAAACCACTCTGTTTCCATCCACAAGTTGGGAAGAATATAGCCCAACTCCTACAGGACAGCTTTCTGATTCTTTTCTACAAACTCTCATACTGGCCTTCATTTCTCTTTCCACTAGGAATAAACCACATACTCTTTGTAGCACAGTGAGTAATGACAGGCCAGCTGAGAGCTCCACTCACCTCTTTTGCCCCCTTCTCTAGGACCACCCTTTGCCCTGGATATGTACAGCAGGGAAAGAACTGCTTTGGAGAGATTGGGGCAAAAGGTATTTTTTAAAAGATAGTAAGAAAGAAGAAAATAGAGGAGGCCAACCCCATGCCGAGTGGTTAAGTTCTTGTGCTCTGCTTCAGTGGCCCAAGGTTCACTGGTTCGGATGCTGGGCACGGACCTACACACCACTCATCAAGCCATGCTGTGGTAGCATCCCACATAGAAGAACTAGAATGACCTACAACTAGGATATATAACTATGTATTGGGACTTTGGGGTGTGGGGAGAAGAAGATTGGCAACAGATGTTAGCTGAGGGCCAATCTTCCTCACCAAAAAAAAAGCAAAGAAAAAAGTCCTAAAAAAAAGAAAAAATAGAAATAGAAAAGATTGCCCTCAAAATGAAATTTTAAATAATTCTAGTGCAGAAATTACCATAGAGCAGAGGTCAGAAATTACCATAGAGCAGAGGTCAGCAAACTCTGACCCACAGACCAAAGCCAGCCCCCATCTTTTTTAAACAGCTTTATTGAAATATAATTTTTTATCATGAAGTCCATCCCTTTAAAATGTATAGTTCAACGGTTTTTAGTATATTTGCAGAGTTGTGCAGCCATCACCATAATCTTTAGAGTATTTCCATCATACTGAAAGAGATCTTGGGGCCACTCCCACTCTTCCCTCCTCCCAGCCCCTAGGAACCATTCATTCACTTTCTGTCTGTACAGATTGACTTATTCTTGACATTTTGTATACTGTAAATGGAATCATACAGCGTGTGGTCTTTTGTGGCTGGCTTCTTTCACTTACCATAATGTTTTTGAGATTTATCGATGTTGTAGCACCTAGCAGTACTTCATTCCTTTTTCTTGCCCCACCATCTGCTGTCATTAAGAAAGTTTTACTGGAGCACAGCCACGCCCATCCGTCTGCAGTATGTGGTACATGGCTGCCTTTACACCACAGCAGAGCTGAGTAGCTACCACAGAGAACATACGGCTTGCCGAGCTGAAAATGTTTACTATTAGTCCTCTGCAGAATGTTTGTTAACCCTTGCCCTAGAATATACTTTTTAAAATTAAAAGAAGCGTATTTTCAAAATTTAAAAATAATAAACATATAGTACTTTTTCAGTCAAATAAATATAAATGTCATAGAAGGGAACACATCCAGTGAAATCTACACTCAGAGTAGAAAGACGTTGATAACCTTTTCTCTGCGAGTGTTAGAAATCAGCAAATACGGGGGAAATACGAACAATTGTTTTCTCCAAGGCTTTGGCTTCTCAGCTTTATCCTTTTTCTTCTTTCTCCAGACTTTGGACTTTCTACAGGGCAGGAATCTGGGAGGGCCTAGGAAGGGAAGGAAATGCCTTGGGGCTGCCAGAGGCTTGGATTGTAAATGGGCAACTAAAAAGCTTAAGGATTTGGATTTTTTGTTTTGCTCCTTCCTTTCTGTTCTAAGGCTGATGTTGCAACAGGTGTGAGAATCTGAGACCTAGATCCGGGCTCTGGGCTTTCAGAGAGCAGCCCCCTGTCCCCAGCACCCCATCCCCTCCTCCACCTGCGCATCTACCTTCGCCTCCATCCAGCTGCAGAAAATGCAGGGGCACAGGGAAGGAAAGAAATACCGTAAAAGCTTCAAAGCACTTATAAAAATTCCTACGCAAATAACTAATAAGGTTGAAAGATTTGTAAATTTTCTAATCACAAGCTCTCCACGTCTACAGATATAGCAAGGAATTACCTTTGTAGGTATCAGACCTCTTTCTCTCTTGCTCCACACACTTTGCCTGTTTCATTACAGGCCTGAGAAATAGGATAGCCATATAAACTGTCAATATTGGTGTGTTTACTTAACCCCACCTTCTCCCAGTACCCCTACGAAGCAGCACGCGAGTGAAACAGCTCCTTCTCCTACATTCCTTACAGAATGTTGGACTGTTTTCAACCATGTCTCACATTTAGTTACAAATGGTCGAGCTTCTCTAAGACCCTACAGTTCAGAATAAAATGGTTATATTTCAGGCTTATTCATTCTCTACTATGGCAGATATTAGACAGGGAATCCTGATGGCTTTGTCGATATCAGAGACATTTTTTCTCCTTTCAACATTGGCAGCAACATTTTTGATTTGGCTGTTGACTAGGAATTGATTTGGGGGAGTTATATTCCACTTTACTTCTTAGATGTAAACGTGAATATTTTTAATCACCCGCCACTTGCAGACTTCCCAATCAATGAGACAGCTCTCATATCTCAAAATCAAGGATCATCCCTGGTATTGCTTGCTGAGTGGAAGAAGAACTAGTTTTTGTTTTTTGCTTTTGTTTTTGTAAAACTTGTCTTAAAAAGCAAGAGGCGGGGGCCGGCCCGGTGATGTAGTAGTTAAGGTTGCGTGCTCTGCTTCGGCAGCCTGGGGTTTGCCAGTTTGGATCCTGGGCGCAGACCTAGCACTGCTTTCTCAAGCCACGCTGTGGTGGCATCCCATATAAAATAGAGGAAGATTGGCACAGACGTTAGCTCAGCAACAATCTTCCTTAAGCAAAAAGAGGAAAAAATGGCAACAGATGTTAGCTTGGGGCCAATCTTCTTCAGGAAAAGGAAAAAAAAAAGAAGACGAGAGGGACTGAACAATAGGGTCTGTGGAGACGTGGCGGAGATGATCCTTTCAATATTGAGACTGTACCTCCCAGGTCCACCACAGCATTATAGTAGAGTGTGGACTCTGGATTCATAAAGATCTGAGCTTGAATCTAGACTCTGAGCCCAATTCTCCTCAACTGTAAAATAGGGACCACAATAGCACCCACCTCACAAGTTTATTATGTGATGATAAAACAATGTAAAAGTTGCGAAGTCCTTGCCCGGTGCGTGACTTGCTAAATGTTAGCTGCTTTTATTGTTACTGTGCTGCTGTGTTACAGATTAGATTTTACAGTGCTACTTTCTTCGTTCAGGCATGCCAAGGATGACCCCAAAGATAGAGAATTTGCCAGATCACATAGAAGTAAACAGTGGGAAATTCAACCCCATCTGCAAAGCCTCTGGCTGGCCACTACCTGCTAATGAAGAAATGACCCTCGTGAAGCCGGATGGGACAGTGCTCCATGTAAGAGCTATTCTTAACCTGACCTCCTGACATCACTGGATGCTTTCAGTGTAGTCATCACTCCCCCAAAGGCTAGCTTCCATCGAAGCTTGCATCCTCCTGGGCCACTGTGTTGTTAGCTTTGACAACATGCCATATCCCTGGGGAGTAGAGCAGACTGACTGCAGCCTCAGTGGTTTCCCCTGCACAGCCAGCCCTGCAATGAAGGCTGGAAATATGCCACCACAGGGGAAGTGGTGGAACTGAGTGCCAAGGATGGCACTTACTCTGCAGAACTGTCTGGCTGTGTATGGTAAGATGTGTGTGTCAGCCAGTGCCAGGCTCTGCCCCCACCATACCCCTCATCTCTGACTCCTCAGATCAGGAAGGGAGAGGTGTCCAGTGGCCATGAAGGAGGGTTGCAACCCGTGAGTCAGCAGGAGACTCATGTGCTACCTACCAGGTGCTACCAGCACATGAGGCTGTGATCACTGGCCTCCTCCTAGCATGTTCTGTGGAGCAGCAATTAGCGGAGTGTAGAAGAGGAGAGTCCAGCATAGTCCATTTGTCTCCAGATAGACCTGCTCCCACATCTCCAGTTCAGAAACCACGATCCCGGACTCCCTAGGTCTCAATGCATTCCCTGGGTCACCCGCCTCTTCACTTTGCCCTCATTGCTTGTGCTCAACACTGGTTAGGCCACCATCACCACGGTTATTCTTTGCTGGAAAGGATTAAGCCACTTTTCCAATACGCTTCCCTTCTGTCTCCCAACGATCCCAAATGCAGACAGGAGCCACCCCAAATTTCTCCATGTCACAAGTGAGCCTCAGGAAGTTGATGCATTTTCTTGTCTAAAGATTTTGAAATAGTTATCTTATTTTTCTCTCAATGGTGACTGCAAGTCAACTTGATCAGAAGGCAGATTCTAGTGACTTGTTGGGGGCAGGTTATATAGAACATGCCGTTACCAGTGTCCACACATCAGATATTCCTGATTCTACTCAAATTAGGTAAAAGAGGCCAATTGACAGCTTCCAAAATCTCGTCGGCTTTTTCATGCATTAATGGAAGTAACATTTACCATTGAGTGAGAGCTGACCATACTGTATACAACATCTCACTTCATACTACTTGTCCCCTTTTTGCAGAAGTGGAAACTAGCTGGGTGAAGTTAAGTGAGAAGGGAATTGGTCAAAAGTGGCAGAGCTGGGATGTGAACTCAGGTCCATGTGTCTTCGAGCCCTGGCTTTTTCCATGATACCACACTCCACAGCCCCTCAAACACTTCAGGAAGCCATTTTGTCCTCTCCCCGGCCATCTCTGTCTTAGACCGGAAAGGAGCAAACGTTACCAGAAGCAGTTTAAAGGGAATTAGACTCCTTGCTCGTAAGTGTTTACCCCATACTCCCAAACACACAAACACAACAGCAGGATCTGAGAGGGCGTCAATCCAATATAAACGGTCAGGGCTACAACAATAGCTTTGGAAATAAGCCAATGATTATACTAGCATTGCATTGAGCTTCTTAATCTCTCCTAGAAAACGTCTCATTAAACAATGAGATGGGGTCAGCGTTATGGACCTTTGTGTTTATGCCGCCCTAGAAGCTTTTATTTTTTTGTCTTTAACCTTTCCAGCCAAAAGACTTTAACCACACGGGTCATCTCTCAGTGGCCACGTTCACCATTGACCGGATCCTCCCCCCTGACTCCGGAGTCTGGGTCTGCAGTGTAAACACAGTGGCTGGGATGGTGGAAGAGCCTTTCAACATTTCTGTTAAAGGTAAACTCCTTTTCCCAGAGGAAGAGCTCGTATCCTTGATGCTCTGTATTTATGTAACCGCTGGGGGCTGCTTCTAGATAGAAAGGCTATCTGGCCACTAAAATGCTTTCTGGATATTTTCCAGGATACTTACCCTCTTTAAAAAAAATTATATGTGTGAAAATGGAAAGGAGGGATTAAGTATGTAACCTTTGGAGTCACATGCCCGGGGTTTGAGTTTTGTCCCTAACAGCTAGTAACCTTGTGTGTGGCCCTGAGCAAATGCATTTAACCTCTCTGAGCCTTTTTTTATTTGGAAATGAAGCGGAGTTTATCTACCACTCAGGGTTATTGTGAAGATGTGTTAAATATATAAAACACTTGGAATTGTGTCTGGCACAACGTGTCTGGTAATGTTTACATTTCGCAGAAAGTTTGGCTTCATCATTGTTGCAACTTCTTATGCATGATTGTAGGGAATAATTTGGGGAATCTTTATTTTGAGGATTGCTCACTTAACAGGAAGCCCAGGCTATGATATATAATCAACACAAATGATTTTTTTTAAATGTTCAGGGTTTTAAGTATTCTTCCTGCTATGCATTAGTATTTCAAAATTCAAATTAATCTAAGCGGATGTGTGTACATTTGTGGCTTGAGGGGAAGAAATAAAGTGGAGGTAAATTCAAGTTAGCCTGGCTGGTGTACGTAGACACAACAAGGAATTCTGAATTTGGAAGTTACTTATGAACCCATTAGACAAAAACACCTACCAGCTCTCTGGTGTATATTCTAGAAAGGCAGCGAGCTGAGTGCCTCACATACTCCACCTTATTTAATTTTCATGAGAACCATGAGCAGTAGGTGTTGTTATCCCCACTCTACCAGTCAGGAAACAGGTTCAGAGAGTTTAGTTAACGTGTCTAAGGTAGCACAGCTGGTGAGCAGCAAATCCCAGTTTCGAACCTGGGACTCCTGACTCCCAAACCCTGCACCATCTTTTCTAGACCATTTTGTTTCCTGAGTCTCCTGTGTTAAAGATGAGGAAGCAAGATAACCAAAGTTGATTTATATTTTACCCACTTCATTACTTGATTAGGAATCTTTGGGCAATCACAGAGGTATTTCTATAAAGGAAATGAATGTAAATACCCAGAACATAATCTTTTTTTTTTTAAGGCCAATAATAATGACAGTAGCACAAATATAGCCTCATAGATTTGGATTCTCTGCCCTGAGAATCATGTAAACCACCTCAGAATCTTTAATATTTTTTGGATTACTGGAAAAAGCCTGGATCTGTTTTATTCAGTAGAACATTCACATGATCAAAATAATTTATGGAAAGTAATTGCATGTTCTTGGAAGAAAGGAAATGATATGCAGATAAGACAAATTACCTTCTTCGTCTTGTTTTGTTTGTTTGTTTGTTTGTTTTTTGCTGAGGAAGATTTACCCTGAGCTAACATCTGTGCCAGTCTTCCTCTGTTTTGTTTGTGGGACACTGCTGCAGCAGTCTAAGTCTGCACCTGGGACACAAACCCAGGCCACTGAAGCAGAGTGCACCAAACTTAATCACTAGGCCATGGGGTTGGCCCCAAATTATCTTTTTTAAAGCTTTTTGAAATGTTTACTGCCCATGAAAAATAAATAATATTAATTCAAAACAAACCATATTGCTAAGATTCAGGGGTCACTGGTTCTAATTTTTATTTTTTAATGAAAGATACAGTACGCAACATCAATGTATAAAAAGCATCTCTGGGCCTAAGTCGCTGATGCCTCTTCACTGTCATATTGACTGATATCTATAAAATGGAACTGGCCATTAGGTAAACTAATCAGTGTCTTTAACCATGGTATTTAAAAAAAAACAGATACAAGGCTTCGCTATCAGAGTACAAGTTGGTATAACCACTTTGGAAAACTGGCAATATCTAATAAGCTAAGCATACATCTCCCCTGTGACTTGGCAGTTCTACTCCTACGTATATGCTCAAAGGGAATGAGTGCATATGTTCAAAAAAGACATCTTCAAGGATGTTCCAAGCAGTTTTCTTCATAATAGCCCCAAACTGAAATTAACCCAAATATCCATCAACATTAGAAAAGATAAATAAATTTTGGTAAATTCATATGAAATAATTTGCTAGGGCTGTCATGGCAAAGTGCCACAGACTGGGTGCCTTCAACAACAGAAATTTATTTTCTCACAGTTCTGGAGGCTGGAAGTCTGAGATCAAGGTGTTGGCAGAGTTGGTTTTCGAGGCCTCGCTCCCCGGCTTGTAGATGGTCTTCTCCTACTGTCTTCACTCCTTCTTCCCTCTGTGTGCGTGTGTCCTAATTTTTATGAGGATGACAGTCAGATTGGATTAAGAATCACTCTAATGACTTCATTTTAACTTAATCACCTCTTTAAAGACCCTACCTCCAAATACAGTTACATTGTGAGGCATTGGGGGGATTAAGACTTGAACATATGAATTTTGAGGAACACAGTTCAGCATTCATCATACAATGGGATACTAAACAGCAATAAAAAAGAATTAATTCCTACAACAATATGGATGGGTCTCACAGACATAAAAATAAGTAAAGGAAAGTTCGTGATTTATGATTCCATTCATACAAAGTTAAAGAACAGGCAAAACTAATCTATAGTGACAGAAGTCAGGAGGGTAGTTCCCCATTGACGGGGAAGGGGCACAAGAGTGCCTTCTGGGGCGCTGGAGGCGTTCTCCATCTCAGTCTGGGTGGTGGTTACATGGGTGTGTATGTGGTAAAGTCCCTTGAGCTAAATAAGCTTAAGATTTTTGGTCTTTACAATATGTCTATCTCAATAAAAATGATTAAAAGATAAAAAATAAAATATAAATTACAAAGAGAAAGATTTGGGAGCGATTTTCGTCACTCTTGTAAAAGAGATGGTTTTGGAATTCATGGCTATAATAAAATATGCATCGGATGGTTTAAACAAGCAGGTGATCTTATTTGATCACACAAGGAAGGCATGACGTAATGAATGAACTTACTCACAACAATGACCTCGTTTCAGAAACTGGTCTGAGTGAAATGTGTATCCAGTCTTAACCTAACTCTGTGCTGGCATGGTCCGCCTCCAGTCAGGATGCTGCTGGATCAGGCTTCTTACTGGCTTTATTATCCTGACCTTGGACAACTTCCTCCTACGTCTTCATTCAGTCAATAGAATTTATTGAGGGCCTATGATGTTTCAGGCCCTGTTCTAGCACTGAGAATACAACAGCAAACAATAAAATAAAGCTCTCCCATCATGGAGCTCACATTCCCACAGGAAGATAAGCAATGAACAAATAAGTGAGTAAAATGTATAGTTCGCTAAAATGCTAAGTATCATGGGGAAAATCAAATCAGAAAAGGGGGCAGAGAATGCTAGGGCAAGGCAGGAGGGGTGACTGTAATTGTAAATAGGCTGATCCGGCTTTGCGGAGAAGGTGATATCTGAGCAAAGACTTGAAGGTAATTATTACTGATAGTGAGTCAAAATATTGAGACAGAGAGGTCAAGTAAAATTATTGAAACTTGTCCCCTGAAGTCTGGAAGATTCTACATTATGTAACATACACTCTTGGGGAGAAAAAACCAACAGTTATGCATTCCTAAGAAGGTCAAGCTAATGGAGCTATAGAGTACACTGCAAATTCAGTTGACGTTTATTCAATGTGATTCACTGTGAATAAACCTACATGGTCTTTGCCCTAGTGGAGTTTAGAGTTTGGTGCAGTGTTTTACAATATTTTTATCATTATCCTCCCGTTAAGGAGCCCTTTTAGACATTTTATTCAAAACTCTCCTCCCATCACCATAAAATGTTATATCATAGACGTGCCATATATCTGTTTATGTACTGTGGCTCATTGGAAGGCCACAAACCATTGTAATAACTAAGATTTTTTCATCCCCCAAGGACCAATTTTCATCTCCTTGAGGGTGCTATTGCCCCCATTGAGAATATGTGGTCTTTGAGATTGTTCTGGATTATTTGGTGGATCCACTCTGAGCACATGAGTCCTTGAAAGCAGAGAACCTTTCCTGAGTGTAGTCAGAAAGAGATATCACATTGAAGAACGATCGGAGAGATGCAATGTTCTTGATTTTGAAGATGGAAGAAGGGCCATGGACCAACAGACGAAGATAGTTTCTAGAAGCTGGAAAGAACAGGGAAACTGATTCTCCCCTAGAGCCTGCAGAAAGGAGCACAGCCCTGCCAACATCTTGATCTCAGCCCACTGAGACCCAGGTCTTTTTGACCTCCAGAACTGTAAGATGATAAATTTGTGTTGTTTGAAGCAGTGAGAGAGAGAGAGAGAGAGAAAACACATAGTCTAGTGGGAAGACATATTAAATAATCACACAAAATCACAAAGAATAGTAAAATCTGAAAATTACAATGAAGGAAAAGTGTAAGTTCTGTGAAAGTGTGTGACACACCTGAGCCTAAATGAGGTTCTGGGATAGCACCTGTGAAGAAGTCACATCAGAGCTGAGAGTTGAATGATGAGTAAGAGTTAACGGGAGAATAGCGGGAGGTCTGGAGCGTTCTTTGCAGGACATCTACAAAGAACCTGAGACAGGAAGCAGCTTGGTGCATTGTTAGTTGGATGAACTGAGAGGAGGTCAGTGCAACTGGAGGGTATTGGGTGAGGAGAAGAGGAGGCTGGGGCTCCATCGTGCAAAACCTTGGCAGGTCATGGTATGAATTTAGACTTTATTCTGAATGTAATGGGAATCCATTGAAAGGTCTTCAGCAGAGGAGCGCTCATATTTTATGAAAGCACTTTGACTGTGACTAAGGGGTTGAAGGGGCAAGAACAAGTGAGAAGCTCACAGAGCAGTTGATTGTGTTGAATCGCAGCAGAGAAGTCTAAGAGGGCTTTGTTGGAAATGTAAGGGTATTCACCCTCTTTCCTACCTAAGGACGATGATGAAGCCCCAAATCCAAGGACTAATCTGATTGCTGGAATTTTATTCAGTTCTTCCAAAGCCCCTGAACGCCCCAAATGTGATCGACACTGGACATAACTTTGCTGTCATCAACATCAGCTCTGAGCCTTACTTCGGGGATGGACCAATCAAATCCAAGAAGCTTCTATACAAGCCTGTTAATCATTATGAGGCCTGGCGGGACATTCAAGGTAAGGTTTGGACAGGAAAGCCTGCAGCTGCAGATATGGCACCAGGAAAAAAATTGTCCCCAAGTGTAGAAATCCCTTCTCCCAGTCTCAATGGTCTACCCCAAGGTGGCATCTGTACAGAGGATTCTGTTTCAGAGTATTCAGTCAAGAGTGCAGGGGCCTCTGGGTTTTCCCGGCTAACTTTCTGGAAGTTGTGGGACCTAGAACCAGCCTGTGTCAAGAGTTACTTCTATGTCAACATTTCCTTTCCAGGCCTCCCTGGATCTCCAATCCTGTTTTTAGCCACTCTGTCTTGCTTGGTCATGGTGAAAGACACAGGTTTATGCCACGAATATGGTAACGGGAAAGTCCAGGGTCGGCTGGGAAGGCAGAGCCCAATCTTCATAAATCTGAGGAGTGATTGTTGCTGCCATGTGGAGTCATTTATTCTTTTTCTCATTTGAACCTTGCCCCATCCTGCAGGCCCCTAATGCACAGAGATTTTAAGAGGAATTTGGACATGAAAAGTTTGGGTTGTGGCAGATGGGACTGGGGTGGAGGCAGGAAGGGGTGTGGGCAAAGAGAAGGATGTTCCCCTCCCCCAACTTCCTGAAAGAAAAAAATAATTCAACGAAATGTGATAAAATATCAAAAGCTTACGAAAACAGTTGTTTATTTATTAAATGTATCTCATACAAATTACAGTTCTATTTGTTGCATGATGATGTAAAAATCACAATTTTTAAAAAGAAAACTGAGCAATATCATTGGCCATGCTGCTTTAATCGTGCCATCTTGTACTGAGATCTGCCACTCTTAGGCTTGTAGGTAACATGCATCCTTCCACCAATACTTGAGTCTCATCTCGCCTGTGATTTCCTAAAAAGGGCCCTCTACCCACTATATGTAGGTAACTGAGGAAATTACAAAAAATGAGGGGATTTGGTTTAATAATGCTAGCTGACCTGGGTACGCTGAATAAAGTCATGGTATCATTCCTGAGCTGTCCACATTCTATTGTAGACTCAGCCAAAATTCAGAACCCCAGCGGCATAGGGCTGATTTGCTGGATTGCTGTTCCCAGCATCAATGGTTAGGTCTTATTTAAAAGCAGATTTTTTTTTCATAGAGTGGTAATAATCCATCAACTCTTTCTACAAGTGGACACCCACAAAGGGGTCTTCTAAGAACTCTTAAACACAGCCCAATTCTTTTCTTCCCAATTGGGAATTTATCCTATGGTTAAGGCAAAAATCTGCCTTTGCAATATCCATGGAGAAACAGGGGCTGGCTAAAGTGGATAGCTAAGGAGGAAAGAAGTGTGTATCACTTGTTAACGGGATCTGTTTTCAAGTCCTTCAGAGCCCTTCGTTTGTAGTGATACGAATCCATTGTACGTCATTGTAAGCAAACTCTCAGAGTCCCCTCTCTTGATAGCTTGATTGCAATCTCTGTATGTACTTGAAAACAGTGGAAATTAGTTTACGTTATTCTGAATGAGATTTTTTTCCCTAAATTTGATTGGTATTCCATATACTCAAAGATTTGTGCCATTTTACTCTACGAATGAAAAGATAGAAACACTGAGCAGAAGTGTACAAAGATACTTCTATGAATGTATACATCGTGACCTGGAAACTTCTTTAAAAAGCCTCATTTTCCTTATCTTAGGAATGATGAGGCCCTGAAGATGGAATTGCCTCTGTTAGTGTTTCACTAAGACATTGTATTTTTAAAAACCAAACATTCGTTCACATGACAATAACAATATTCCAGTTTAACGAATGCCAACTTAAGTTTCCTGGACTTTCCCTCTCCTCAGTGACAAATGAGATCGTTACCCTTAACCATTTGGAACCTCGAACCGAATATGAGCTCTGCGTGCAGCTGGTCCGGCGGGGAGAGGGCGGCGAAGGGCATCCTGGCCCCGTGAGACGCTTCACAACAGCTTCCATCGGTCAGCTGAAGTCAACAGCATTTATTCCTGAGCTGGGTGGGAGGGGGAGGAAGGGGAAAGAGGAAGGAAGACCAGGAAGGGTGGTGGTGGGTGAGTGGGTGGGTGGGGATGGAGGTGGAAGGAGTTTGCTTTTGAATGGGTGGGAAAGTGACAGGAAGGGTAGCAATTTGGAGCCAAACCGGCCCTTTATTTGGGCTGCACTCCTGGTCTCTCTCCCTGGGGGAGGGGGTCTGCCGCACTCCACGGGGACAGAGAAGGAAGCAGATGAGCCTTCAGGAAGGCAGGGCCATCCCTTAGGAGTTGGATGTACTTAGTAGCGACTGTGCTGAGCCTTGGCTCCGGAGGGTTACCACCAGCTTCCTGTTTCCACCTTAAGGGCCCAGGCTAGGCTCTTGCAGCACACATACTTCAGAAATCCCAGTTTATTTATTTTTAAAAATAATTTCTAATTTTTCAAAGTAATTCATGGACATAATTAAAACATCAAATAGAATCAAAGGCTCGTGTGCAAAGAACAGCAGTCCCCCGCTCCACCCCTCCTCCTCCCGGTCCTGCTTCCCATAGGAAGGGGCTGGCTAAATCTCCTTAAGCGATTTCTTAGAATAGATACTTCCATGTTTCTAAATCAATGGTTCTCAAACATTCGTGTCCATCAGAATCACCTGAAGAGCTTGTTAAAAAAGATTTCTGGGCTCCATCCCCAGCATTTCAGATTCAATAGGTTCAGGTTGGGTGTAGGGCTCAAGAGTCTGCATTTCTAGAAAGTTCCCAAGTGATGTTTGATGTTGCTGGTCCTGGGTCCAGACATTCTAAATAATATATGTAGGAGTATTTCTTGATTGATGTTAGTCAGTGTTGATTGACCTTCTATTGTGTTAATCGAGGAGCCCTTGAATTCGTGAAGCTTTCTTGATGCTAACCTGGACCCCAGCTCTCTGAGACCAGGTACTCTCCTCTGAAACGTTAGAGTGATCCCTTGTAAAGTTCTCTTTTCTAGTGTCCACTGGGTATGATTATTCTGTTACTATCTCCTGGTCAGCGCTTTATAGTTTCAACTTCACATATATTTAATTCTCACTACCTTGGAGGGTAAGAATTATCATCTTCCTCATTTTACAGATGGAAAAGTAGAGTCTCAGAGTGGTTAATAACTTGCCCATAGTGATGCATCTTATGCATCACCATACTAGATCTTCAGACTTGATACCCTTTTGTTTGTCCAATTATTATTATTATTGTTTTTACCTAGGAGCCCACAGGCACTATTTCCTTATCCCATTTGATAAATTTTCCTACTTTTAGTCCATTTACCAAAGGCAGAAGGATACGGAATGACGCAGTGAGAGACGAGGAATAGCATCTAGCTCTCCTGCAGGGGTTGTGTTCTCCTCGCAGAGACCCCCCTTGACACACCTACCTAGCTTTCATCTGACCAGCAGTATCCTTAAAGAACCAAATGGACTCAAGAGCTACTCTGGCACTCGTAGGAGCATTGCACAAGGCAGAAATGGCTTCCTGGGACCCCACCGGGTGGTGAATACAAAAAATAGCAGTTAGAGGGTCCAGAGATCTCCATGGCTCTGATCAAAGCTGTCCCCAATACGTTGTCAGGTTGCTGCTACAAAGGCAAATGGTAGTTAATTCTCTCTCTGGCCAGTTTTGATGAATCCAAAAGGGAAGGTCATAGTCGGACTCAGATGGAAAGTATTTACGAAACAGAACATAAAACACTTCACAGACCCACGCTGCACTGTCTTCAGCCCTCAGAATATGTTCCAGCCAGGATGTATTTAGAAGTCTCTTGGAATATTTCAAAGTAGTTCTCAGGGCTGGGCGGGAAGGGAATTCTTGAAGGCTCTTTTTTTCCCATCATTTGAATTTTGCTGATGTTTGTTTTTTAATTCATCTCTGGCAGTTGCACTATTTATATTTGGGTTGATTGAGTAGTGAAGGCCTGGGAGGTCAGGGGGGAGGGAAGAGAACACATCTGAACACATGGCAGAAAGAGGGCAGGTAGGGAGGGGTGAAGGGCAAATCATGTTCCCAGAGGGAAGGAAGAAGGGAAAGGCCCATTTATCAAGTTACTCCGCCATCCTAGGCCCAGGCTTAGGCTTACGTGCGTGCTCCAAAACATCATCCCTCTGCTCTTCTTTGTCATCGTAAGTGTGCCTAACCACCCTGGGGGGCTTATTCTGGAATTTAAACTTTAGAGATGAGCAAAAGGAGTTGACATCACTGCTCTCAATTTGCAAAGGTTACAGAGAAAGGACCAATAAGACCTTTAGCAAAATGCCAAGCAAATCGCTGGACCTGGTTGCTGGTTCTCCCTAGTCTAAGAGAAGTCAGAGCTGGCCCGTGAGAGTCGCTCTCCTGGTGGATGGACAGACTTCCTCTCACTTCCAACGAAGAGTTAGAGCAGTGTTTCTCAAACTTGTTTGTTTGTTGTTTAAATTACCACCCCCAAAAGAGCTTTCTAGATATTTTTGTCTTTAGGGCAGAATGTCTATTTTGTCCTAATGTCTCTCTGCCATGAATTTTAATACCACAAATCTGTTCTATATTGTGGCCCTTCCTAAACCATTGCAATATCTAAAATTTTCTCATACCCAAGAACCAATTTTTAATTGATTTTAATTGAATAATGTCCCCCTTGAGACTGCATAAGTTAGAGGATCTTTCTTCTATGTTTTGAAAATACTTCATATCTGGAATTTAAAAATAGATTTACTGTTATTTACTGAAAACAAACATTCCTCCTCTGTCTGTTGACACAAGATAAGACATCTTAGGAAGGAGGGAAGAGAAGGAAGGAGGGAGGTAACGCTAATAGAGCCCCATTTTCTCATTTACCCCTCCTGAGTCTGGAGGATGAGTGTTACATGTGAACTGGGAGAGGTTGTGAATTTTCCCAAGACCACAGAACTAAAGCAGCATGCCCCTGTCTCTTTGATTTCAAAACCTATAGTGTTTCCGTTCAGTTACCTCTGCAGTAGCCCAGGTTCTTCTGGGTAATTATGACCAGGCAGCTGTGGTTGTAGCCAATCCCTCAATGTGATCAGAGCGGGGCCAGGCCTGGCCCTACCGTCACAGCTGCTATGATGTCTGAAATTCTCCTTGCCAGGGGGAAGTAACCCCAAAATCGCTTTAAAATGTATTGCTCAGAGTAGTGAGAGAAACCCTAAAAACTCAGGAACCCCACAACCTCAGGAAATGCACTGGTTTCATTTTTATCAGTTTCCTCCCTTTCACCACTTATAGACATGACTTTTACCAAGTTCCAATCAGAGTTTTTTCTCATGTATTATAAATATTTTTATTGGGCTTCCATCCTTCTCCCAATTATCTATTTCAATCTATTGGATGGCTATATCACAATTTATTAAAGCATGTCCCTATTTTGAGCCTTTAGATTTCTTCCAGTTGTTTGTTATTATAAATAATGCTGTAATGAACATCTTCATGCACCTAGGTTTTTCTCTTCCTTTACATTATTTATTCAGATATTACAGGGCCAAAGTATATGTAATTTCTAGGACTCTTGAAAAATATTCCCAAACTATTCTCCAAAGGAGTTGTATTCCTATATTATAATTATTCAAACTACGTGTTAGAATTTTTTTAAAGATTTGCAATTTTGGTAGAAAAAAATATGGCTACCAGCTTGTGTTTCTTTGATAGCTTGTGAAGTTGTGTATTATTCTAGAAGCCAAGGTGACTCTGTGAAGCTGACCTTTGGGGCTGTTACCTTCCACCTATGTAAAAATAATGATCTTTCTGGTCTCTCCCAGGTCTTCCTCCTCCAAGGGGTCTCAGTCTCCTACCGAAAAGTCAGACCACTCTAAATTTGACCTGGCAACCAATATTTCCAAACTCAGAAGATGACTTTTATGTGGAAGTGGAGAGGAGGTCTGTGCAAGTGAATAGTGATCAGCAGAATATTAAAGTGCCAGGCAACTTGACCTCGGTGCTGCTTAACAATTTACACCCCAGGGAGCAGTACGTAGTCCGAGCCAGAGTCAACACCAAGGCCCAGGGGGAATGGAGTGAAGATCTCACCGCTTGGACCCTCAGCGACGGTAAGTGGCTTCTCCTGCCCCTTCTTGCCTGAACATTTGGCTACTGCCACGTGGACTTAGCTACCAGCACTTCAAGACTGTTCATTAGAAATTGTAAAAGGCTAATTAGTGCCCCCATCCCAACACATCAAATCCTTTTAATAACCTGCAATATATAAGAAAGCGCCATGTATTTGAATTTGCAATAATTCAGGCAGGACTGCACTAAAATTTACCTTTCTGTCATATGGAGGTACTTATTAAATAATTTAATAACATGGATAAAGTTTTCTAGGGCTTGTTCAATCTGTTCCAGGACAGTTTTCAGGACTGTCATGTATCTACACGAACATGGATGCCAATTCATTATAGATGAGCCTTTCCTAATGTCAAAAGCCAAATAACTTTGCTTAAAAAAAAAATCTTTTTAACAGACAATTCTTGGAGCTACAATATATATTTAAGAGTAATCAGACCACTTTTCTTTCAAAACATTCTGTAATTCAGGCTTTTCTCAATTTTAGATTGGTCATTTAAAATTAGTTGGAACTTCTTGGGTTTCTTTGTAGCAGTGAAAGTTTTTTCATCATTGAGCAGAGAGTTCTTTTTTGATTGACTGCATTAGAACTGTGTCTTTGCATTTTTGAGCCCTTGGAAAGACTAGATATTTCTTGGCCCCACCAACTACCTCTTGAGTCAGGATCGTGTGGTCCCTTCCGAGCGCCCCCCGTCTGAGGCTCTCTTCTGCAGCTGTGTCTCTATTTCCTCAGTGACAGGTGGAGAAACTGGCTCACTGTTTCTCCAGCTACTCTATTCTGGTAGCAGTGACATGCGGAAGTCTCCACTGTTTTGTCAGTGTTTGGAGATTCTTCATTATTTTTCAAAATTCTGTGGAATTTAAAAGTTACTGAATGGTGCAGAGGATAATACAACAAACACTCACATTCCTACCACCCAGAATTACCAACTGTTAACATTTTCTCATATTTGCTTCCAGCCTTTTTGTTGATTTGTGGGAGTAATAACACAATACAGATCCAGTCATGTGCCTCATGACAACATTTCAGTCAATGTCAGACTGCATATGTGATGGTGGTCCTGTAAGAAAGTACCATGTAGCCTAGGTGCAGAGTAGGCTATTCCATCTAGGTTTGTATAAGTACACTTTATGGTGGTTGCACAATGACAAAGTTGCCTAACAATGCATTTCTTAGAATATACGTCCCCTTAGAATGTAAATAACCCACCCCCTATTCAAATACATGATTATATACATTATCCTCATCATTAAGCAATGTATGACTGTATATTAAATCCCCTTTGGCCATCATCCCTACTCTAATTCTATTCTTCTCTCCCCAGAGACAACTAAAATTGTTTGTTAGGTATCTTTCCATTCAATGTCGTATAATTTTAATACATTATATACATCCATAAATGTACATATATACATATTATTCTTCCTCTTGCTTTTGTGAATAAACATTATGATTTTTATCTATCTATGTTAATTTATTTAGATCTGATTAGATCTAATTTGTTTAGATGTGCTTTTTGGACTTCTGCATAATATTCTATGTTATGAACATAGTATCTTATATATCCATTCCCTTTTAGCTGGACATTTAGGTTATTTTCTTTTTTTTCACTATCACAAACAAAAATGCAATGGCCGTCCTTATACATGCCTCCATGTGCAGAGGTGTGAGGGCTTTTCTAGGGAGCACGTCCAGAAGAGGAACTGATGGGCTGTTACCCTCTAAAGTGGCTATTCAATGTGTACCATGTCCAGGAGTATATGAGAGTACCATTTTTCCCTACATCCATCTCTGTATCTCTCTCCTGTTCCTATATCTGTATCACTTGATATGGTCAGACCATTTTATTTTTGTCAATCTCAAAGATAAAAAATGATGCCTCACGGTTAATTTCAATTTTCATTTCCCTGATAACTGGCAAGGTTGAGCATCTTTTCTTGGGCATTTTGTTGGGCAGTTCGATTTCCTCATTTGATAGATTTGTTGATAAACTTTGCACATTTGCTAATGATTGTCTTTTCTTACTGATTTGTAAAATTGTTTATACAGTTTGGACACTAATCTTATTATATATATTGCAAGTAAATTCTCCTAATCTCTTTATTTTTTGTGGTATCTTTTACCCTACAGATAGTTTACATTTTGATGTAATCAGACCTGTGAATATTTACCTCTGTGGTTTGTACTTTTTATGTTTTGGAATTATTCCCTGTTTTGGAATTATTTGCTGTTTTAGAATTATTCCCTGATTTGGAATTATGACCCCAAGGTCATAAATATACTGTCTGTATTTTTTTCTGCTAGTTCTAGTGTTTTGTTTTTGCATATTTAGGTCTCCAAATATAGGGATGTTATTTTGGGGTATGGTGTAAATATTTTAACCTTTTTTGTTTTAATCTTATTTATTCACATATGGCAAACCCAATGCCACACACTGAATAGTGACTTGTGATGCTTTCTGTATCAGATGCCAAGTTCTCATATTGGTTTTGCATCTATTTCTGGGCACTCTGTTCTTTTCCATTGATGTGTGTGTGTTCCTGCACCATTTCCAACCTCTTTAAATTACTATAGATTTATTAAATGTCGTGATAACAGTAGGGTGAATCACTACTTTCTTTTCCAAAGTTGTCTTAGATGTTCATTCACTATAAGCACTGTAAGTTTTACCCTCATTAGAATTAAATATCAAACTATTAAATATTGAACTATCAAAATCACATCATCAGAATCATATTTATAGGATTAAATGAAAACCAGGTAGTAGTCACTGAAAGAGGGAGGTTGAGTGGAGTTTGACTAGGGGGAGGATTGTGCTGGTGGTGGTGGTAGAGATGCTGAGATCGGCAGGGGAGGAGCCCGTCCCTACAGGGTCAGGAAATTACGGCAAGGAGGTTGTGGATGAGAACATTTCAGTCTTAACTGATACATTTGTTAATATACTATGTTGTCATTGGCTGATCTTGCATATAGGTTGTTCAGAAATAAAATTAATGCTTTTAGTTACAAAGTTTATGTTAATGTCCAGCCTAGCAATTCCAACTGGACCAAGTGTAAGGAGTGGAATGAATTAGATTTGGTATATGGTCCCAAACATAGGTAAAAAATAATACATGTGTATAATGTGTTCCTGTCTATGTGTATGCAGAGTATCTCGTTTGATACAATGACTTTATGAAGAAAGTAGAGTCGGAATTATCATGACATTTAGCAGATGAGGAACCTGAGGCACAAAGAAGGATCAGTCACTGACCAAAGGTGTACAGCTAGTAAATTGTGGGCTAGGACTCTCAATCACATTTCAGTTCTATGTTTTGTTTGTTCTTGCCAAACCATGCTACCCATTTGTCTCTTTGAACGGGCAACCGACAGCTTCAAAGCAAGGTCGGTTCTTGGAGAAGCTCCTCTCACAGGCGTATCCCACTTCCAAATCGTTTACAATCTGATTAGCATCTGCTAAAGTGTTTTAGAAACAACTTTAGAGTTACTGGGGGACCTGATAAAATGTAGATTATCAGGCTCAGTCTCACTGAATCTGAATCAGACGTCCACTGAGCTATCCCAAAGGGTGACTGCTTTTAGGCATAAACTGGATAAATTGGCACATGCAAATTTATGATTTTTAGTTGGCACCAAAATTATATTAATTATTCTTCCAGCAGGTGTCTGCAAGGCACTGCTTCTTTTTGTGACAGGCTTGGAATCCCACTGGTTTATGAAGGTGAATTTTTTTTGAGGCACTGCTATACAAATATTAAATATATGTTCATAGTAATCTGAAGATGTTAATATTCCTAATATTCTGTAATCTCCTTGTGGAAAGGAAGGTTGTTTTATATTTTTGTGAGGATATACAAAAGCTTGGTACTGGATGCAAAGGAAGTTAAGATATTATACTGTTGATTAATTGTGATTTTGGATAATTTACCACCTGTTAGACATAGAAAATGACAATCAGATTTGGAGGGCTCAAAATCCAGTACCTAATTCTCATAAATTGCCACAGTTACCTAAGGAGTATGATATGGGGAATCAACATCATGGAAAGAGGAAATTTAGAATGAAGAAGAATCTCTGAGAATTGAGAATAGAAAGAATGTACGTTAAAACATTTCCAGAAGGTTCTAATTTGCTTATAAGCAGTAACTTTCATATGGCGTGAAGTGGCCTGGCTCTGCTACTTGCTTATCAGGACAGTACAAGTCCCTTACGTTTTTGAAGTGTTAGTTTCCTCATCTCTAGGAATTTGAATAATTAAAAATCTCAGCCTTGCTTACCTCCCTGCCTGTGTGGTTATGAGGGTCAAGAGAGAGCCTGCATTTGGAAGCAGCTTGTAAACAGCCTCACAAATGTAAGCTCCAGTTACTATCAAGGGCAAGACTGTGGGTTCATTCTTTCCTTGAGTCCCATAGCTTTAGGCTCTGTGGAGTCACAGAGTTCCCTTCCAGCCGGTACCCTTTATCGGGAAGGAATTTGAGTGCAGAGATGATTCTGCATGCCGTCTTCATCTGGAACACCTCCAAGCACCTCTCTCTCTTCCTCCCTATGCCCCTGAACGGAATGTTCTCTTTTTCCCAAATCCTTACAGCACTTTGTCAACTAGATGCTTAACCAGTTTCTTATGTATACTCTGACTTGCTAGTGCTCCATAAATGTGCTTAGCGCAAGGATAGGCCACATGGGACAGTGGCTAAGACAGTGGCCCATGCCGTCAGACTGCCAGGAGTCGAGTCCTATTTCTTCTACTTAATAGCCGTGTGACCTTGGCCAAGTCCCTTAACCTTTCTGGGCCTCCATACCTGTGGTAAGATTGTTAAGAAGAGGAAATGAGTTACTACATGGAAGGGCCTATAGAAATGTCGGCTCTTGTAATCTTTCTATCCTTCCCAGCACCAAGAACAGGGTAATGTAGATTTTTGGAGTAACAATTTCTGAGGCCTTTATTTAGTGTAATTTGATGCAAATACGTGATATATGTGTTGCCATTTTCGCATCTTGTGCCATTCTGTTGACTCTGCAGGAGTCCGCTACCAACTGCTTGGAAGTACCATCTGAGAAAGCGTCTGTTAGCCATTCGTGGTTTACGAGCTCACATTACCTCTCTCTCAGAAGCATGATGATCTAAGAGGCGGTAGTACATCTGAAGTGAAATACTGTTTTTTTTTTTAAATTTCCAGTTCTCCCTCCTCAACCAGGAAACATCAAGATTTCCAACATCACAGACTCCTCTGCCGTGGTCTCTTGGACCATCTTGGATGGCTATTCTATTTCTTCTGTTATCATCCGTTACAAAGTTCAGGGCAAGAATGAAGACCAGCACATTGATGTGAAAATCAAGAATGCCACCATCACCCAGTATCAGCTCAAGGGCCTAGAGCCCGAAACAGCTTACCAGGTGGACATTTTTGCAGAGAACAACATAGGGTCAAGCCACCCAGAGCTTTCTCATGAACTGACGACACTCTCCAAATCTCAAGGTTGGTGGAGTGGACAGGTATTTCCATATTTCTGGAGAGTATCAGCAAAGCCCCATTGTCAAGATATTTACTCCCTATTCGTATCATGTGACGTATTTCATTTGTCCTAACAGGCTTTACCCTCTCTAGATTAGGTCCTTAAAATGAAAAAGCCCTGAGAAGCATACCCTGTGGATCCATCTTCCATTATTGAACCATAGACCAAAGTAGCCTATCAGCAGCCCCCATCCAGCCATTGCAGCTCCGAGGAATATGAATTTGACCCTGCTTCGTGGAGGTTGGCCTGTGCAGGTGCTTCAATGGGAGGCTCCAAGAACACTCTCCATACCTTCACAAAAATCAACTCCTCTTTTAGCTTGGATGACACCATGCTATCCTGAGTTTTCTTTTACTTTTCAGATCCAGGTTATTACGTCTCCACATCCACCGCTAACCCCTCACCCCAGAGAGAGTAAGCTCTTTGAGACAGATAGAGACCCCTCAGGGTGCCGAGCCCACGATGCTCAGTAATTGTGATGGAGAAAACCTGTTGAACGTAATTAAGTGAACGAGGGCCTGGGGTGGACGGGACGGCAGCACGTGGAAGGCCTTCCTGCCCTTCCAAGTCTGTCTGAAATGGCATCTCCCAGCCCTCTGCACTGTGCCACGTGTGCAAGAGAATGTAGAGAGCGGGACATCAGAGAAAAACAGCGAGTTTTGCAAATTTATAATTTGGACTAGGGTCTATTTTTACAGAAAATTTTGTAGCACTAAAAACTTCTGAGTTCTCTTGAGGGTTATCTGAGGCTTAAGAAATAAAATCACACAAGCTCTGTTTTCAGGGCTGACCCTTTGGAACACTTTTGAAAGGTCGAAGGGATGATGAGTCCGCCAACTACAGAACATCGTAGTTTTCAGATCACATGCTTAATAAATGCATCATTTTTATAGTTACTTGTGTTTGGGTAAAATGTATACAGGCCCTAAATCCAAGCTATACATAAAATACAAACAGAAAAATTTAAAAACAAAACAGGACAAAACAAAAAACCCTCACCATTCCTTTCCAGATGTCTCCTTATGCACACATGTGTGGAGACAGAAGGAAAGATAGAAAGTCACAAAAGAATCCTTGTAAGAAGATGAGATTATGCTCTACATCCTGTTTTTCATAAAAATATATCTAATTTCATTTTATTTGAATTTAAATAAGGCAAAGAAGTAGAAGGATTAGACCATAGTCTTTAATAGTTGATTTTGACCTAAGCCCTAAACTTAATGGTTTTTCTCTTCCGTCATTTTTTCCTTCCTTCTTCCCTTCCTTCTCCCATTGGTATCCTCAGATTTTCTCCATCAGCTCTTTAAAACAAGAAAAAATCTAAAACAAAATATCTTACGGACTCCAAGCTCTTAGCATCCTAGAACTTCAACACTTTTCTAGGTGGGGAAATTGTGCAGGGAGATTTAGTCACTTTCCCAAAGTCCCATATCTAATAAGTCAGTCACTCTCACTGTTGCTAGACAAGGTGCATCTGCTTGGGCCTCTACTTGGAAGTAGAAGTTGAACTAATCATTAGCACATTGCCGTTTAAAAAGCATTCTTGCACATTTTTTTTTTTTTAAATCTTGTAACAACCCCTGAGTCAGACTCACCTGCACTGAGTTTCAGAAAATAATTGAGCATCCCCAGGTCACCTAGCAATTAGGTGGCAGAACTAGAGCTGCCGCTACACCGCAACTTCTCCCAAAGATGGTCTTGGCCTCTCTTTCTACCTAAACTAACCCGCTTCTCCCGTGTTCCCCTGCACAGCACCCGCAGACCTCGGAGGCGGGAAGATGCTGCTTATAGCCATCCTTGGCTCGGCGGGAATGACTTGCCTGACGGTGCTGTTGGCCTTTCTGATCATGTTGCAACTGAAGAGGGCAAATGTCCAAAGGAGAATGGCCCAAGCCTTCCAAAACGGGGTATGTGTCATCATCCTACTAGCTCATGAGGGCGAGTCCGCATACATGCAGAACCTCCGCTGCAGGATGTGGACCAGGAAATTTACTTGTAAAGCAAGCAGTTCTTAGGCAAGTCTCATCTTCCCTTTGGCTTCCATTGTGAAAGGGGAGATAAGAAGCATGACTATATAATTTCTTGTCCAAACTGAAACAATTTTGAGAGTGAAAAGGTTTCTTTAATTATGCAGGAAACTAGACCTAACACAGGCCTGTTGTCCCACCCAAATGAGACGTATGATCATCCTAGTGATGTCACCAGATAGTAATCTTGCCATATAAAGAAGTGAACATTTTTGGTGGGGAAGGACATTGAGGGTAAGCAGACCTCAGTGTGATGTGTAGTGATGTGCTGTGCTGGACAAGTTTCCGGTTCCCATTTCCTACATCTAATATCTCCCTCAAGCCTGTCATACCGCATATATTTATAAGAACCATGTATACCTGGTGTATCTCCCATTCCTGTGAACCTTTGGTCTGCAGTCACGGCTCATGGCACTTGGCAGTGCCTCATTCTTTCATCTGGGAATTTGACCAGTAGCAAAGGTCCACAAAATCATACTTGACCAAAAGGCACCCCTTTGGCGTCCTTTTGGTATACGACAGCCTGAACGTTTCTCTAGTTTGTGGTTTCAGGCTCTGTACAATTAGTTTGCACCTGACTTTATCGATTCTGTAGATAAAACATTGAGTACAATGACATGGTCCACTGGTGTATACCTTGCTGTACACAAGTCCCCAAGACCCCCCTCAGTTTAGGACAAGGGGAGATTTGTTATCTGACTTCACGCCAGAGCTGGATCACCTTGGGCTGTCACTGGAGAGGAAGGACCACGAGGGGGTTAGGAGTGCTGGAGCTCATCCTCACACCCGGGCTTTGTCATAATTCCATCAGCAGTCACTTCAACTTGGGAGAAAAGGAGACACTGTGAGGGCTTTGCTCTAAGCGTCAGTCATTCTGGACCAGAGGCTGCTCCAGAGTGGGCTTGAGAGAGTCTAAGCTTTAGGACAAGCCAGAGAGAGTGAGTGAGAGCCAAGAATAGACCAAGGTGATGCCAGGAAAGCTCTCACTGAGGCACGTCCTATGACTCCAGAGATAGGATCCTCAAGTTCTTTCTGAAACCAGGACTGAACATCTGCTCATTCCACAGCATAGTAGAAACTCAAGTGTGACTAACTTGGGTATGTGCCGTGCCATGGCACACGTGCTGGTATTCTGCCTTCCCTTGCCCTCTGCAGACATTGCTAATTGATTGTGGCATGCTTTCCACTGAGGCCTGAAACTGTGCCCATGTAGCTGTATGGACAGCCAGCTCATCAGAGGGGGCCTGTTAGATGACACCTATTTCCATCTTCATTCTAGAATTAGATATTTCTTTTTTTTGCCTAGTGTGGATACAAACCAGGAGGTATTATGCGCCTTCAAATTATGAAAAACACTGACATACAACAATGAAAAAATTATTTTTCCAGAGGGAAGAACCAGCTGTGCAGTTCAACTCAGGAACTCTGGCCCTGAACAGGAAGGCCAAAAACAACCCAGATCCTACAATTTATCCAGTGCTTGACTGGAATGACATCAAATTTCAAGACGTGATTGGGGAGGGCAATTTTGGCCAGGTTCTGAAAGCGCGCATTAAGAAGGACGGGTTGCGGATGGACGCTGCCATCAAGAGGATGAAAGGTCAGTGCTCGGCCACATCGAGTCAGCATTTCACTAGGGTGGGCAGAAAATCTGACTTCCTGTTGAATCTTTCCTCTAAGGTCTTATACTCTTTAAACAAAAAATTGGCATGCTGTGGGATGTAGCTGTTCTGTGCGACTGGAGGTGATGTTTCCTTTGAGGTCAGGCTGGGAGCGGTCAGGATGTAAACATGAAGGCACCAGCTATTTAAACACCACCGTCTTGATTCCTGGGGACATGAGGATGCAGATTCTCTGGCGCACGCCGCTGACTTTTGGGGGGCATTGTTCTCTTAATGCAGTGATTCTCAAAATGGAATATGCATGAATCACCTGGAAGGCTTGTTGCCCCCCGTCCCCCCCCCCAACAGTTTCTGATTCAGTAAGTCTGGGGGAGGGCCAGAGAATCTGCATTTCTAATTAGTTCCCAGGTGCTGCTGCTACTGAGGGTTCGGAGACCGTACTTTGCAAACCACTGCCTCCGTGGATTGTCTGCATCAAAATTCCTGGAGACCTTGTTGGAAATGCTTCTGCTCAGCTGCTTCTCCCTGTTCTGTTAGATTCAGATCTCGTAGTGAGGGCGCCCAGGGGAATCTGTGTTCTTAACAAGCTTTCTCAGTGATTCTTCTGTACACCGTACACTGTTTCAAGTTTGAAAACCATTGATCTAAGGTCCCAGGAATGAAACCTTTTCCAGTGTGTTCATTTCAAGACTGCTGGGTGCCCACCCATTTAACAATCCTGGGTGATAAACGTCTTCTGAGAAGGCAGAACGACTATGACTAGTCCCTGGCGGTGCTAGCCATCTCCTCTTCTGTGTGAAACAGCACTTCATGCACGGCTTGATGGTGAAGCGGCGCTGTCGCTTTTACAGCATCCCGACTTGGAAAGTGGTGTGTCAGAGCTGGGAAAGCTGTGAACTGCTATTGTCGGGCAGCTCACAATGAGGGCTCCCTGAGGTTGCTGATGGGGTTTCCTTCTTTTTGACTGCAATATCAAGCCAAAGATGAGAATGAACGCTGTGTCTTATGAAATCATCGCTGCTTTCTGCATTGTTAGAAAACACATCAGAAAACCAACAAAACAAAATATTATCTATGCTTAGAGATAGTAATATGTTTAAAACACACACACGCATGCACATACCCCGCCTTGTTTGCCAGCACGAAATCCCTTTTCTGTTTTGCTACTTTAGTCACAGGGAGTTTTGGGAGGCAGTAAGGAGAGCAAGAGGAGAGAGGGTATGACATCTTGTAAAATCAGTTTTTTGGGGATCTGACCTGAGCTGATTGTCTGTCTCATGCCCCTGTAAAGAGGTAAAATAGCTTCAAAGGGCTCCAGGGTAGGCAATGTCTGCAGGGACAGTAACACATCCCAAGGAGGGCAGTTACCAAAGTGCGGGGACAGCCTCATCATAAAGAACTTCATCTTTAAAATGCTCCCAAGGCATTGACCCTCAGGCTCCTGTAGTCCGAACGGGGTTCTCCAGTTGGAGCTGCTCACTAGTCAGTCTAGCGGGTCCCCTTAGCCCACGTGAAACGTTCCCACAATGTCCGAGCCTTTCAGGCATGCGCACGGCCGCCAGCACCCCGTCCCATCCACCCTGCCCCCAGTGTTATTTCTCTGCACAGTGTCATCGATGCAAGGCCGATCAGTCAGTCTGTGCATCACAGAGCCTTCTCTCCAGGCTGGCCGGTGCCTGGTCGTTCTCCCTCTGATCCGAGCGCTGGTGGAGAGATGGGATGACGGGAAGAGAAAGAGATACAGCTCAGTTTCTCGCTACCAAGCAAGTTCTATAAAAACGTCATCGGGATTTGAGTTTTTTAGCAGGGCTGATTTGTGAAAAAGCAGGTTAAAATTATAAATAAAGTGAGATGGATGCATTGTTGGTGATGTTTTACCGAAGCTTTGATTCTCTTCCTCAGCGTAGTTACCTCTGGATGGTAGCTTTAGCTGGTAGAGCTGGAGTCTCAAAGTGGAGGCAGCTCCGTCTCCACCAAGTCGTTCCCCTGGGCATTTGAGAGCTTAAACAGGAAAACTTCAGAGCAGTGGTTCTCGACGACAGGTGATTTTGTCCTGTGGGCGACATTTGGCAATGTCTGCACACGTTTTTGTTGGGCTACTGGTGTCTAGTGGGTAGAGGCCGGAGATGCACAGCATAGCCGCCAACAACAAAGGATCAGTCCAAGGCGTCCACAGTGCCACGCACTCTGTGTTAGAGTAATCTCTTTGACTCTATACAGTTTTCCAGACCTGACAGTGACTGAGTGCACCTGGAGGTCCTGGGGAGCAGGAGGGGACACTTGTTTCTGAAGAGGAGTAATGGAGAGGGGTCACAACTCTTGCCTTTCTTCCCAGAATACGCCTCCAAAGACGACCACAGGGACTTCGCGGGGGAACTGGAGGTTCTTTGTAAACTTGGACACCACCCCAACATCATCAATCTCTTAGGAGCGTGTGAACATCGTGGTAAGATGCCCTTTTCCTGCCAGAATATTTTTTTTTTTTGGAAACAAGCACCTTCCATATTGAAATCAGGAAAGAGAATAATCTTAAGAATGATACCTATTTTTTTAAGTCGCAGTTTCAATCTCAACGTCTAGTCCCATTTATAGATTGGGCCGTGGTTTGGTGTCTTTTTGGAGGTAGGTCCCAATGCTGGATCGTTTGCCCTGTGATGTGGTTCAGCTGTTACTGCCCAGAGGCATCCACGGCTCCTGCATGCCCCCATCCTTGCTGAGTCAGAGGCTTTCTCAGCCGCCACTAGAAGGTGGACAGGGGTAGCCCTCAGCGCCAGAGACAGTGAAGTGCATTGGTTCTTCTTAATTGCCTGTCTTCTTAATTTTCCTACAGACCCAAGAAACTGATACTCTGAATGTTAAATCCATGAATGCCAACAATCTACTGTACTATGAAAGCACTGGTGATGCTTAGGGTAAAATAATAATAACACTAATAAGTTTATATCTGACAGAGTGTTGCTTTTTTCCAAAATGATTTCCTGTACGATTACTTTGGAGCTTTAAAATGATCACATACTCTTAGGGGCCGGCCCGGTGGCTCAGCGGTTAAGTTCGCACGTTCTGCTTTGGTGGCCTGGGGTTTGCCAGTTCGGGTCCCGGGTGTGGACATGGCACCGCTTGGCACGCCATGCTGTGGTAGGTGTCCCATGTATAAAGTAGAGGAAGATGGGCACAGGTGTTAGCTCAGGGCCAGTCTTCCTCAGCAAAAAGAGGAGGACTGGCAGATGTTAGCTCAGGGCTAGTCTTCCTCAAAAAAAACCGATGACATACTCTTAAAGTTCAACTTATGTTATTAATTCAAATATTTATTGAGTACCTCTATAGGTTTACCTCTGCCTGCTACCTGGATTTATAATTCTGAATCTATGCTTCAACTTGATTTCTCATGGAAAAGTTTGCTCCCACAAAAAAGCTCCACACAGTAATTATTTACAAACTTGACAGCCTCTTGTTGACTTTGCGGCACAAACACCAACAATAGAAAAGAGACTACTTCCTTTTCCTCAATTTATTAAACTAAAAATACTGGTACTTCAAACAATATATCATTTTGAGATCCAATAAGGGTGTAATTCTGAAAGCCAGATCATGTCCCGTAGGTTAAATAACAAAGTAATGACATTTATTTTTGAGCTGTTTCCTGAAAACAGTAATCAGCATGGGACAGCAGGAGACGAAAGTCAAAAAAAAATCACCACCACCAACAGAAAAATATGTATCTTTTAAAATTTTGCTCTGTCATCACATTAGCACATAATTGGTTGGCTGGCTCTTAAAATTTATAATTCAGAGACTGGCCCGGTGGCATGGTGGTTAGGTTCGCACACTCTGCTTTGGCAGCCTGGGGTGTGCAGGTTCAGATCCCGAGGTCAGACCTACACACCACTCATCCAGCCATGCCGTGATGGCATCCCATATGCAAAATAGAGGAAAATTGGCACAGATGTTAGGTCAGGGACAATCTTCCTCACCAAAAAAAAAAAAAAAGAAAAAAATTATAATTCAGTAAAGAAGTGAGAAAGCACATTCATACCAGAATTGAGGTTCATCTTTCCTGACAGTAAAACAGGGTTCAAGAAGACTTTTCTTTGGCCAGAATTTCAATTTCTTAGAATATCTTTGAAGTCCAAATTCATTCAACACTTTAAATTTTAAAAAACGGTATACCAAAACAAATTTATCTGTAAAAGACAGTAAAACCACTCTACTTTTCACCGGCTCTGAAGATCCATGTTTTTATCAAAGATTACTTTTAATTAAAAAAGAAGAAGAAGAAAATAATTTGGAATAAAAATAAGGCAATGGACTACAATTTCTTAGAGGAACTATTGTTTTATTTTTTTCCTAAAAGTTTGAGTTTTCTGGTTTCTGTAAGCAACATGCCATCTCTGACACTAGACTCTGCTGACCAGTGACCTCATCGGCAATATGGTGACACAGCATGGGTTTTAGGGCAGAGTAGAACGCACAGGAGAGAGAGAGTTGTCTGTTGTGGGTCCTTGGGCTATGGATGTGTAATGCTTTTTTTTTTTTAAACAAACACAAAATAACCTCAAGAAAAGCTGGAGACAGACTGGAATAGAATGCCTGGCTCACGTTAGGTTCTCAGTCAATATTGAATAAAAAACAAAAGACCACGTGGACTAGCTGTCCTAAATCTTCTGGCAGCAAATGCTGTGCTCTCGTTCTCCTATTGTTATCCAGTAGGTGAAAGCATTCCGGAAGCCCCCCATGTCTGTCCACACTTGGTAGGAGAGGGGAGGGGATGGGGAAAGAGGAGAACCCCAAGTTCTAGCATGGCCCCCTTTAAGTGTTGCAGGAGGACGGCCCTGATCTGCCTCCTGTCCCCAGCATGACGGAGGTTGGCACCACTACACACGTTACTTTCAGATAAAATGGAGTTTTATAAGCAGCTCCCAAGGACCACAGCACGTCTCAGAAACGTCAGAGCTGTTCAGGGCTACTGACGCGCTGGTGTCTCTCCCTCTCCCCACAGGCTACCTGTACCTGGCCATCGAGTACGCGCCCCACGGAAACCTTCTGGACTTCCTGCGCAAGAGCCGAGTGCTGGAGACCGACCCGGCGTTCGCCATTGCCAACAGCACCGCCTCCACGCTGTCCTCCCAGCAGCTCCTGCATTTCGCCGCAGACGTGGCCCGCGGTATGGACTACTTGAGCCAAAAACAGGTTTGTTCTGAGGACCTTGCTTTGGATATCGTTCCACCCAAGTTCTCTCTAGAGTGGGGGTTTAGAGGTTTGTACATTTTTTTCAGTCAACCTCTCTTAATTCCTTCTTACCAGCTCCCTAATTTTAATCTCTTTGTGCATATCTCATCTATTTTTATAGAGATTAACGCCCAATACTGACAATACATTTATCTAGTGAATCGCATTGTATGTATGGGGTGAGGGGCCCTAACAGATCTGACCTTCATGTGGCTCCAGATAAGGCCCCATAGCAGAGGCCTTGCCTTATAACCGGAAGCTTTAATGATCTGGGTTTTTTCCCCGAAATGCTCCTCCCAGGATGCAGTGGGTCACTGGCAGAACCCACTAACTGAGGATTTTGGAGAAGACGTTGGAGGGCACTGGATTCTGGTGACTTTTCAGAATGTCTTTTCCTACTATCCTCTCTTCTCTAGTTCCCGAAGTTCTTGTCCCTGTGGCTTTGTGCTAACAAAATGAAGTGAAAAAGCAAACGTGTGGCTGAAAATACCTGATGTTTTTCAAAAATTTCAGTTTATCCACAGAGATCTGGCTGCCAGGAACATTTTAGTTGGTGAAAACTACGTAGCTAAAATAGCAGATTTCGGATTGTCCCGAGGTCAAGAAGTGTACGTGAAGAAGACGATGGTGAGTTCAGAATGTGATGTTGACAACATCCTTTCTAGGCCCGCGTTCCTCTCCTGCGTGGCTTCTCTTAGAACCCCACTGCTCTATTGAGGCATCTGACCGGTATCCTAGTGGATATTGTCCTGGCCCAGCAAACATCCTTTCTAAGTTTTGACTCCTCAAATGACTGGAGGGTCCATATTTACCTAGGAAGAAGGTTCTGTCACACGGGGCCAAGTAACAGGACATGTGCCCTGTGGTGCAGGAGCTTGGTTCCGTACCCTGTCCAGACTCCTCGGTGTCTCACTCACAAACCTCTGGGCAGCTCCCACAGTCCCCCCTTTATGCACAGCAAACATAGCAGGGGAAAAAAGACATTTAACATCCTTTCCATAAAATCAAGGAAATAAATGAATGAGGTTTCCACGTGACCAGGAGGCCCTATACAGAAACTCATCACTTCTAAAGGCCCAGGTAAGATTTCCCTCTTTGCCAAAAGTTCTCGAGGCCTTCTTCAAGCCCAGATTGAATCCACTTTCACCTGATGATATCTGCTGTTCCAAACAGTAATATTTATCTTCAAGTACAAGATCCCGGGAGAACCCACACACAGTGTTAGGAGAAGAGAGGAGATGGACTCGTTCTGCTTTTGTTGCCCTCACTGGGATCATAAAGCCCTGGAAATGCCGCATCCCTGGACATTGATGCCGTGCCTACAACATGCCACCACCACCCCCTGCTTTCCCTGTGGGATGAGCAGGTGCAGGGCCTGGGGCTGACAAACCCTTAGTCTTTGCGAGTGTTTGGTGGGTCCACTTGAGGCGCGTGGCTCTCCCTTTCCAGGTCTGGGCTCAGCTTTCCTGGGGCGACTCCAGTTTTCCTATGATACAGAGGGTCCTTTTACTCTTGTGGGTACAGAATTGCCTCCGCAAGGCTCCGGTTTTTGTTTTTATCCTCAAATTCAGGTTTCCTTTCTTTTCAACATCCTTATTTCAACATACTTAGTTGCCGACAAGATAACACAAACAATCTTCGAGAATGTTTTGAAAAGGAAATGACCCATAGTTCACTACCTTGACACATTTTTTTTCTCCAGTTTTTACTTATTGCCTTTCACAAGCGCACGCATTTTTACATAATTAAGATCACAGTGAACATAACCATTTTAGATCTTTCCACTCCTTTTTGTGATAAAGGTGGGGTGGGGCCCCTCTGGCTCTTAGGGACCACCACACAGCCTGGCCCTGACACTTATCAACATCTACACTCTCAGAAGCCAGGGGTGCCGCCCTCAGGGCTGCTTTCCAGGCAATACTTTTTTCCCTTTCTCTGGGGAGGGGCTGGGCTCGTCTTAAAGAAGCAGGACCCCCCACTCACCCAGCTACTCTGCTCTCCCGGCTGCTCCTGGGTCCCCTGGAAGCCTCCTGTCTCCTCCACAGAATCCTTTCCCTGCTGCACTGCGACATTTGGGGGAAGTGGTGCCCTGGATGAGGGAACGAATGGAGGAAAACAGTTTACCCCACGACCTGCGCTTTTTATTTGAATGCTCTCCTCAAATCACCAAGGCGAACCCCAAGCTGGTCTGCTTGGCATTTAGTAAAGAGCAGGGATTTCTGTAGACTTGGGGCGCTCAGGAGGAATTCTTAGAGGGGCAGAGCACTGGTCAGGGCTTCACTGCGTCTCCTAATTGCAGGGTAAAGTGTTCTGTGGCAGCTTGGGGTCTGGGGAGGAAAGGGACAGGCTGAGGAAGGAAGAAAGGAGAAGGCTTGGAGAGGAGCGAGCTTCGGCAAGATGGGCGCAGTGTGGCGAGACACCACCAGGGGGCAGAGTGGCCCCCTCCTCCGGCCTGCGGTTTAGGTCCGCGACTTTCACTGTGCCTCAGAATCCTCTGGGAGCTTTCAAAAAATAGTGATGCAGAGCCTACTGCTTAGACATTATGATTCAGTTGTTCTGAGCTGGGGTCCCTGCATCAAGTTTGTTTGTGTGTTTTTAAAGTCCCTCAGGTGATTCTAATACTGGAAGTGTTGCAAATTAATGTACTCAGTGATTTGGGGTTTTAGTATCATTGATTTATATATCATCCCCTCATAATCATTTTATTTATTACTACAGTGTTTCATGCTTGTGCTAGGTTTTGGGGTAACATGAGTAAGACAAAGTCTCCACCTTCAAAGCGCTCACAGACAAACACACAATGAGCAGTTGTAACAGTTGATAAGTGCTGAGGGCAAGGAAGGCACAGGTACCATGAGAACACAGAGGGAGCACCCTGAACCGGGCCTGTGGGCAGTCCTGGAGGGCTTCCTGGAGGAGGCTAACTCCTGCGCTTTAAAGTGGATATTAAATAGACATTGGAGAAGTGAGAATGAATTCGATAACCTAGAGGATGCAGTATATATAAAAATATAACAGCCTAGAGACGAAGGAAAGTATGAAACATTGGGGATTAAGTAATTCAATCTGGCTGGAGTGTAACGTAGAAAAAAGCAAGAGTTACAATTCAAGGTCAGAGGTGGAAGCAGGGATAAGGTCTTCTTGAAAAGCCATGAATTCCAGCTAAGGATTTTGGACTCAGCTGAGGATTTGGGATCTTGGGACAATAGGGCCATTAAGGAATTTTAATGGAAGGAACCATGTGGTGGGATTTGCCATTTAGAGAGATCCTTCTGATTGTGGTGTGAGAGCAGATCATTAGGGTGAAACCAGGGGCAAGAGACCAGGTGAGAGACAGCGGCCTGAACTCCAGTGAGAGTAGTAGGAACAGACAGAAGTGGACAAATCCGGAAGTCAAAGAAGAAAAAAATGACAACATGCACATGGAAGTTGGTACTCAGGAGACATGAGGTCCGAAGCCAGCAGGCAAATGAAAGCAAAGACAACGCAGAAAATGTAGACAATTCTTTCCATTCCTCAGCTGCGAATTAATGAGCAGAGAGAGCTAGACTGACAGGCCGGAGGCGGGGTGGGGTGGACACGGAGAGAAGGGAGGTGAGGCTGCGAGGAAAACACTGAAGGTGGAGATGGGAGAAAGGAGACTTTCATAACTGAACCGGAAAGTTCAGAACTACCATTTGGGATTTGTGGTCAGAAAGAGCTTCAAAATAGCGCCTCTTCACAAAGAATTGGGGGCGAACTGCACATTCAGGAACAATCTTTGGGGTCCACAGCAGTGGAGTCCCAGGGATGGGTGGTCTGGGAGAATGCCCACTCCGGTTCCAGGGGGGCTGCAAAAGATCCCCTGAATACTCCTGATTCTCTGCCCCACCACTGGCTAATGTGGGCTGAAATGCCACTGGTGGACTGGGACAAACCCCCGGGAGGCAGTGTCCACATCTCCGTAGGGTTCCTACGATTCTTGGGGGGGTCGACAGGAAGAGAACCCCAGATCACAGCAAATTGGAAGAAACTGGGAAAATAAAACTCCGAAGTCAAACTTCCCAGTGTCCAGTCCACATCTCCTTTTTCCCAGGCTGGACTCAATAAGCCAAGAAGCATGGACAACCTGGAGGGAGTGAGGGCCAGGCATGCGAGGGTCAGTGAGCGTCTCACATCTGATCTCCAAACCCAGGGGAGACTGCATTGCCTAGAACTTATTCCTCTTCTCCATACATATGTTGACTCTTCCCTTCGGCCCCTTCCTCCCCCTCCATGAGGGTGCCCACACAGCCTATAGAGCCGAGCTCAGCTTCCCCTCTGGACAATCTTCCCCGTCCCCTCCGGGCACAGTCGGTCTCCCCACATGGCCTCAGCCTGTCCCACGGGCTTCTAGGCCTGTCTCCCCTTTCAGACCGCTGAGTGCCTCTGAGAGCCACAAAGTGAATAAACGAATCAATGAATGACTACCAAATGCACACCCATATTCACACACACACGTAATTAGCAGTTTTCTTTATATAAGACTGTTGTAGGGACCCCCTGAGGTAAGTAGGGCTTATTCTATTCGCATGTCTTTGAGTGTGAAAACACACTTGTGGGTGGGACCCACACAAACCAATTCCTGAGCCTGCCACAGCTTGTCTGTGGGATCCCACACTGGGCTCCCTGCGGACTTGAGCGAGCCACGGCTCCCGGCGAGCTGCAAGCCACGTGAAGGGTCCCTGTCCTGCCTAAGTGGTCTCTCGCTTTGTTGTCCCCATCCCCAGGGAAGGCTGCCAGTGCGCTGGATGGCGATCGAGTCGCTAAATTACAGCGTCTACACAACCAACAGTGACGTGTGAGTAAGCCTCTTATTACTGAGGGTTTTTTTTCCCCAGAAAAATATACATTTGACAGAAGTCTTAAAGAGAAGCAAGACTATCATGGTCCTCTGCAGAAGAAAGCTAATCCATAAGCCCAGGGAGGAAATTCATAGGCTCCGTGAGCCCAGAGTGGACAGATTTCCAGGTGTAGCATCAGTGGCGGCAAGCTTTGGCTTTCCTTCCGCATGTCGAAAAGAAGGGCTGAATTCTTCATCCTCAGAGGAGCGAGGGGCACACCTGCCTTCCCGTGGCTCCACCTCCCAGACTGACCTGGGTACACAGGACCCAGATCAGGAGGGAGTCAGAAAAGCTGCTGAGGGTCGGAGGCGGCAGCGACAGAAGGAAGGCCACACAGGGAGACCTCTCTGCTTGCCACCTGCAGTGACAAGTCTCAGGCTGGCCAGGGAAGGAAGGGTTGGGACTGAAACTTAGGCCATCTTGCCCACACCACCTATTTTCAGGGGGAAAAACTGAGGTCCAGGGGGTTGAGGTGACTTGTCCAGGGGGTTTTGCTTATGCCTGGGGGGGGGTGGGGGGGCGGGGCTGGCAATTACTGTGTCCTCACTGTGTACGAGGTGCCTTTAATATGTTATCTCACGTCATCTCTGTGTAACTCTGAGGCAGAAATTGCTGTCCCCACATTCAGAAGAACATACTAAAAGGCCTCAAGACATTCGGTAACTCGTCCCAGGTCGCACGAGTATTAGGTGGCAGAGATGGGATTGAACTCAGATCTGTCCAGCTTAGAATCTCGCCTGCTTTCCACAGAGCACCTCGCATGCTCTGCCTCCCGTGAGTGGGGGCTCTCGCAGAGCTGACATGGGTCCCCTGTTACCATCCTTCCATTGGCCCAGGAGGAGATAACACACGCAGTGTGCAAGGCCCTATCCTAGCGAGCAGATAGTGACATTTCCTTTTCTGACAAGGAGTCAGCCATGTGGCTTTGGGGGAGAACACTGACGGGTCCCCCTGTTTGCTGACGATTGGTTTCCCTGTTGTCCCGTCTGCAGATGGTCCTACGGAGTGTTACTGTGGGAGATCGTCAGCTTAGGTGAGTGTCCGTGTTTATCTACCAGGCGAGACTCGGCATGGCCTGTGCTCCCCTCTGTGTAATGCCACGGGTACCATGTGTTTGTGGGGCCACCAGCTGTGACTTGGAAACGGAACCATCTGGGCTTCCATGTATAAATATCTTTATTCCCATGTTTCTTCTTCTATAAGCCCTGTATCTAATGTCATATTTAATACTAATAACCTGGTGGCCGTGAACTTTGTTGTAGGTTAATTGTCTCTGCTGTGCAGAGTTGGCACTGAGCTAGCACAAGTTTACTTTTCCCACTTGAAGATGGTACATTATGCAGCCATGAAAAGTCTCATTTTTGAAGGCCATTTAATCGTATGTGAAAATATACGAACCAGAAAACAGAAACATTTCCTATACACTATGATCCCAGTTTATGAATATTACACATTAAAAAACTGGAAGGACTACACAGAAAGGTAATAAAAGCTACTGTGGGGTTTTTTTTTCTTCATGCTTTTTTTTTTTGTATTTTCCAAGTTTTCTACAATAACATGGGTTGCTTTAATAATTAACACTGGGCAGCAACTCTTACAGATAAAATAGGAATTGCATAACATAACCATAGACTTCTCATTAGGAAAAAGATAGATTTCATTGGTCCAGTAGATGTGCTGTGTGGACAAACTTAGGGAGGGGGACCAGCACTTTGGGTAAGAAACCTGTGGTGGACGGTGGATCTTTCCACAGACGGAAGGGCCACACTGTGGTGCAGGCTGTGGCCTGAGTCCAGCTTTGATGGGCAGTGGGCTTGCTCAGAGAGGAAAGACCACCCGGGGCTCGCCTGCCCTTGGCACACCCTGTCTTTCTCCCTGTCCTTGACTTTAGAGCCCCTGGGCGGGAAACACTGCCTTCCACCTGGGGGGCTTAGGGCAGCACCATTTCCTGTCTTCCAGGGGGCACCCCCTACTGCGGAATGACGTGTGCAGAACTCTACGAGAAGCTGCCCCAGGGCTACAGACTGGAGAAGCCCCTCAACTGTGATGACGAGGTGTAAGTCAGGCCTCGCCCTGGGGCTGTCTTATCTTAATTTTTTCCTCCTGTGCGTTTCTTGGTCAGACTGACTCTAATGAAGGAGTTATCTGATACAGACACATATACCCATACTTGTATGTGAGCTCGCGCGCGCACACACACACACACACACACACACACACACACAATGCCAAATAGCCAGGAAAAAAAGCTGGAAAAAAATAGCCAGAGAAAAGTTCTTTAAACCAAGTCTGTCATGCAATGGGCAGGGAATAACAGCTTTGCAGGCATAGAAATCCAGGAGGAATTTAAGGGGATGATTCTCGGGAAGGGTGAAATCAGGAAGTGCAACAAATGCAGAGAAGATCTGAACTAAGCTGATGAAATTATTCATGAAGAAGTAAATGTATGAAACCGCAAGACTAACCTTGAGGATGGAGGGGTTACATTAAGGAAGATGGACTTTTCTTCATCAATCCCGCCTCTGCGAGGATTATTTTCCAGGAGTAAGAATTGTTCCGAGGGGAAGAAGGATTCACTTCAGTGATACTGCCATTCCCAGAGCTGGCTGAGGGAGAAGCTGCCTAACTGGCACGATTTGGAGAATGGAAGAGTCTACATTGAGCAAATAATATATTGCCCGGACTGAGCCACTTCCGAGAGTGAGAGAGGATGCTATTAATTACGTAACTGGTGCAGGACACTCAAAGCTAGACCATCCTGGGTCCCACGCCCAGACATTCTGATTCTGTAGGTCTAGTGTAGGTCCCAGGGATCCAGGTTTTAACAATGCAAGTAGTTCCAGCCACATTTGGGAAAGTACTGCCTTAGACCAGTGCTCCCCAAACTATGTTCACGGAACATGCAAGATATACACACGATACAAGGGAAAAGGAGTTCTGTGGTCAATCACGTTTGAGAAGCTTCATGTGAAACCTGGTTAAAAAGGTTTTTTGTTTGTTTTTAATGGCAGGATTTCTCAACATTTCACTATGCTGCTCCCTAAGAGGGAGATGCAATAGGTGGCATTTTGCAAATTTATTTGAGCATGGACTCATTTTTTTTTTTTAATGAAACGCGAACATTTTGAGAGACGTAGTATCAAATGCTGCCCTAGAAACATACCTCAGTTCCTGCCAGACCATCAGAATAGCTCAGACCAAGATCCTGCAGGAGTCGTACCCAGGGTAGGCACCAGATCCGCCAGGAGAAGAAAGGGGGCTTGGATATGGAGGTGGGAGGCCTCACAGAAATTCCTAGATCTTCGTTTTGTCTTCTGCTGGCCAGGCGCAGTGACCATATGTTGCATCCCCACCCCCCACCCCACCCCACCCTGAATCACAGGTGTTATCTCTTTAACTCTTTGTTTTCAAAGGTATGATCTGATGAGGCAGTGCTGGCGGGAGAAGCCTTACGAGAGGCCTTCATTTGCCCAGATATTGGTGTCCTTAAATAGGATGTTAGAAGAGCGAAAGGTGAGTGTAGATTTCAAAGTGGGGGGCTCTTTCTGTGGAATTCCTCTTGTGCCCAGTGTGGTTAATAAAAAGTTGATAAAATTCAACAAGTTCTTCTGGGCGTAGTGTTAGGTATTACAGGGAGATGAAAGATGCGGCCTCCAACTTTGAGGAAGTTACAGTTTTGGAGGAGGTAAGATTGCTATACAAGATATAGACATACATGGTAGAACAATATATGGAATTAGCCTATTGGAGCCAGAAGGAATCTTATCAGTCATATAGCCTGACCCTTTATGGATGAAGAAACAGAGATGGAAAGTGACTGGCCCAAGGACACACAGCCAGTAGACAACAGGTTACTATGGGGAGGATCAGGAATTCTATAAAAATTGCTAGAAGGAAGTTGGCTCTACGTATCTGGGGTTAAAAGACAAATATGGGCTATGGAAATAGATTTCAGAAGTCATCAAAACCCAAGTGGTAATTAAAACAGAGATGTGGACGAGATCACACAGAGAGATATGAAGACGAGAGGCGGACAGGGAAAGGAGCCTTAGAGAATGGAACCATTTCAGGAGACACCATGGGAGACAATGAGAAAGAGAAGTTCAGAGACTGAGGAAAGCGAGAGAACAAAATCTTACTTGCAGAAGTCAGGGGATGCATTTTAGGAAGAAAGTCGTCAGATACAATACAGGGCTTGAGGACAGAAGAACGTCCCGAATTATCTAGTGTTTGAAGTGTAGCAAGCTAAGGAAACAAGGTTTTACCGTGACTGCCCTGAGGGGGGCAGCACTAAGGCAGCCTGTGTCTGAACCACTCTTGCTGTCCTAGACCTACGTGAACACCACGCTGTATGAGAAGTTCACCTACGCAGGAATCGACTGCTCTGCTGAGGAAGCAGCCTAGACAGACCATCTTCATCGCGATATTCTGTTCCCCTTCACTGGCATGACAGACCCTGGATACCTTGATGCCAAGAAAGCAAGCAAGCAAGCCCTTGCCAAGAGAGGTGACATAGTATATAGAAGTGTATATATATTGCTGTGTGTCTGGACTTCCACCACAAAAACCCCCGTGCGTGAACCTATAGTACACTCTAACTCCAATAGGACTGTATATACTGTTTTGAGTAAGAATGTGCTGAAATCAGAATGCCTGTTTGTGGTTTCATATGCAATAATATATTTTTCTAAAAGTGTGGACTTTACAGGAAGGTGTGAGAGTACAATTACTGTAATGCATGACTCATTATTGTCCTAGATATTTTTGATATTTACCTTTATATTGAGTGCTATAAAATGGGTTGCTGTGTAGCACTAAAATATTGTGAATAAACCTAACACTGACCCTGATAGGACAGATGAGAAAGGTGGGGGAAATGTATGCGTTCTAACAGGACACAGGTTAACGCTGAAGAAACTGAAAAACCCGAGCGAGGTAAAAGAGATTCTTCTATCTATAAACGTTCTCCCTCACCTGCTGAAGCCATCCCACTTGCATTTGGTTCTTTGACAACTTTGTCATGTGGTTCCAGAGCCCACAAGTCAACGCAGAATGACTAACATTTAAAAATAGACTGACATCTCAGTCCTTAGAAGCCCAAGAGCCTTTGGAGAAGTATAAATAAGTTTAATAGATAAATTAATGGGAATTAGTTTTAATTTCTCTGGTAACAATGATTTGTGTATTTTAAGAAATTAGTAAGCCTGGAATTACATTTGGGAGACATGTGACATTTATCAAATTAACATTCTTACATGTATTGCACATTGTAAAAAGTTTTAGTTTTGATCGAGTGTGAGCTTCCCATTTATACTGTAGGCACATGTTGCACTGAAATCATATAGTGAGTGAATAAATGTCTTGCCTACCCACTTTCCGTCCAGGAATCTCACAGGTATTGCCAAATGTCTTTAATACACTCTATGGAAAAACACCTTAAATTATCATCCTCTAACTTGTCAGTAATACGCAGGTAGAGCAGCTGGTGGGTATACGCCACCAGACATGGTAATCAAGCTCACAAGGCTGGAAACATCTTCCAGAAGTGTTCTCCTGTCTAGTCCATTTTCTTGCACCAGGGCGGCACAGCTCGGTGGTGTGCCAATGTGAACTGAGGGCTTAGAATTGGGATCCCTTTTAACTGTGTTACAATGTTAAATAGTTCAACATACCGCATAAAGTTTCATATTCCTGCCATATAACTAAACTGATGTGCTCAGAAACAATGACCATGAAACTGAATTTATCCCGTGCGTTCTTTATTCACAACCGCGTATTCAAGCAGAGACAGAGCGGAAGCAGGGCTGCTGGCGGACCATTTATGTAACCGACTAAGTGGAAACTCAATGAAGAGCCATTGAAAATAGGTCCAAATATATATATGAGTTACTTTTGCTTGTTACTCAAATGTTGTGACGATACTCCTGACAACTCCTATTTGCACATAGATGGAACTGAACGAGAGCAAGGATGATCTAAAGATGTAGATAATGTTTCCAAATTTTGGCTATGGCTTTGGAATGCGTGGTAAGTTTTTTCTATAATAGTTTGGCCTTCTTGAGTATACCTTATTTAAAATCACATCATTATGAATTGTTCTCACATCAAATACGTAACAAGAGAGATGGCTAAGAAGTACTTGGGGTAGGAAGAAAAAGGTATTCAGTGATCATTAAGATTTATTTGTAAATTCACAATTCAAGGCAGCCAACGTGCGGTATGTTTATTGAGAGCATACTGTCACAATCAACTGTCAGAAGGCAACTAATTCACTCCTGGCACAAAGGCCACACGATTGATTCCTCTGTGACTTATCTGTTCCACTGGGAAAGAGACCTCTGCAGTTCTGTAGCGTGTCAGCAGCATTAAGTTGAAAAGTCATGGACTTTCACTCAAAGGCAAGACTCAAACTGAATCAAGCCATGTAGTTTCCACATTACCAAGGAGCAATTAAGATAGAAAGAACCAACCCCTGAAAGGATTAGTCAATTCAACTACTGGGAATACAGATTAGAATTTAGTGTGTTTAGAAGATCCATAGGACACTGCCTTTAAAAAAAATATCGGTGGGGGCTGGGCCCATGGTGTAGTGGTTAAGTTCAGTGCTCTCTGCTTCGGCAGCCTGGATTCGCGGGTTCGGATCCCAAGAGTGGACCTACCCCACTCATCAGCCATGCTATGGCAGTGACCACATACAAAATAGAGGAAGACTGGTACAGATGTTAGCTGAGGGTTAATCCTCCTCAAGAAAAAAAAGAGGAAGATTGGGGCTGGCCCTGTGAAGTAGTGGTTAAGTTTGCACGCTCTGCTTCAGCAGCCTGGGGTTTGCAGGTTCAGATCCCAGGTGCAGACCTATGCACCACTTATCAAGTCAGGCTGTGGCAGGCATCCTACATATAAAAAATAGAGGAAGACAGGCACAGATGTTAGCTCAGGGCTAATCTTCCTCAGCAAAAAAAAAAAAAAAAAAAAAGGTGAGTTGTTGATATAAATTAAAATCAAGTAACAGTACATCAGTTAGAATAAACACACATTACACAATAGCCAAATGACCAAAACCTTTATGTTAACAGAGTGCATTGAACATTTTACATTTACTTCCATATATTTTGTGAAGAAAACTTCTATTTATATATAGGAGATCTAAAGAAAACTGTTACAATTTTGTTAGGTAAAAATGTTTTTAACTCCAAGCAGTATGATGGTTTTAGGGATTCAGAGAAAGAAATAGAAGTAACCTGAGAAATGACCTTTGTGAAGGTCATGGACCCATTACTTCAACTTTAACCATCTTGCACTGTTATTCACACACTCCCCACGAAGATGAGTGGAAAAGTCCACCGAACTTATTCCTCCCCCCACCCCCAGTCACAACTTCAGAAATTGCTGTGGAAATTTAACCTTTAAAATGTAATAAAATAAACCTCAACAGTGTTTTTTCTCTTCCTCTTCTCTTTGAAAGCGTCAAGAAACCTCAGACCTTTATAGACCAAACTCCACGGCCAGCACCGGAGGCCAGAGGAGTCCCTGAGGCCACAGTGCAGAGGTTTAAGATATTCTTGGGCAAAGTGATTACTTCTTCCCTTTCAGGTCTTCCTTGACCTTCCGGAGGACCAGTTCCATGCAGGCGGTTGCATTTTCACTGGAATCGTGACCTCCAAATAGTCCAGAATATAAAACAATGCATTAGACATACGAAGACTGTATCTGGCATGTTACCCTGGGATGTTCTCAAGACGAGGCCTTGAGTTTATGTTGATAACACAATTGACACTGGCTACTTACCAAAATATGATTATTGAACACCTATAACAACCGCTAATGGCTGCTTTATAAGTGTTTACATAAATCTAGATTAACAAACATCTCCCATTTTCTGTGTAGCCTGTCCTCAGTCCCATTGTCACTATCTTGCTGTGAGTGGATAGCACATCAGTATCTTTTCCACGGATCTCTTTTCCAGGGACATATAACAACAAACTGCCAGGTATCACTAAAGGACACAGACAGGCAAGAAGCCAGAAATAGGGGATGCCAGAAAAAGTACTCCTCTCTAAGCAAATAAATGACCTTAGGTACAAAATTACATGGTTTTAAAAAGTAGATGAAATTTACCCAAAATATAAAGCCTACAGTTCTGGTGAGAATAATAAATAATGTCTGAGATTAAGTGAATAAAGTCATATGGTCAACACTTCTAAAATGGTATCCTATTTTTCTTTATTTGTGTTATTCTGAAGAAACGATGGTATGATATAATTTTTGGAAGATTTTGTTTTATATAGTCTATTTTTTTGTTAGGTGAAATATTTTTGCGGCCATAATTCAAGATTATTTTCAATAGAACACATTACAAATTTCATAATAGAATTTTGCGGGAATTCTTTGAGATATGGATATTTTTTAACGAAGCAGATAATGTAAATTATAGACCCTCTGCAAGATGGTATTAGTGTCTAATAGACACAGAATGAAAGAATAAAGACCATGGGGTAAAATCTGAATTGTGTACAATTAATGACATGATACAGAACCATCCCATATCGTAAGTATCTTTAGAAACATATAGCATTATAATTTTAACATGCTCAAAATTAACTTTCTTTTCTGTCTTGTGCAGAACAGGGGCCCCTATGGCTATGCACAAATGTATGGAGTAACGAACCTCCACTCCAAGCCAGACGCTGGTAACTTGTGCACATGGCAATGCTACTAACAGGGTAGTTGGTGGCTGTACTTGATTCACTTGTTTAATGTTGGGTATTTTTCATCAGAAAAACCAAAAAGAAACAAAAGGTTCTGAGAATGAGATATGTTAATGCGGTATAAAGCAAGTGCATGCATAATAAATCTATTAAATTTGAGCTATGCGTCTCCTAACACAACACACACACACACACACACATACACTCTCTTCACTCTGCATGAGATAACCTGGACCCAATCAATTTTAGAATCTCATTTGGTTTAAGGAAAAGCACCTATGAAAAGAGGTATTCAGCAAAATTTGGAATGGAGTTAGATCTCCCGCCAACAAAAGTGTTATACATGAATCCAAAGGCTAGGCAACCTGCTGAACGATTGTCTGGGCACCATTCTCAGTGTCAGAGCTGTTTTGATGCCTGTGGAACAGCCCAGACTATACCAGGTGGTGGGCATGTAATGCTTTTTACACAAGCAGGTGCTTTAGGGTTCTTCATCCTAGGAGAAAACCCACAGAGGGAACCTACTCTAAGCATTTCAGACAGCAGAACTTCACCATGGAGCTCTCGATTTGTTCAGTCAAGTCAGACTTAGGATCCTGACATTAATCACGAGCAAGCGGCTCTTACCATCCTCCTGAATGATTCTCTGCAGGTAGTCAGCCACTAGACTCTTAAGGGATCTCTTGTGAGGCAAGCCCAGCCGATGAGGAAACAGAACTGTGGTGTCCATGACTGACGTATGAATTAACTGTCAAATGAAAGAGAGAAACCTATCAGAAATTCTTGCAAAGCGTAAGGATACTGACAGCAGCAACCATAACTGCAGCTGCAGTAACTATGCGACAACAGCAAGTAACAGGGCAGTCGCGATCAATCAGTAACTGAGCACTTTACCTGGGTTATTGCACTACAACTTGAAGAGTGACCTAATGAGGAAGGTATCTTATTGTCCCTTTCTACAGCCAAGGAAACCGAGGCTTTGAGAGTTTAAGAAAGTTGCCTAAGGTGAGTTAGTAGACTAAAACGGAAAGCAAATCTATGCAGTCTGACTTCCGGATCCACTTTCCTACCGTGAGACACCACCAGGGGGCAGCAGGGGTGCAGGGAGGTTCCAACAGACTTGAGCCAGGCAACTCCCACTGGTGGCTCAGCTGATGGGGGCAAAGCTCTCACGTTTCGGTCCTAACACGTTTCAGTGGTTTAGTTGTCTATCTCCGGGAAGTTGCACAGGCAAGGGCGCAGTCCCATCTAGGTCCACATCTCCTGTGCTTACACAGGGAAGAAGGTGACTACATCCTGACTGCAGTCTGATAAAGCGGGAAATACGTACAATAGCTGGGGGAAGGGGGGTCAGATAATCCAGAGCCTAGAAAGTCAGGTGTCAGCTGGAGTCCTCATTAGGAGAGCTGTGTTTTGAAAAAGCATTAAAGATTAGCCTCAGGACAAGAGTAATTTAAACACTGATGGAGAACTGAGGAGCTCAAAATTTAATGTTTAGCACCTACTCTGCATATCCATAAGCACTTTAAATTGTCATTTAATGTGTCACCCTCCACCTAGCCACCGGTTCCTGGCTGCAGGGTATTGATTATATAAAAGAAGGTAGTAACAGAAATAGAGAAAAATAGGAAAATCCACGAGTTATCGGGCCGAAGAAACAAACTAATGGCAACGAATGGAGAAATGAATGGTTTGAAATTTCCTGGTGTGAGAGGCAAAATAGAATGGTTCCTGGAAAATGAGAGGAAAGTGAGGATGACAGGTTCAGTTTGAGACGTAATGTCTCTGAGGTGACAGAAGTACATCCCTGAGACCCTTTCTTACAGAAAGCTTATGTCCTCAGCCCTCTTTTCCCATAGTTTGGTAGGATCTGGATGGAAGCACATTCCAGTCTTATCTGTCACCTGCAGAGACAACACTGCTATTTGAAACAGCTGTCTATACTTTGGATACCAGCTCTACAGAAAAAAAGGCTGGCCGTCACCTATGAAAATAAATGGCCTGACCTGTATTCTTGCACTGAAGTGGAACCAGCCCTTCTCTGCATGCAGGTAAGTCCTAGGGGTGGCCGAAACAATACTCAGTAAAGGTCGCCAAAGTTTTAGAGCTGTGCTGTGCAACGTGGTAGACACGAGCCACCTATGGCTATTTAAGCAAAATTAAAAATCTTAGTCACTTAAGACATATTTCACGTGCTCGACAGCCCCAAGTGGATAGTGTCTACCATAGTGGATAGTGAAAATATAGAATAGAAAGTCCTAATCAATAGGACTGTTCTAGAACAGAAAGGGCCACCAAATTCTTAAAGAGCCAGACTGTGAATATTGTAGGCTTGCAGGGCACACAGTCTCTGTCACAACCAATCAACAAGGCCATCGTAGTGTGAAAGCAGCTACAGAAAATACATAAATGAATGGATGCGGTGGCTTTGTTCCAATGAAAATATTTGTAAAAACAGGTGGCTGGCATGGGCCATAGTGTGCTGACTCCTATTCTAAAACACAGAGCAAGAAATAGACAATTTTAATCTGGAGTATATTAAGGGGAAGATTTTTAAGTCTATCAGGCCAAGAAAATGAACATGACATTTGATTTTGAGCCTACCTATAAAGCGCTACCCAATTTAATGTGAAAAAGTACCTCCAAGTATGTGAATAAAATAATCTATTGACTAAACTTAGTCTTACTCATTTGAATATTAAAAGTTTGTCTAAACAGTGATTTTGGTTTTATCCTAATTGCCGATGGACTGCATCAGCAGAAGGATCAGCTCCTTCTGATCTGGATGAGCCAAATGGTTTTAGAGATCTTCTACTGCTTCTGGTGTGTGACAACTGGACATGTCATCAGCACAGACAACAATTCTTGTCTTCTTGGTTAATAGGGCAAATTAAGCATCAATGATAACACAATGATAATGACTACCAATACAACACATATAGTTTTGCAAAAACAGGAGCCTATAATTCTTTACCTTAAGAGCATACAGACTGTGTTCAAAGCTATGTCCAATTAGTACAGGGTCGGCACTGAACAGGTTCAACAAGACGGCTTGCACATCACGGATTGATGTTTTAGCGTTCAAGGCACCTTCCCCCACTCCAGAAAACCTACCCCAATAAGACACATAACGCGTATAAGTAAAGAATGTAACTCAGTGGATGTCATCAGTTAGAAACCATGACTGACCAAACATGACAAACATTTGCTGAAGAAAACAAAGATCTTACTTGTATGACTTACTTGTATGACATCAACTACCCCATTACTAGGTTATCATGATAACTGAGTAAAACATAATTTGGATCAATAATGTGAGGCTGAGGGGGAGACATTACTACAAGTTCATAGAGTTCCTTTTGAACTCTGATCTCTGTATAATCTGAGTTTTGTCAAGTACAATTAAGTTGCCTATCTCCCATTAAGGAAGCCTGAAGATGGACTGTGGGAAGCATGCAGAGCAGATGGAGCCCCAGGCGATGACCTAAGTTTGACCTGTGTGATGACTCTGCCGTTTAATATATTTGATTTTTCAGCAAGTTATTTAACCTTCTGGTTTCTATCTTCTCATCTGTAAAGTAGGGTTAATTAGGAATCTTAACGTTTTATGAGAACCCAATGAAAATACATGCAAGAAACTGACTATTCCAGTGGCTTTCCTGGAGCACTACTAAATAAGTGTTCAGAAACATGACTCTTGCAGCGTTTCACTGCAATTTACGAGAAAAGCAAGAGATCAAAATAATGCAAAGATATTTTCAACTTAAACTACATGTTGATATTATTGTCTCCTGTAAGGAGCAAAAGATACCCGATTCCATCATCTGGCTTAGTTAGGGCATATGATACATAGTTAATCACATATTTGGATTAAGAGGAAATTATCATGGATGGAGTACTTGGGTTTATTTTCAACATTTTTTTTAAAAATGCAACATGAGGCCTGCCAAGTGGCATAGCTGTTAAGTTCACAGGCTCTGCTTTGGGGGCCCAGGGTTTGTGAGTTCAGATCCTGGGTGCAGACCTAGCACCATTCATAGAGCCATGCTGTGGCAGCGTCCCACATAAAGTAGAGGAAGATTGGCACAGATGTTAGCTCAGAGCCAGTCTTCCTCACACACACACACACACACAAAGCACAATGCATTGAAGCCATTTTTTTTTTTTAAGGTTCAAACGTTCTTTTATTTATAATGCAAGCCCTTCAGTTATCATTTTGCCACTATGAACTATCAATAATTACCAAAGTATTTCCTGACTTGTTCCAAAAAGGAGTTAGGGAAGATGCAATTAAACCAGTAAGAGTAAAATAACTTTAAATATAATATTGTTATATTTGTTAGTTGTACCTCAATAAAGCTGAAACAAAAAGTACAATAGATGAGGCTGTTAGGATATAGCCAAAATGAGTAGGAAAAAAATCAAATGAGGTCAGGAGAGAGAATAGTACATAAAATACATTTTCTGAGAACTGCAGCCTTTACTGTTTTCATGACTACAACAATTTTTCTGAACTGTGAGGGAATTTAGGTTAAAAGAATGTTGTTAACAGAATTCTCTATAATTATTCTCAATATTTATCATCAAAACAACTTTTAATTTACATGGCCACCTTGCTTTATTGTGTTCTAAAATTACAGACATAGACATATTATATAAAATGTATTATATACACCATATATAATGTGTGTATATGATACATATGGTATATGTGTGTACAAGTCATGTTTATATATACATATATAAAAACAAGTCATATTTTAAGTGCCATTGGAGAGTTTGTCATTTAAAGAAAATTGAGCAATAAATATAGTCACACCAGTAATAAACACTTCTAAATTTTCACTCCAGAATAAGATCAGTGCCTTCGATTTTACATTAAAATAAACATATAAACATATCATGTCATATGGCTCAAACGCCTTTAGGAAACAAATTTAAATTGATCAGTGATATCACTGGTGTTTCATAGGAGGTTTTTAAAAATTAAACCCATATCTATATCGTACCATCTCACGTTAGCACAGAGTTTGGATCAGAAATATGTCATACCTTAATAATAATGATTAATAAAACAGAATGTGCACTGAAGCAGTATTCTGCATGCCACATCAAAGCTATGTATACTCGGGGACATGTCTACAAGATCACAGAAATTCTTACCTAAGGAAATAATAATATGGCATTTTTCAGAAGGAACCGATTAATGATTGAACTAATGAATGAATAAAATAATGTATTCAATATTTTTGCCCGTCTCTCTGGCCTCCCACTTACCACTTCAACACCATGAGGCCTGAGGCCTCGTCCCCTATTTAGGGTTGTAACCCAAGGCCTAAGATACTATCTGCGTAATTTCAGAAGGGACTCAATAAAATATGTTTTTGAATAAATTAAAGGAAAATAGTGTAACCTATGCTGAAAGCAGACTCAATAAAAGTACCCCAGCTAACACTTCACATAAACTATAAGTTGAATGTTCTACAGTCTCAAAAATAAACGCCTTTATATACGGCATACCTAGTGTTATAGTCAATGACTTCTTCATCTGGTTTCACGAATGTATCACAGACCACCTGGAGGCTGGGGTCAACCACTGTCACTCGAGTAAGTTCCAAACCTTTGGCTGTATAGCACTACAAAGGGGGAAATACTAAATTTGTATATCATATTGAGTAAATATATTCTCTTTTAACATCTGGGATATCTTAAAGGGATATTCTTAACTAGAGTGTACAATTTAATCCTATCATTTGGTTTGCTAACAAAAGCCAGTCTGTGGATATGACAGCCTTGTAAAGGATGTTCCAAGCTTTATTTCTTCCTTAATGTTTGTAATATTTCTGCTAGTAGAATAATTTCATTTTCTTGGCTTAGCTTTACAATTATTTTTATTAGACATCAGTGCTATTCGACAGAACCCTCTGTGATGCTGACATGTTCTCTTTCTGTGCTGTCCAATGTGGTAGCTACTAGCCACGTGTGGCTATTGTGTAATTGAAATATGGCTAGTGTGACTGAGGAACTGAATTTTTTTTTTTTTTGAGGAAGATTAGCCCTGAGCTAACATCTGCCACCAATCCTCCTCTTTTTGCTGAAGAAGATTGGCCCTGAGCTAACATCCATGCCCATCTTCCTCTACTTTGTATGCAGGATGCCTGCCACAGCATGGCTTGGTAAGCAGGGCGTGTGTCCGCACCCAGGATCCGAACCAATGAACCCTGGGCTGCTGAAGCAGAACGAGTGAACTTAACTGCTGTGCCACCAGACTGGCCCCCAGGAACTGAATTTTTAATGTTAATTTACTTAAATTTAAATAGCCACATGTGGCTAGCAGCTGCCACATTACACAATGAAGTTATAGAACTCGTTGAGTGAAAAAAGGAAAACCCCTACATAGCTATGTGAACCTGGCCTGGCAGAGGACAACATGGCAAGGATGCTTGATATCTAAGCCAGAAGCAGCCTACATTGTGTCCAGTTAAAGATCTAATCTTGAAAACTGAACACTGCCCTTCTGTATTTATTATAATTAAACAAACACTACAAATCTGCTTTCCAAATATACTACAGGGAATAAAATTTTAATTTTGTATGTCTTGTTAAAGACAACTGTTGGCAGGATGTTTGACACGTACAAAGCGCTTTCCCATATGTCAGTAGATCTGATTCTCACGGTCACTGTGGAGTTACGATTAACCCCGTAATTTACACATTAGAGCCAGGAGACTTGCCCAGGAGTCACAGCTGGTAAGTGGTGGAGCTTCCCAGGTCCCATGATTCCGAGTTCTGTTTTTTCTCTACTTTTTAGTACTGATTCTCATACAAAGAAAGATAAATCTCTACCAATATTTTACTGTCTCTATAAACAATAGTTTTTAAAATTTTAGCAAAGCTTTTATACTGATTTGAGAGATAACAGTAGTATTCATAACATTTTCCAGCATATAATATCAGCAATTTGGTGAGTAGAACCACCACAGGTTATATATAAAGAAAAATTAATAAATAAAAAGAGGGTCATGGACCAGCTCCTGGCTCCATCACTTACGAAGAACAGGAATTCTGCGCACTCACCTGTTTTCAGCTTCAACTGCTTCATCTGAAAATACGTGAACAACATCACACAGCTAGGTGGGACTGAGAGAGAAGTCTAGAAAAGTGCGGTGTACAACACAGAGCATTTCACCATCATTCGCTTGTAAATACTGCAATAAGATAAGATCTAAGACTGACGTACCACCTCACAATTCACAGCAAAAACACCGTGAGTGCCAGCACGGGGCGGGAACTTGACAGAAGTCTTCACAAAGCCCTCTAGGTTTTCTCTGTGGTTATGGACGTGAAGCTGAAATAAACATTGCCAAATGAACTACGGTACGTTTTTGCAAGAGCAATTAAGCTCATAAAAATGTCATCAACTGAAAATTAGCGAATTAATTCTTTCAAATGCTTATCGATCCCCAAGGTCTGTGCCGGCAGCAACTCTGGTTCTGAAAGCTGCAGCCCTCTGGGTGACAAGCCCTACCTTGGCAACCTGACACCCAGGGGATCCAAGGACATCTTCACAACGGCTGTACCGAGATTTAAGCCACCGCGGACTGCAAACCAACCGAAAAATAAAAATAAAAACAAGCAGGTTTACAAGGCAGGGAGGCTAACTCCCAAAGCATGTGTCTTATCCTACCTTCAAAGAGCTTTAAGGACTCCACTGTGCAAGTGACCTGCTGTTACTTAGATATCACACAACGAACAGGAAAATGGACCCTGGAGGCAGAGTCCTTAGGGGTTGCATTTTGAAGGTGAATTACAATTACCCCATGTCCTATACACCTTTCATCTCCTTTGTCCTCTCTTTCCTCCATCATTTGCCATGGTCCCTCAGCTCCCCTCTGGTGTCACTTCTTTATCCTGTTTTGACTACACTTCAACCATCCTCTCAACATCATCTACTCCCTACCCTTTTCTCTCTGCTAGAGCCTTCTGGATGACCAGCTCCAACGACTACCTTCTCCTTTTCTGTATCTGAGTTGTGGATCTGACCCAAGAAACATTACCCAGTGATGGAGACTGAGGGCACAACACAGATGTTGTGTCCAACCTTGGCTGGATCTCCAAAATCCTGACTCCTCCTTCTTTTGCATCCTCACCCAGGCACTTTGCCTTTTCACAGCAATAATCCCAAGCCTTCAATTCTCTTTTCTTACCCCACTCCCATCTCCTATCTCATCTGTACCCTTACCTGCCCTGAGCCCTTCTTGCCTATGGCCCAAGGTCATGTTCTCCCAACCGCTCCCTAATAAACTGCTCTGCCTTCAGTGGTTTCCGCATCAATTTTCCTATAAAACGTGGTTAGACTGATCTTCCCAAAGTGCACTGTCATTATATCACTTTCCTCAAGTGGTTCACTTGTACATTACTGATCAAATGCAAATTTCTCGGGCTGGCGCTGAAGGCTCTTGCTTTACCTGTCTTTTATTACTCACCCAATCTTAGCATCACAGAGCTTTATCTTACCTCTCCTGTGATGAGAAAGGGAGACACAGAACGAGTATTAACAGAGCATTCGTTATATGCCAGGAATCTGACAGGTCAGCTTACTGAACTGCCGCAGAAAGCTCATCCTATGAACATGGTAACAAAAGCTCAGGGAGCTCAGGTAACTTGCCCAATGTCTCAGAGAAAGCAGTTGGCAAAACAGCCCCAAATCTCAGGTCTGCTGGCGCCTAAGTCCCCATTCTGTTCATTACGCTGCGTGGTCTCGTTAGCCCAACTGGTCCGTCTGCTGTGCTTCTTCAGGCTCTTCCTTCTCTGTTCTTCTCCTTCGGAATTCGCAGTCCCTGATGCTCCAAAACTAAGCCCTCCATACTTTAAACACTCAGGTCAAACTCGCCTGATTTACGTTACTACATTATTTATTCACGTTATCTATTCTGTCATTCAATTGTACCCACTCTTCCTCTCTATTTCCTTTGTCCTGCTTTATTTTCTTCACTGCATTTATTACAATATCATCCATATTCATGTCTATATCTACATCAATCATTCATCTGTCCACCCATCTATCCAAATGCTAATTGACGGCCTATGTATTAGGTACTATGTCAAGTGCTGGGGAGACAATGGAGAGGAAAAAAGATGGATGGTTCCTCCAAAAGCCTACAGTCTTTTGGAGAAGGCAGATAAATTACTAAACCATGACAAAATGTCGTTAGGTGCCATGAAAGAAGAGACAGGGAGCTGTGACAGAAGCGGGAGGACCTTATCTTAGACGGTGGGGCTGGGGAAGCGCTGTGAGGAGGCAATATCTAAGCAGAGACCTAAAGGATGAGAAGGAAGCAGCCACATGAAAAACAGAGGGAAAGAGGTAGGGCGGCTCCAGAAAGTTGGCTAGTGTTGGGTGAAGCTAACAAGACTAGAAGATAGGGGGGCAGAGGCCAAATTAGGCAGGGTCGACAAAGTAATTGAAAGGCTTTTTGTTGTTGTTTTGTTTTTTTGAGGAAGATCAGCCCTGAGCTAGCATCCGTGCCCATCTTCCTCTATTTTATATATGGGACGCCTGCCACAGCATGGCTTGATGGGTGCTGCACAGGTCCACACCCGGGATCCAAACTGGTGAACCCTGGGCCGCCAAAGCAGAATGCACAAGCTTAACCACTGCACCACCAGGCTGGTCCCTAAGAGTTTTAATTAAAGCAGGGAGTGATGTGAACAGAAATGTGATGTAAAAAAAATCATTCTGGGGTTTGTTGGGTGAAAAACAGGGAGGGGGGTGGAGAGAGAAAAGGGCACAGTAGAAGCAGGGAGGCTGGGAAGGCGGACGCAGCAGCAACTGAGGACAGAGGCGAAGGTTTGGACCTGAGTGGTGGCAGCAGAGGTGGAGAAGAGACAGGGTCGGGATACATTTGTGAGGCAGAAAAATGAGACGTGCACGCTGCTTAGATGAAAGGGTGCCCAAAGGGGAGACGATGGTGGTGCCCAGGTTTTTTGTTTGAGTAGGAAAAACCCCAGCCAAGTGGACTGGAGGGAACTACTGTGCTGGAGAAGATGTGGCTGGCGGGGCAAGGAAGCAAGTGTGCTCTTCATTCAGTGCCGGGCAGGGGGCACGGAACTAAAGCCGTTAGCAGGGAAAGTATTACAATGCTGGCCTGTGGCAAGCAGGTGACATCAGGAGGCAGCTGATTGACTAGAGGTCTTAAAAAGGCAGAACTTTGAGAGTTCTTGGGCCACTGAGCTGCACGGGAAAGTGGTGGTGCTCAGAAGCAGGTGTTTGTAACTGAAACTTCAGCGTCCATCCCGTTTCTCTCTGCTGGACTGTATTTAACAAATAGATATTGAACTGAATACTTTATTCCACTTTTCTCTGAATAACATTGGTGCTGGCATGTCCAATAAATGAAACAGAACTACCAAATACCTGCCTTTACGACTCGACACTCGGCCGAAGTGGTAGTTACATTGGTCCACCCTGCCATGTCTGCCGATGGGAGCCACACCATGTATCTTCCCACATCGACAACATATCTTCTTAGAAGCTAAAACAGAACCGAAAGTAGAATTATTCATGAATAAATGGAGGAGAAAAGAAAAAGGGACCCGAACGCAGGGTCTTGCCTTGCATTCTTGATCCGTAGTGAGCACATGCCCAGTGAGACCCGAAGTAACAGCAACAGAGGATGACTCACAGGAATACTTAGAGGTGGCCTGCTGATTGCTCCAGGGCCGCACCTGCTCACACAGGCAGACTCCTGCCTCCCCCACCAGAGGGGGTTTCAGCACCACAGCTGGACTACAACCAACTTGCTAAGTCATCAACTCCAGGACACAGGAGCTCCTGAAACAGGACCCATGTCTTCCTGATTATTTCAACCCTTTTAGACATACAGTGATCTGTATGTTTATGAAGGCATTGAGAGTACAGCTGGGCTTTTCACTAGACCCATTTATGAGTATCTGTCTTTTATTAATAACCCTCAGACTGGTTCTGATGATGAGGATAGTAACTCTTACTTGAGTGTCTACGTGTGATCATGAGGCAGGCACTGAGCCAAGCACTTCACATGTGTTATTTTAACTGATTCTCACAACAACCTGATGGGGAAGCTGCCATTATCCCATTACTCAGAATGGGGAAACTGAGGCTGGGAGAGGTTAAATGACCTATCCAGCATCCAAACCACATTTGCCTGACTTTCTCCTTCAGAACCCATGTTCTTAACTGCTAAGTGTACTGCCTTCCACTGAGAGGGTTTACAGAAAAAAAAACAGGAAAGCAAATAGTGAAGATAATCCCAAGAGAAGTTCTAAAACCAAAAAGATGAAGATAAATATTTTCTAGTCACTGAAAAATATTTCTGGAACTGCATTTCAAACTCCAACGGACCTAAGATGTGACAGTTATGACGTTAAATATCCTATTTTTCTCTTTTTTGGGGGGGTTTGGGGATGAATGTTAACTATGCCTAGTATTTGGAGAAAATGCAAAATGATAAGGCTAATTGTAAATCTTTTTATAAGGATTCCTCATGAAAGGGTGTGAAGTATTCAAAACATGGCATTGCGTATGTATGTGAGCGGTGGTGAACAATAGGAACGCTACAGTCATTGGTTCAAATTTTCAGAGGGACCTGTGACACATTAGTTGACCTCTCTGAGCCTCATTTGCGTAAATGGAGGTAATAACAGTACCTACCTGAAATGGTTGTTAAGAAGATTTAATAAAATAGACTATGTAAATAAAATCAAGTACTTAGATAATGGAAATGAAATGACATGGAAAGGGAAATAACTGTTAGGGTTCCAGTCTTAACCATCCTTAGTAGAAAGGATAACTTCTGGTCCCATACGCTTACCATCACTGACAAGAGCTTTTGCCACGCCTGGGTTTAAAAGAATACTTCCTGGTTTGTCAGGGTCGGGTTGGGGGTGGTTATTTTTACGTAACTCTTCTTCAGTTGGAAGGTAGTCTTTAAGACGTTCGTAGAGACTAATTCCCGTGAGCACTAACAAAGAGAACAGTCGTTCAAGAAAATTTAAATAGCATTTTCTTCTTCCTAAGTAGTGGTGAGATGAGTCTCCTAACCGTGTCAGATACGAAATGCTAGGATTCTGGTTAACATTAAGTAAGGTAATAGCCTAAAACAACCCAAGTCTTCACATCCTTCAACAACAAAAGAAATCAGTATTGTTCCCTGCACCGCGTGATGCCCTGTGCGTTGGGTGAGAGAAGGCAGAGGAAGAATTCTATCAGTCACAGCTGCTGCATACTAAGCATGTCAAAAACCGCTCTAGAGATTTTGATTTAAAACTTATATTAGCCCAGAAAGACAAATATACTGACTTCCATTTTTACAGATGAGGAAAATGAGGCTGAGAAAGGTGAGGACCTGGGACCAAAGTTACACAGTGCAGCTGATGCACAAACCCAGGTCTTCTGGTTCCAAATCATGCTGATTGATTCTTAACACTCACCCGGATAAGGACAGCAGAAAAGTTTATTAGCAGAAAACAACGGGAATCACGACGACTCTCACAGGGGCAAAACAGCTCAAGTCCGAGGATCTCTTTCCAACACCATTAACCCAGATCCAGATCCCTTCCTCTAATGGATTCTTCAGAAAGTTTCTCTAATCTGTTATTAAAACTTCTAGAAGAATTGGCTAGACACACTTTGGCAAACCCTTTTGTAAAAGAAGAAATGCTTCTGTATGAGAAGTATCAGGAGATTCTAAAAGCACCTACTTTGTTTGGATTCTTACAGCTAAGGCTTTCTTAGAGGAGGGGCGCCACCACCCGGTTTTATTCAAAATGAAAGCAAATTCAAGGAACTCCTTTGCTCGAGCTTCTTGTCCCGGGAGATTGTTATACATTCGGACTTTGAGGCTGTTCGCAGACTTACTGAATCAGAATCTGCATTTTAACAAGATCCCCAGGTAATTCCACATATGCAAAGTTTGAGAAGCACCTTACAAGAGAAACTCTTGTTGACTGGATATATGTCATCCAAAAAAAAAAAAGTCATGAATTCAATCTAAATATTGCTTAAATAAAAGTCCACGTTTTCTTCTGTTTATACTAATTTTTTAAAAGGATAACAAATATGCATGGTATGCAGCTGAGCCTTCAGAAACATAATGGTTTAATAATTGCATTATACCAAATTTACTCCCCCTTTAAGGTAACAATTACAAAGGTCTATCATGATTCCAGTAAGCTTACCATGTTTCTTTTCATTCTTTTTCAATCCAGTTGTCTTGCTGTCATTACTGCTTCCTGACACACCTAAAACATACAAGAATTCTTCTCCTGAGATAAAGAATTTGTCTGCTTCATAAAAACATATAGAATATAAATGAGGTCTATGGCTTAGTAAACATTCGTTCTTATCTTAAAACAGGCGCCCAGCATGTGAGACCAAACATCTTCACAACCAATTCCAAGTTGAGAAAAAAGTTAAATCTAGAGAACTACTAAAAAGGTCAGGACTTCATACTTGCCAAAGCTAATATCTTTTGAATACTGGATGGAGTATGTCTATCACTTCTCGGCCTTTTGGCTAAGATCAAGTGTGGATGGAGTATGTCTAAATTTGAGTTAACAAGTTGCACCATGATTTACCACAACTCTAACAGCTTGCAAACCATTTCTGTTTTCACTGGGGATATTGAAAATATGTACTTAGACCTCTGTTTCTATGTGCTATATTTAACGTGAAGAGGGAAAACCTAAAATACCATGAAAATACTAACCTAAGAGAACTTGCATATTTTAATACATGTAGGTAAGTCTACTTAAAGTGTTACACATTAAAAATGCCATAAAGAAAAGCAATCCTGAGCAAGAAAAACAAAGCCGGAGGAATCACAATCCCCGATTTCAAAACATACTACAAAGCTACAGTGATCAAAACAGCATGGTACTGGTACAAAAACAGGTCCACAGATCAATGGAACAGAATTGAAAGCCCAGAGATAAAACCACACATCTATGGACAGCTAATCTTCGACAAAGGAGCAGAGGGCCTACAATGGAGAAAAGAAAGTCTCTTCAACAAATGGTGCTGGGAAAACTGGACAGCCACATGCAAAAGATTGAAAATTGACCATTCTTTTTCACCACACACCAAAATAAACTCAAAATGGATCAAAGACCTAAAGATTAGGCCTGAGACAATAAGTCTTTTGGAAGAGAATATAGGCAGTACACTCTTTGACATCAGTTTCAAAAGAATCTTTTCGGACACTATAACTCCTCAGTTGAGGGAAACAATAGAAAGAATAAACAAATGGGACTTCATCAGACTAAAGAGCTTCTTCAAGGCAAGGGAAAACAGGATTGAAACAAAAAAACAGCTCACTAATTGGGAAAAAATATTTACAAGCCACTTATCCGACAAAGGGTTAATCTCCATAATATACAAAGAACTCACACTGCTTAACAACAAAAAGCAAACAACCTGATCAAAAAATGGGCAGAGGACATGAACAGACATTTCTCTAAAGAAGATATGAATATGGCCAATAGACACATGAAAAGATGTTCATCATCGCTAATCATCAGGGAAATGCAAATCAAAACTACACTAAGATATCACCTTACACCCGTTAGATTGGCAAAAACATCCAAAACCAAGAGCGACAAATGTTGGAGAGGTTGTGGAGAAAAAGGAACCCTCATACACTGTTGGTGGGAATGCAAACTGGTACAGCCACTATGGAAAACAGTATGGAGATTTCTCAAAAAGTTAAAAATAGAAATACCCTATGACCCAGCCATCCCATTACTGGGTATCTATCCTAAGAACCTGATATCAGAAATCTCAAGAGTCCGTTGAACCCCTATGTTCATCGCAGCATTATTTACAATAGCCAAGACGTGGAACCAGCCTACATGCCCAGAAACTGATGATTGGATAAAGAAGATGTGGTATATATACACAATGGAATACTACTCAGCCATAAAAAAAGACAAAATTGGCCCATTCACAACAACGTGGATGGACCTCGAGGGTATTATGTTAAGCGAAATAAGCCAGTCAGAGAAAGACGAACTCTATATGACTCCACTCATAGGTGGAAGTTAGTATATTGATAAGGAGATCAGATCGGTGGTTACCAGGGAAAAGGGGGGGTGGGGGGAGGGCACAAAGGGGGAAGTGGTGTACCCACAACATGCCTAACAAAAATGTACAACTGAAATCTCACAAGGTTGTAATCTATCATAACATTAATAAAACAAAAAATGCCATAAAGAAATCATAGATGATCAATTTTTATATTCTTGAGATTGGAACAGCCTTTCTAAGCATGACACAAAACCCAGAAACCAAAAAGGAAGAGATTGATTATACTTTGTAAATAACTTCTACATTATAAAAAACTTCATCAATAAGGTTGAAGCACAGTGACAAACTGAGGAGAAGGAGATATGCAAAAAGTCCCAAGTGAACAGGCCAATTAAAAACGGGGACAGAAGAATGCAAACAGGGAATTTAAGGAGACAGAGGGAAAAAAAAGACAGTCTTCAACATCTTAGTAATAAAAAAAAAAGACTAACTTTATTTTTGGTCTACACCTTTGCACTCCAAAAGAGAATGAATGATAAAGTTCAGTAAGCTGTGAGGAAAAACACATCAACTCCTATCTTAGTGGTGGGGAATGTAAGTGGACAAACCCTTTCTGGAGGCAGTTAACAATATTTACCAATTTTCAACATGCAGACCCTTCTGCTAGCTTCTCTGCACAGGAATTTATACTGAGGCCATATATGCTCGACAACGAGGAAATGTTAGAGTTTACACTAACACTGATCACAAAATTCATGGTAGAAAAAAACGTAAGCAATCTAAATACTCAAATGTGTTTGGTTCATCTAGATGATAGATTCCACATAACGGAACATCCACAGTATAGGTTCTAGACTATAGAGTATCATGTAGTCATTAACAAGTATGATATAGATCTAGATGTTAACATGGATTCTAATTAGCTGACTACAGACCTCTATGATACCTTATTCAGCGAAAAAAGGTAGATGAACTATACGTATATAAATGACTGATTCATTAAAATTACATACATCTCTATAGTCAGGCACAGAACGGTCTATATAAGACATCTGGAAGAGAGTTATCTTTGGCTTTTTTTGTTTAACGCTTTTCTGTTTTATTGGAGTTACGCTATGCATTCTCAGTGGTGTGGTATTGCCCTCAGGGGAGCAAAATTTGCTCTTGAGGAATGAAAAAAATCTTAGATAGTGCAGTGGTATGTGGCTCTCCAGGACTCAACTTTACCTGACCAAATATTATCCCTCAGGACTTAATTTTATTGAGGGGGAGGTGAGAATAGAAAAAACAATGTCTAAAAAGACTTCTCAGGGGGACAAAAATTTAAAAACAGAAGTTAAGAACTACTATTCTACATGGAGGTGAGTTACTCTTCTAACTAAAACCAAATTTAAATATCTCAGTGACAACCTCGTTCAATGAGGTTATATTTATATTTCCAATTTCACATCTAATTTGTTATTTTCAACCAAAAATGCCTGCTGCACATTCTACTCAAGAGTATTTAAAAAATACATAACATTGAATAACTAAAAATGACCCTGCTAACAAAGAAAACACATTCAGTGTCAGTTAATCACAAGTTTTTATCTCATTACTTGATTAATTGAAAAGAAATTACCTTGATTTCTGAGCTTTTTAAGAGTATTTATCACTATGTTCACATACATATTTTTACTGCCACAGCGTTCATAAATAGCCTTTTCTTCTATTTTAGCCTAGATCACAAAGTGAACAATTAAATGAAAATATTAAATCCAAAGTCTATGCATAAATGTCATCTGCAATATAATGGATAAATATTTATCTAACTCAACAGACGGGGAAAAATGGTGCCACATACAAAAAGCAACTTATTTTACATGTTGTATTTATGTTTTTTGAGAAGGAAAGAAAAAAATGAACTTAATCCCATAAATCCAACCCAGGAACCAAATACCTATCTTCACAAACTAAAGACCACAGTACATTTATACAGGGTGCACAGTGCAAAGCCCATACGAAGTTGACAGTGTCCACGGACTCATTTGATTCTCAAAGCAAGCCTCTACTGTATCAGAGGCACCTACTATTATTCTTGCTTAAAAGGTGAGGAAACTAAGGCTAAAGGGGCCTCATAATTTGCTTAAGATCACACAACAAAGGGAAGACACGATCTTCATTTCATTATCTTTCTTCTATAAGTTACTTTCCTAAAACCATTAAGTAATTACTATTTTTATACCAGGACTTATGACAATAGCTCAGTAAAAGAAAAAAGGGATGAAATGTGAGAGATACAAGCGAAAGGAATATAACAATAATAAATAGTAGATTACTAATTTATTGTCCACCTAGTATGTGCAGGTTTGGTATAAGCTCATTAACTGTTTTCTCGTTTAATCTTCACTAGGATTCTACAAGGATGGGTGCCATCATCACCAATTTCCATGAGGAAACTGAGACTCAAGAAGAGTAAATATCTCGCCTACTGCTGCAGAGCTAGTTACTGAATCCAGGTGCGCCCACATGCCAACACCGAGACTCTTCTCCCTACAGTAAACCATCACCAACAGAAAGCCATAGGGCTGGGAGGAGCAGAGAAGACAGACAGAGATGCTGAAAAAGACAAAGTTAGAAGAAAAAGGGTAACATTTCTCTGTAAGAGGTTCCTTTTTTGTTTGTCTTTGTTTTGCCCTTATTCTTTAATCTATATAGAATCCTAGAGGAGACAGACTTCCAGAATGGCACGGTGAGAACCTTCATGAACTCATTGCCCCACAAAAACAATGAAAATACTGGCAAAACCAACTATTTCAAAGCTCTGAAAATTAACCAAAGCCACAGAACAAACTGAAAATTGTGGAAGAGAAACTACTGAACCTTGGTAAGATAGCGGGGTCTGTACCATTTTAGCTTGAGGCTATTCCCATCATCCCTTCCCTCCCCAGATTGGTGGCACCATAGCTGTAAAAAGTTGGCAGAGAGGACACACCTCTTGGACAGCTACAATAAAGGCACCATCCCCAGGGCACTGTCAACATTTTGTCAGAACGAGCAGCTCCCTGGAATATCTCTAGTCCCAGGGTGTTGTGGGTATTTAACTTGACTCAGAGCTCAGCTCATGGTGGGGGACCCTATCCCCAGAGCGCTAACAAAACTACAGCAGCTGGGCGGCATTATGGCAGCAACCCAACGCTATGATTTCAGTTGGGCAAACAAGAACCTGGCCAGGAATTTAAAAGAAAATCTTGGAGAACTAGATGACCATAAGGAAACTTGAAAAGCTCTGGCATATTCCTGAGGCTTAAAAGGTGGCCCAGGAAATATCCGGGAAAAGAGAAGGTCCCATTCACTCCCTAGTGGCTGACCTTGAAGCCTGGCACAAGCAGGAAGTAAAAGCCAACGCTGTCTTATAAACTGAAACAAGCCTGAAGACATGCCTTTTCATGTGGATTCCTGTGGCAAGGGGTGGAAGACATGTAGATAAGGCATTTAAGAAACTTTTCTAACCAATCATTGGCTGACCACTAAATTATACTGACACTAAATTATACTGACCCCATGAAGCCAGCCTTAAAATAAAAAATAAAAGCAAGAACTTAAAAAAAAATGCTACCATACAATTAGTGTCCATACACTGGAAGAAATACAAAATCTACAGAATTATTCCTGGAAAGTCACTAAACAAATAAGTAGCAACAAGAAAAACAACAAAAACCAAAAAAAAAAAAAAAAAATTAATGTATCTGACACCAGAGTCATTACAGTTATATTTATATTATCATTATATCATATTAAGTTATTATATTATTTAACTGTACAATTTTCAACAAAAAATCATGAGACATGTAAAGAAACAGGAAAGTATACCACATCCAGGGGAAAAAAGCAGCCAAGAGAGAAGGTCCCTGAGAAAAGCCCAATTTTGGACTTAGTAAATACAGACTTTAAATCAGTTATATACTAAAAAAAATTAAGGAAACTTATGTCTAAAGAATTAAAGGAAAGTAAGAAAATGATATCTCACCAAATAGAGAACGTCAATAAAGAGAAAGTATGAAAACAGAAAACTTTTAGAAGTTTTGAGGTTAAAAAGTACAAAAGTTGACAATTCACTGTAAGGACTCACCAAGAGATATGAGCTATCAGAACAAATAATCAGTGAACTTGAAAATAGATCAATAGAGATTACAGGTTTCCCTCACTATCCGAAAGTTCACTTTACGCCACTTTGCTTTATGAAAGACTGACATTATTTCCTGCTTTCACTAACCGAAAGAAACTGCCTTACAAAAAAAGGCAAAAAGCAAAGATAGCATTCAGTGTTTGTTTTGCAAGGAACAGTTACAGATGCAGCATGCACATGAGCAGTGAGAGGGGTGCCACCAAGCTCCTTCCCCAGGAACTACACTCGACATAACAGTATCAAGCCTCTACAGCTTGGAACTGTGTTTGTGAGCATCTGTGCTTTATCTTGATTTATTCTGGCAGGTTTTTTTGGTGGTCTGGGAATGCTCAAAAATTTTTGCCCATATAAATTAACGGTAATTGCTTCCTAGTTTTACGCCATTTTGGTTTACGAAAGGTTTCATAGGAATGCTTTACTTTCGGATAGCAGGGCAAACCTGTATTGTCTGAGGAGCAGAAATTAAAAAAAAAAAAAGAAAGAAAGAAAAATGAACAGAGGCTCAGACACCTGTGGGACAACATAAAGAATACCAGTATATGTGTAATGGGAAACCCAGAGGAAGAGGAGAGAGAGAAAGGAGCAGAAAAAAGTATTTGAAGGAATAATGGCCAAAACCTTCCCAAATATTATGTAAAATATTAATCTATATATCAAAGAAGCTCAACAAACTCCAAGAAGAATTTATTCACAAAGAGCCACATCTAGACATATGATAGTCAAATTGATGCAAGTCAAAGACAAAAGGGAAAATCTTAAAAGTAGTCAGAGAAAAATGACTTATCATGTACAAAGAAGCTTCAGTAAGATTAAAAGCTGATTTCTCATCAGAAACCATGGAAACAGTGGGATGATATCTCAAAGTGCTGAAACAAAAAGACTGTCAACCAATAATTCTGTATCCAGATAAACTCTTCTTTAAAATGAAAGTGAAATTAAAAGATTTCCAGATAAACAAAATCTAAGGGAATTCATCCTAGCAGAACTATCCTATAAGAAATACTAAAAAGAGTACTTTAGCCTGAAAAGGACATTAGATGGTAATTTGAATTCACATGAAGAAATAAAGAACATCGGTGAATGTAACTTCATAGGAAAATAGAGAGAATAAATGTGTTTTTGTTTGTAATCCTTTTCTTCTATTTTAAAAGACAATGGCATAAAAAATAATTATAAAATTGTGTTGATGGGCTTATATAATGATGCAATCTGTATGACAGTAACGGCATAAAGAAGAGCATAGAAAATGGAGATACACTGGGGCAAAATTTTTGCATAGTATTGAAATTAAGGTACTTTTAATCTGAACTAGATTGTCATAAATCAAGATGGTAATTTTAATCCTCAGGGGAAACACTGAGAAAATAACTCAAAAATATAGTCAAACAAATGACATGGGCATTTAAATGGTACATTCGAAAATACCTATTTAACGCAAAAGAAAGCAGTAATTATAGAGGAAATAAAAAGACATAAGATATATAGAAAACAAATAGCAAAATGGATGACGTAAACCCTATATTATTAGATATTAGTCATTAAATTAAATGTAAGTAGATTAAATACTTCAATCAAAAGGCAGTTTAAATCCAAAGGCATTTTAGATTCAAAGACCAAATAGGCTGAAAGGAAGAAAGATATACTTTGTAAGCAGTAACTAAAAGATAGTTGGAATGATTATACTAGTATCAGACAAAAGAGAGTTTGAAACAAGTTAGTAGAGACATTTTATACTCACAAGAGGGTCAATCCATCAGGAAGACATAAAAATTATAAATGAATATTCACCTAATAACAAAACACACAAAGCAAAAACTTACAGAATTGAAGTGAAAAATAACAACTCAACAATAAGAGTTGGAGACCTCAATAATCTACTTTCAATAATGGACTCAACAAGTAGAAGATCATGAAGAAAACAGAAGAACACTATGAAGTAACTGTACCTAATAGACATCAATAGAACACCCCACATAACAAGAGCAGAACACACGTTCTTCTCAAGCACACATAGACAGATCTTATATTAGGCCATAAAACAATCCTCAATAAATTTAAAAGGACTGAAGTCATACAAAATATGTCCTCTGATCACAATGGTATTAGATTAGAAATCAACAATAGGAAATTTGGGAAATTGACAAATATGTGGAAATTAAATTACACACTATCAAATAACCAATGGGTCAAAGAAGAAAATCACTAGGAGATTAACAAATTCTTTGAGATGAATGAAAATGAAAACACAACATACCAAAATGCATGGGATGCAGCTAAAGCAGTGCTTACAGGAAAATTAATACTGTAAATGGCTGTATTAAAAAGATCTCAAATAAATAACTTTACCTTCCATTTTAAAAAACTAGAATTTTGGGGCTGGTCCCATGGCCCAGTGGTTAAGTTCACAGGGTCTGTTTCAGCGGCCCACGATTTTGCTGGTTTGGGTCCTGGGTATGGACATGGTACCACTTATCAGGCCATGCTGTGGTGGCATCCACATAGCACAACCAGAAGGACCTACAACTACAATATGCAACTATGTGCTGGGGGACTTCGGAGAGCAGAAGGAAAAAAAAAAAGATTGGCATTGGCAACAGATGTTAGCTCAGGTGTCAATCTTTAAAAAAAAAAAAAAAGAAAGAAAGAAACTAGAATTTTAATAGCAAACTAAACACCCCATCCCCCATAAAGGAAAAAAGGAAGGAAATAATTAAAAAACTAGAGCGGAAATAAATGAAATAAAGAATTTTTTAAAATAGAGATAATCAACAAAACCAAAGGTTGATTTTTTGCAAAGATCAAGAAAATTGACAAAACATTAGCTAGAGTGACCAAGAAAAAAGAGAGAAGACTCAAAATTACTAAAATCAAAAATGAAAGCGAGGACACCACTACAGAACTTACAGAAATAAAAAGAATTTCTATGAACAGCTATATGCCAACACATTAGAAAATTTAGATGAAATGGGAAAATTCCTAGAAAGACAAATCTCCTGCAATTGACTCAAGAATAGACCTACAACAAGATATAAATTAATAATTTTAAAAAATTCCCACAAAGCCCAGACCTCACTGATGAATTCTTTCAAACATTTAAAGAAGAATACCAACCATTTACAAAATCTTCCCCAAAATAAGAGGGAACACTTTCTATCTCATTCTATGAGGTCAAGATAACCCAGAGACTCAAAAAGACAAACTTATTACAAGCAAACTACAATATCCACCAACAGATGAATAGACAAAAAAAAGTGGTATATACCCATAATGAAATATTATTCAGCTGTCAAAAGGAACGAAATTCTGATAAGTGCTACTATATATGAACTTTGAAAACATCACGCTAAGTGAAAGAAGTCAGACACAAAAGGACTAATACCATATGAGTCCATTTATATGAGGTACCTAAAATAGGCAAATTCATAGAGACAGAAAATAAAATAAACGTTATCAGGGGCTGGCTGGTAGGAGAGAGGAATGGGGAGTTGATCTTTAACAGGTACAGAGGGGCTGGCCCTGTGGCCGAGTGGTTAAGTTCGTGCGCTCCACTGCAGACGGCCCAGTGTTTCGTTGGTTCGAATCCTGGGCGCGGACATGGCACTGCTCATCAAACCACGCTGAGGCAGCGTCCCACATGCCACAACTAGAAGGACCCACAACTAAGAATATACAACTATGTACCGGGGGGCTTTGGGGAGAAAAAGGAAAAAATAAAAAATCTTAAAAAAAAAAAAAAAACAGGTACAGAGTTTCTGTTTGGGAAGAAATAAAAACTCTGGAAATGGATAGTGGTGATGTTAAACAACACTGTGAATGTACTTAACACCACTGAATTATGCACCTAAAAATGGTTAAAATGGTAAATTTTAAGTCATGCATGTTTTATCAAAATAAAAATATAAATTAGGTTTTAAAAAAAGAAAACTATAGACCAATATCTGTAGACCTGATGAATATAGACACTAAAATCCTCAATAAAATTCTAGGAAACTGAATCTAGCAACATATAAAAAAAGATTATACATCATGGCAAGGGGGTTTATCCAAGGAATGCAAGGTTAGTTTAACATAAAAAAATCAATCAATGTAATATACAGCATTTATAGAATAAAAGACAGAAAGTACCTGACATCTCAAGAGGTGAATAAAAAGGCCTTCAACAAAATCCAATATGATAAGACACAAACTAGGAACAGAAGGGAACTTAACCTGATAAAGGACATGTTAAAAAAAAACCCTACAGTTACCGCTGTACTTAATGGAGAAAGACTGAAAGCTTTCTCTCTAAGGAAGGAACAAGACAAGGATGCCCCCTCTTACCACTTCTATTCAACATTGTACTGGAAGTTTGTGCTAGGGAAATTAGGCAAGAAAATGAAATAAAAAGTATCCGACTTGGAAAGGAAGAAGTAAAACTCTCTCTATTTGCAGATGATATGATCTTAAACAAACAAAAAAAAAACCCCAAGGAATTCACTAAAAAACTATTAGAACTAATAAACAAGCACAGCAAGGTTGCAAGAGACAAGATAAAAAATCAACTGTATTTTTACATGCTAGCAATGAACAATCTGAAAAGAAAATTGCAAAAATAATTGCATTTACAAGAGTATTAAAAAGATTAAAACACCTAGGAATACACGTAACAAAAGTTCAAGACTTGTACTCTGAAAACTATGCAACGCTGTTGACAGGAACTAAAAGATTGAAATAAATGGAAAGACGTCCCATGTTCATGGTTCACAGACTTAATACTGCTAAATGGCCACGCTCCACAAACTGATCTACAGATTCAAAGCAATCTCTGTCAAAATCCTAACTGGAGATTTTTGCAAGAAATAGAAGCTTATGCTAAAAGTTAGATGGAAATGTCAGGGACCAAAACAGTTTGAAAAAGAACAAATTTGGAGGACTCACAGTTCCAATTTCAATACTTATTACAGAGCTACGGTAATTAAGACTGTGTAGTACTGGCACAGGATACAAATAGAGACCGAGGGAATAGAATCAGAGTCCAGAATTTATGGTCATTTATACTTATATTTATGACCAACTGATTTTTTACAAAAGTGACAATTAAATGCAGAAAGATAATCTTTTCAACAAATGGTGCTATGACAACTGGATATCTACATTCAAAAGAATGAATTTGGACTCCTATCTCACATCTTTTACAAAAATCTATTCAAAATGGATCATATACTTATATGTAAGAACTAGAACTGTAAAATTCAGAAAAAAAGAAACATAGGAATAAATCTTTGTGACCTTGGTTCCTTAGATACAATAGCAAAAGCACAAGCAACAAAGAAAAATAGATAAACTGGAATACATCAAAATGAAAAACTTTCTGTGCTGCAAATGATACCATCAAGAAAGTAAGACAATCCACAGAAAAGAAAAAAATATTTGCAAACGTTCTGCTAAGAGACTTGTATCCAGAACATATAAAGAACCCTTACAACTCAACAATAAAAAGACAAGTAACTCAAAATATGGACAAAGGATCTGAACAGACATTTCTCCAAGAAGACATGCAAATGGCCAATAAGCACATGAAAATATGTTCAACACCTTTAGTCATTAGGGAAATGCAAATCAAAACCACAATGAGATATCATTTCACGCCCACTAAGATGGCTATACAAAAAGACAATAAGAAGTGTTGACAAGGATGTGGAGAAAGTGGAACCTTTATACATTGCTGGTGGGAATGTAAAATGGTGCAGCCACTTTAGAAAACAGTTTGGTATTTCCTCAAAAAGCTAAATACAGAATCAGCATTATGACCCAATAATTCCACTCCTAGATACACACTCAAGAGAAATGTAACCATTTGTCCACACAAAAACTTGTACACAAATGTCCATTGGTGTACAAATGTTCACTAATAATAATAGCCAACAAATGGAAATAACCCAAATGTCCATTAACCGATGAATGGATAAATAAAATGTGTATATCCATAAAACAAAATATTATTTGGCAATAAAAAGGAAGTAATGATACATGCTATGACATGGATGACCCTTGAAAACATTATGCTGAGTGAAAACATTAAGCTGGTCACAAAAGAACCACATATTGTATGATTCCTTTTTTATAAAGTGTCCAGAATAGGCAAATTAATAGAGACAGAAAGTAAATTAGTGGTTGCCTAGGGTTAGGAGATATGGAGGATTGAGAGAGTGACAGCTAAAGGGTACAGGGTATCTTTTTGGGGTGATGGAAATTTTTGTTTTGTTTTGTGGTGAGGAAGATTGACCCTGAGCTAACATCCATGCCAATCTTCCTCTATTTTGTATGTGGGATGCTGCCACAGCATGGCTTGCTGAGCAGTGTGTAGGTCCACACCCAGGATCTTAACCCGTGAACCCCAGGCTGCCAAAGCAGAGTATGCAAACTTAACCACTACACCACCAGGCCAGCCCCATGGAAGAAAATGTTTTAAAATAGATTGTAGTGGTTGCACAACTCTGTGAATATACTCACTGAACTGTTCATGTTAAATGGGTGAATTATTGGGTATGTGAATTATATCTCAATGCAGCTGTTAATAAAGAGAATCTTTAAATTAGTCCTTCCTTCCTCCTAAGGCAGGAATCTCCCGTTATGACAACAACTTAGCTTATATCCCAAACATTTCTAGCAAGTGACAGCTCAATGCCTTGTGAAGCAGCTGCTTTACAGACAGCATATCAGTTAGTAAGGTCTTCCTGATATTGACCTGAAATCCACCTCTTTTTGCATCTACCCATGGTCCTTTTTATAACCTCCAGAGCAACCTGAATTAGCCTCACGCAGAGGAATGGCAGTACCAGGCCAAAATCTAGTGGTCAGACATGCATTTGTCTAACAGTGTCCAAAATAGAGATTTTAACATAAAAATTCCTGGCAGACTAGAAAATTTGTAAATATTGGACTTGAATTTCCAAACTGCAATAAGCAGATGGAGCTGAGTAATGTCTCTCCACCTTTAGATGGGACTTATTCTGTCTAGCAAGCCATACTCCCCACCACTCTTTATTTCTACCCAGTACTCCTGGGTTCTTGAAGATAGGCATGGGAGTGGGAGCTACAGTTATTGCCAATGATCTGAAAGGTTTCAATTTGGAGAAAAGGTTTTGAGTAGAAATTGCAAACACAGGTGCCTCCAAGAGACCAGGCATGGCCCATAAATGAGCATAAGTAGGTGTAAGCAATAGGGAGTGCTGGGGACTATGGCTCACCACACAGTATGTGCCCCATATAAATGGGGTAGGAGACACTACTCAGATTAATATACTACTGATCTTAATATGAAAATCAAGGGACTAAGACAGTTTTTATCACCAGAAGCAATCGGGGTAATTTTTACAACTTAAGAAGACGAGAAAAATCTTCCAAGAATGGGTCCCACAGCCTTGTTTCTCAAAAGCAGTGGAGAGAAAATGAATCAAGTTATTTGCTAATTGTGCCCCATGAGTTTCTTATTCATCATAACGGTTACTAAGTGTGTGTGCGCCTTCAGATAAATTACAGTATTCAGTACTGACCTTGCTAAAAGCCTCATCCTCTGTTTTATAAACTCTCAAATACTTCTCAAAAAAGAGGTTGACATAGCATTGTCTTACTTCCTCAGGAACTTTGGAAGAGGACTCTGATGTCACAAAAGCCCTCTTCCGACGAGCCGCCTTATATTTCGGCATCTTAAACACAAAATCGTTGATGAGAGCAAAGAAGAACAGGTGTGTTTCTGTTTAACATTCCTACTACGTGTATGAATGAAGTAAAGCTATCTTAGGTAAGTTCTATGTTAGAATTAAATTAAAAATAATTTCAAGTTTTCAATTCTTTAAAAGTAGAATACATACAAGATATAAAATTATTTATACTCGCAAAAGGGAGAAGCGAGGTTGCTGAGTCAGCGCCGCTGTATGTACACCGTCATGGCGGATGTGACCGGATCCAGAATCTTAGAGCTGAGATCTGGTCCTCTGGTCAGCACAGAGGAAAGCGCGCAGTCTACCCTTCTTAAAACAAATATACGTCCCAGAGTCTTTCAGTTACCAATTCACCCAAAAAAAATGCTCAGGCTTAAATAAAATTTATGAAGGATTTGTGCACACTCAATATTAAAATGATCCCAGCTTAAACAATTTTAGCATTCCTTTTGCAGGACTTATAAAGACTATAAGAATTCGAGAATGAGTTCATCTGCCTCACTTTTGGGGGATAAAAGCCAATATTATACCTCTCAGTAGTTGTTCCCTTGTAGCACAAAGAAATTTTCGGGAGGGAAAAACTGACAGGTAGTTTTCTGCTAAAGAATATTTGGTAAACAGGAAAAAAAAAAGTCATTGCCACAAGTAGGAGAAAAATTACTAAAGAGGTAAGGTCGTGCTATCACATCACTGATGACATTATTTACTAACAGTCTGCCTGCCTGTCTCTCACATCACATACATACACCCCTCACTGGGTGTAGCTTGAAAGCTATATTCCAATATGAAACTTGCTTTTGAAAACAGTTGAGGAGGAAGCTTAGGTTAATCATAGCATGTCTTAGGGCTAAACAAATGCCTAAAATTTCCAAGGATAGGATAACGAAAAGAGCCAAAAGTGACACAGAGACACACATCCATCATAAAATGAAAATAACTATAACGGTAACCGAAAAAACTTTTGAAATTTCTCTCTAATGAGTCCGGTGTTTATCTGAATTAGGGATCTTCCAAAAGAAGAATACAACCACTTTCCCAGAGGCTCTTATGTAGACAGGACATGACGGGTCTTAGAAATGAAACTCTGGTCTCCACACTTGGTTTATCATACCTTTCCAGGGGAAGCAGCAATGCTCTTCACGGGAACGTGTGACCTGCTTGGCTTTGCAGCTGCGTTTTCCCTCGAAAGAACTACATCCAGATCAAAGCTGTTTGATGGAAGTGAATTTTCTAAGAAGTTTCCAAGAACCAGAAAAAAAAGGTAAATTTTCATGACATTAGCCTCAGATGATCAGTTTATTTTAATCATCGATTCAAAATTTCAAACACGTCCTTTATAAGCTCAATATATATATATATTTTTCCTTGAAGAGAACAAAATACAAACACAAAAAAATCCCAATAACCAACCCCAGTATAATCTAGAAGAACAAATTTAGATAATTTATAAAGCAACTTGCTCCGTGTAAGAAGGCTTGCAAAATAGTACCATCTATTGCTTAGCATTTAAGGACAAACAACATAAATGATTTAAATATCATGCTAATCATATGATCTCATGTAAAGCTCCGTATAGTTGACTCAGTTATAATTGGTAACATATGGACTTCATAGGAAATATTTAAAAAATAAGGTAAAATCTCATTTCTTACATAAATGATTTAAAAAAAAAAAAGGTTTTCTCTACCTCCTGAGGCTTTCCTCTGGGTCTGAGAGGCTGGACATGCTAATGCGTTTTTCTTCTGTTCCGAAGTGGCAGCAACAAAAGCCTGCCCACTCCTAACGGCAGCTATTATCTGCACTGCCTGCTGCTGAGCCGGAAGGATGCCGGTGGGACTAACTAGGGGAACTGGTCCCCTGAATGGGCTAATGATCTCTTTACTGGTTGGAACCTAAGGAGTATCAACATAAAACAAAGGAAAATGATCTTAAAAATTGATAAGATGGATAATTTCACTTTACTTGGAATCGCTACATTCAGAACACCACATGTGACCCAATACACACATAATTGGAGTATTCCTGGACACAAACTGAAATAATAAAATTGAACAACTATTTAAGCACCTAAGAAAATTTTCTTGAAATAAGAGAAAAAAATCAAATCTCATATGAAATTTTGCATGCCAGTAAAAATGTTAATGAAATGGCTAACAATAAGACACATTCTACCAAAGTTACTGGAATTCGAAGTTAAAGACCCCTTTAGGTAACCAGGCCAAAGCATCAGGTGACTCATGAAGAGAAATAGCAGGCTAGCATCAGACTGAACAGCAACATCCGTTAGAGGAAGAGAATGGAACATATGAAAGAATGTTCTGCTTGACTAGTAACCAAAGAAACATAACAGAAAACAAGGAAATAAAATTTCACCCAGATTTACAGGTTTTAAAAAAATTATAATACCCATTTTTGGGAAGGGTTTGTGGGAAGGGAACCCTGAAACACTGGGTAGGACTGTAAGTTGTCACTACCCTTCTAGAAGGCAATATGGCAACATACTTTTAAAATCTTAAAAATCTTTATCTTCTTTTGTCCCATGTCTTTCATTTGTGAGAATTTAAGGGAAAAAAAAAATCACTGATGAAACCAACAATTATTTAAATATAAGAATATGGGAGGAAGTTATACAGCACAGTAAAACGCAAACTATAAATACCACAGCACTCAAAATTAAAGGGAAATAATGTTAACCTCCAAAAAGCTTTCTTCATAAGAAAGAGAGAAGGGGAAAGAAACTAGTTTAGTAGGTACCTAAATATCTGACCCTGGGAAAAGCAGGCACTCAACATTTCCATTTCACAGATAAAGAAAAGGAAGCTCAGAGAAATTGAATAACTTGCCCAAGGACATCTAACCATTCTGTGAAGAACTGGAATTCAGGTTCTTAATTGTGACTTGGAAGCATCAACTCCTTTTATGCCATGCAGAAGATTCTGCTGTCAGTACGTACAGAATATAAATACCACAGAGATGAGAGCAGAGAAAATTCGTGTTAAACAGCACTTTCAATACAAGAGTGTCAAAGGACTACTACTTGCTACCGTGCTTCTTCAACTTCTTTACACGTCATAAAAGAACTTCACCATTTATAACAAAAATTACAAGAGGTTCAAATTACTTTGAAAAACTACAGTCAATTCTCCTTATTCACGGCAGTTATGTTTTATAGAATCTCGCAAACACTGAATCAGCGAATCCTGAACCATTGCTCCGAGGGCAAATACAGAGGCAGTCACAACATTTTCATCAACCAATCAACACCGTCCTTGTTTTAAGTGTGTTTCTGTTCAAAGATACTTTATTTAGTACACATTGATGATTCGTTCCCGTTGAACGCGTGGTCAACAGCACTGGAACTCACAGCTGAACGAAACTGATCTAACACACACATTTTCTCCATAAAGCACATTCCAGCCTTCTTGCTTGTAGGAGTGCTAGACAGCACGATACTTGGGGGTCATTTTAAACAGTGAAATCACCAAATAAAACACAAAAATACAAAAACCATGGCCCTAACTAGACTGAGAAAGGGACATTAAGGCAGTGTTGCCTTGTCCCCCCTTAGCTGGGAATGTGCTCATTAGGCAACTCAAAATTTTTGGCACAACATATGTCTGCAAAAGACCACAAAAGCACGAGTCTTGATTTTAAGATCACAAATTTAAGGTTACAAATTAATTTCACTGAATAGGTGAATTCGCAATTACAAAATCTGAAAAATAATGAAGATTGACTAGATTAATTTATGGTTAAAAGGCTATGCAGTAGCAATACACCTGCTTTTAATGAAAATGTTAGACAAGGGGGAAAAAACAACGGGGAAAATGCTTACAAGTAGGAGTTAATTTTATTGACTGCCCACTTGTGCCCCCTGGTGGCTACCAAGACAAGTACTAGAATACAATTAAAGCTCAAAATGACAAGGTATGTACTTTACACAATAACGTGCCACACAAGACAGGAACTAAATGACTCACGTCAAACTTGGCAATGTGTGCGATTCTCCTTTTTGGTCCAGGAATGTTTTGGTAATACAGCATATCTAATTTCATTTGCTTTCCTGAAGCCTAGTGAGATAAAGATAAGAATCATCCAATATCAGCATAGGAAAGGTAAATCCAGCATGTTTCCTGAAGAGCCACAGGGATCCAAGCTACGAAATACTGGACAACTTACTAAGAAACAATTCACAAGAAATAATTTAATTTGGATAATCTGATATGCAGAGATTCCTATAAAAGATTCCTCTAATTTGGGAAATCAACTATACATTACTGTATGTAATAACAAGGCCTCCGGATACTGTCAAATCTGCAAGACACTATTGCCAATTATCAAGGCTTTTGCTTTGTCATTCCAATATATTATTGATCACAAGTAGTAGAACATATATATGTGTTGTGTGTGTGTCTGTGTGAATATATCCTATAGCGTTTAGAATACAGAGAATATGTACTTAAGGGAAATTCCTTTAGATTTAGTAAAAGAAGGGTAAAGAAAACTGGCCAGCCTGCTTAGCAGCCTCTCCCCTCTGAGCTTGACTTTCGGTGAACTCATTGAAAATTCGAAGACATTCCTTCACAGTGTCACCAGAATCAGAGGGAGTGTCAGCTTCAGGACGCTCCTTATCAAAATCAAATTCCACTAATTTGCTGTCTTCAAAAGTAGTGAAGTCTTGACTACCGCCTCGCACGCTCAGCACACTGCCTTTTGCGTGCTCATCTGAGTAAGCACTTTGCGGCTGGCTTGCTGAATACTGACATTCGGTTTCTTTTTGAGTATCATAAATTGTTTTTACATGGTTTTTCCTCTTTGGACAACTTGCATTATGACTTGTGTTCTGTGTTTCTTTGTCCCTGAGAAGTGCACAACATATACTTTCTTCTGAAATACAGACATGCTTTTTCTCACCACCAAAGCTTCCCATCCTAGAAATGTGGTTTTTAACACCATACATGTTTATGTTACTTTTAACATCTAGTGAGGTGTTCGTGAGCGATTTGGGTGGTTCTAGTCTGCTACCATCATCAGCTATTTGCACAGCTAGTTGGGTTTTATCTACTCTTTCCTCTTCTGTGCCACTAATTTGAAGGTTTCTCTCCTCCAGGGGCATTATATGTACCCTTTCATCTATAGTCTGGTATTTGAAGCCTCTAAATGGTCTAGATTTTTTAGAAGTAGGCATGACCGGAGATACATCTATCACAAGGTCATCTTCATCAGAATCTTGAAGATTTATTTTAATTCTTATTGGTGAGACACAAGGTCTCTGGCTCTCCTGGGACTTGTGGCAATTTTCACCCACAGATTTTTTCAGGTGGCAGAAATGCTGGGTATCAGTGTCACCCTGCTTTGCTTCAGATGTCCCCATTGGCCCTGCAGAATAATTGAACAAAGGATCACATTCAAGATCGGCTGCCGGACACGCGTGGTCCCCCGCATGCTTTCCAGGCTGACCCTCTCTGTTCTTGGGTGGCTCCTCCCGCTTGTCCTTCTGGAGCAGGCTACCTTCGGGAAAATCTTCTCTCACACTTGTGCCACGAATGGAGGCCACAGGGCTTCGCAATAGCTCTTCAAGTGCTGAAGTAAACTGAGGCAGCCTCTTCTGCTCTTCTTCAACTTCAGTCTTGACTGACTCAGTTTCTCTGTTGATTCTTTCCAGTCCTTCCATAGTTTTGCCTAGTGTTGTCAATGGAAGATGAGTTTTATCTTTAAAAATGACTTAAGATGAAAGACAGACTCCAGAATATCCTGGACAAGTAGCTTCCCATTAGAAGGACATTAACTCTTTGAAACCCAGCCTTAAACACAAGCAGTTGTTTACTAACTGATCAGTTCTTGGGAGGAGGAGAAGTCAATGGCTATCATTGTTTAAGTCTTTCGAACGTCTAGCTCATTCTCATGACTGATTAAAGTACATTCATATCGTATTACTAGAATGGCTATACATCAGTGAGGCAGGCCAGGTTTTTTGAAAACAGTTCAAAAGCTGAATGCCGCTTACACAGAACTGTACATAGCATCACACACCAATACATCTCTTCTGTCATAATTTATTTAAAGCTCTAGTCTTTCCTTAATTTAGTGAGTCTAAACATTCCCACTAAGGTCTCTGATGTCCTACAAAATGACTCAAACACAAAATATACCAAAACACCCCCCATCAACAACCACAAAAACTTAAAAAAAAAAAACCAACACATAAAACAAAACTCCAGAACAGCCAGATCCTAACTCCTGAGGAAGCCCAGGATAGAGACAAGAGTTAAGGTTTGCACTCATGGCTGTTCACAACACCTGTCAGCTCCTCCCTGACTTTTACTAAGGAAATCACCACCTCTTCCCTTTTTCCAACACACGCTTGTCTATATCAGTTACGGGACAATTTACACACTTCTCTCTTCTTCCAAACAAGAGATCTCAGATATGAGATGTGGTCCAAATTACGTTTAAAACTCTAAATTTATTTTAGATAACCTATGTGTTTTGATAACACACACATGCTTCCTCTTTACACAATGAGCTTTCTCCTGGCTCAAGAGTCTTCCTATTCACCACTCATTTTCTATTAAGAAATTAACTCTATTGAAATCCACAACAACGTCTGTGTGACAAAGGTGTATGTCATTTGGATGGAGGAGGGAGAGGGCAAAGAGCAGGCACGAGATTGAGAATTATCCTCGAGTCCCAACATAAACGCCCGGATCTAATTTCTCTTTAAATAAACTTGGAAAGGGGAGTAAACTCTGGATAACCAGCCAGAATTGCATTTTAGCATAAGCTGTTTTATTTGTAGTCATGATTCAGGAAAGGTCGTTTAAGCAGTGCTTTGGGGGCGCCATTAAAAAAAAAAAAGTGATTATACTTTCCCTCCGTGTCACAGTTTATATTTTTTTTTTTGCTCCATCAGAAGCTAGATCTGGAGGGCTAATTTTGAAGTTTGAAGGCACACATACAATCTTTCCTCAGTTAGAGGTGCTGGGGAAGAGCCTTTTGATTTGTAAACACTCCTTCACCCAAACGGGGTCCCACCCCACCACCTTTCACCAGAGCACAGGAAACCCCCTTCTAATAACTCCACGCTGGGGTGAAGATACAACCACACAAGACCACGCACGTGCATCTTACAACCAGCAAACCTGGGCACGCCTGTCGGAGATCCTGCGCTCCCAAGAGCTGGCATCTGCAGATCCTTACAGGGCAACCACAAACCCACCGCACGCACCCCCCCCCCCTCCCTGGCCACGTGACTTCGCCCCCCCGCCCCGTCCCCCCCCCCCCCACCCCCGGGCAGCGCGGGGCCACCCACGTAGAGTGGGGCCGGCGCCTGGAGTTCTCAGTTACTGTTACCAAGGAGGAGGCTTCCAACAAGAATAAGACGGGCCAGGCAGCCCACGCCAACCATCTTCCTGAATGTAACTGGGACGCCTCCCTACCCGGGTCTTCAGGAACTGTGTGTGCCCCAAAAGGCCTGCAAAAACGCCCCCAAAGAGGACCCCCCCCCCCCCAGCACCCTCACTGTTCTGTATATCTCGGAACATGCTTTCTGTGGGAGGGACGAAGAAAGACCAAATAAATACTAGTACTTAAGGCCCCTGGTCCTGGGGGTGTGATACTGGGAGGATTTTTCTCTTAAGGACTCTAGAACAACTTGGTTCCTCGCTCTAAGGCAAGGGCTTTTTTCTCTCTTGCCCATTACAGCCGCTCTGTAGGAATTGTCTTAAGTAGTTAAGGTAGAGGAAGACAGACTAAAGTCCCTCTTTGAGGGCTGGGAAAGGGGCAGGTTATAGGCAGAGAAAGGAAATACGAGAGTGCAGAATGGCGGACAGACAGGTTAAAAAAGGAACTGGTTTTATTATGTCCTTTCACAGGAAACAGATCAGAGGTCCAGAGAACGCACTCAGGAAAGGCAGGGATGGCATAGAGAGTCAGCATGGGCAAATGAGAAGACTCCCCTCCCCCCGCCCCCTGCAACACACACACCAGCCTGGGTGTATGACACCCTTGTCACTTCTAGACTAGAGAAGAGGGGAGAAGAAAGGGAGCACCGGTAAGGACTACCTGACTTTCTTCATGCCCACCCACCCCGATACCTTGGCTGCACTTCACCGATGGCCTCTACAATGGTATCTTCAAGCTATGCCAACTGAGGATGAGAAGCCAATTTTTTAAAATATAGTTCACATCGTCTCCTTTGGCCATTTTAGCCCTAGTAATGCTATACTGATTAACTTTTGCACTCTGCAATACTTTGGTACCGGAGACAAGTTATGTGATTCAAAAGTGACTCTTACACCTATTTTCAATCAAGAAAATTCTTGGCACCTCCCAAGGATGGGTGGAGAAAAATAGTGGGAATGGTTGATACTCAACCCCTCCCCATGCCCACCTGACAGTCTTCCCACAAGCCCTCTCTCACTCAGGGATTCAACAGGGCTCCTCTGCACCTGGGGCACCTGCAGGCAGCTGCAACCACCTGCTTCCCTCAGCTCCCGCCACATTTCCTGGTGCCTGAACTGGCAGTACAAATGCTGGCACCGCCCCCTGGGGCTGTCGAAAGGGCATGGAAAATGGCAAAAGTAACCACAGAGGGTAGCATGGGCTATGCTCAAGGCCACCCCTTGAGAAACTATGCTGTTGGCAAGATCAGCCCTCCCTGCTGCCTCTTTTCCCTCAAGGGTACCATCTTGTATAGCCATAGCTACTCAAAGGTGGAGCTTCATAGCTTTCCCAACTAATGGTGAGTCTGGGGCTGGTGTCAGGGGAGAAAATGGGAAATGAGTGAATGACTGTGAGAATGGATGGTAGGGGGATTGGCAGGTGAGTGTGAAGTGTATGTCTGTCCTCCATGGAAAAGAAGGTTCCTAGACACCTAAACTAGAAGTAGGGAAAACAGTTTCCCAGGAGCTGAAAGAACTTTAAGTGAAGGAACCTCCTGCCTTATGGATGCCAGGCCTACATTGCTCCTAAACAACATCCTTTGACTTAGAAGTTTGACTATTAACCTTCATGGATCGTGGAGGGAACCTCAGTGTGGAAGCACATCTTAGCTTTGCCCCTCTCTAGCAGGTAATCTTAGGCAAGGTATCTGACTTACCTGAGTTTTTGTTTCTTGATCTGTAAAATAAACTTGCTTTTCATAGCGTAGTAGAATTCAATGTGATACAATGTACCCATGTGCCTAGCATAAGGTAGGTGAGAATTTAGGAGGGCATTAAAATGTGTCCTAAGTTCTCCACCCTCCATTCTCCATACCTATTCACAAAAGACCTGTTGCATGTGCCTAAAATCCTTCTAGTTGAAAGTAGAAGGGAAACAATATGCCTATTCCATTGGTGGTCTTTGTAAATGGAAATACTCCTGGGATAGATGGCCTCATAAGTCACTAATAACTCAGATTAGTCTGTGAAAGGCTTTGCTTTTCATCCAATAGAGCATGAGCCTGGATCCTTGGGGTAAGAGAGAAGGAAGAGGGCCCTTCATCTCTAAAGCACATGGGGTCCGTAAAATCCCCCTCTAGGAAGTTACATGCTGGGATCCCTTCTTCTTTCTCTTCTTCTGGAACACCATGTTATCTCATATGGTGATGGATGCTTTAGAAATGGAAAAAAAATCCTTTCTTAGTCTGTCCCATGAGAGCAGCCCTGATGACTTTTACACAATTCAAGAATGCTAGAATTCTCGAGCACTAATTTAGTTTCATCTCTTGATATGGCACAACTGTTTTGCCAGTGAAATATGAACAGGTGTGTTCTTTTTGCTTTGGTGGTGGGGAGGAGCATAGGTGTTGGTGATTACCCTGAAAGTCCTCAAAAATGGCCCCAGGGAAGGTCAATATCTAAACGTCCTCATTTAAAAATGAACCAGCCTAGAGTAAATACTTCTCCTAAGTCAATTTCCAGGATTATTTTTACTTGATGAGTTTTCTACACCTTAAATTATTTCCTTGTATTTTTTTCCATTAAATAATTTTTATAGCTGAGAGAATTTTATTGAATATGTCCTTCTTTTAAGACGCTAGAAAATTTAAATGTCTCAGCAGAGTTTCCAGATCATGATATTAATGTGAGTCACAAAGATGCTTTTTTATGACAAAATATTAAAGCTGTCTATTCATCCATGGGGATTTCCTCCTTTACTTCCTCATTCTGAATTACGTCTGGCTCATCATTCATGCCTGTATCATCTGAGGCTGTGGAAACAACGTCCGTTGTTCTAGTTTTTGACACTGTGTCTGATTGCCTCATTTCTGAAGAAGGAGTCCCCCAAAATGTGCTGCTCTCAGCGCTCTTAGAAAAAGATGTGTCTGATACGCCCTCTGATGGATGGAAGTAAGACAGAGCTGCCAGTTCTGGGTTGACAGAGTATTCACTCTGAGATGTCTTATTGTAACTGAAAAAGAAAAAATATATCAAGAATTGTTTTGATTGTGTACATTTTCAGGTCAACTCAACTTGGAAAAGCATCAGAAAAGTTAAAGCAATATATGATTTCTGTCCAATGTATTGATACTTGATATAACACTATACAAATGGATGAAGAATGTTAGACCCTAAACAGATGTGCAGTTCAGAACAGAGTTCATAGCTCTTTTGCTCCAAGGCTATCTAGAAAGGATACATATCTAGATTCTCTATATCCTTTCCAATTGACTGGGGTTATTTCTATCCCTAGACTACTATTTTAGATGTTGGGGAAAAGTTCAAGTGGATATTCCCTGTGAGACAGCCCGATGCTCCTTTCCAAATCTAGGAAATGGAGCCCAACTGGATACGTTATAGATAAATTTGGGAGTCACATTTTCCTAACAATCTACTAAAGCGAGGAGGCTGAGAGCTTCACATCACGTATGTTATGAAGATTCCAGAGGTCTGTAGACTTACTTCCGCAACTTCACTTTGTACAGCATGGCACTACCGATTGCCAAGAGCGTGACGAGGAGGAAGAGTGTCAGCAGTGAGATGCCCAGCATTAATTTTAACTTGACTTCCTGTAGCTCTGCCAGTTTGTCTTCATTTGTAGCATTCACATCAGAGCCTGAGAGGAAAGAAAGAAAATGCAATGGAAAAGAGCAACTGTGCTCAGCATGAGTTCCTGGAGGAGTGAGGATTGCAAAGCAATGGCTGAGAAGCCTTCACCATCCGGAGGTGATGATCCGGAGTGATGATCACTACTCTCTCCTCCTGCCCTCACGCGCTGCAAAGGCAGCTGCAGGCTACTCCCCATGGTTAACTACTCTTAACTTTTTTTCAGGTTTTTAATGATTTCATTGAGGTCATGTTGGTGGATAACATTGTGTAAATTTAACTTTTTCTGTTTAACCTTCACAGCAATCCTGGAGGAGCCATCCTTAGAGCCATTTTACAGGATCATGGAAGCTTATGAATTTGCCCATGGCACCTGGGTAGTAAGTGGCAAAATCTGGTTTCAAACCCAGATTACCACATGTTAAAATATGTATGTAGCCGACTTCCTCCTTGATTAATAAAAAGTAGTTCAAGACTCTGAAGAGATTACTATTAAAAATGTGATGAATTTACACACACGGGATTAGTCCTTTGGGAGAGAAAGATGCAATTCCACTGTTGGGCCATGCATTAAGTTTTCTTTTAAACTAAAAGGATGGTGTACTAGATGCTTTCTCCATGAAGCTTAAGAACTGAATTTACCGTTTTATTACTGAGATCAAACCTAATGTACTTGATATTAAAAAAAAGAAATGGAAACTTACTTAACTTTCTAAGTTATGTAATAAAAATCACGTCTGGATCTAGAGATGTCAAAAGCTATTTTACTAAATCTATCAATGGAAATATATCTTTACTGCCAAATTTTATATTTTCCTGAATATGTTTCTGACTTAATAGACACATTTATTTAATGGTGACTTTAAATGACCATGTTGATATTTCTCCCCCTTTCCCCAACTTCCTTCCACCCAAAAGTTCCAAGGGTTTCATTATTTTCTAAGTAATGATGGTTTAGGAATAAGCAATGACAAGCTCCCATGTCTATATTTTCTGATTTTTAAAAATTGTAATTGTCTAAGTGTGATCGTAGGCCAAGGGTAATGAAATGTGTACAATTGTCAATGACTGATATCTTGACTTTGAGGCAGATTATTTGGGGAATAGCCAAACTAATGATGTTTAACTGGGCTGTGCTCCTGAATTGCTTTGCTAATCCTTAAAAGGGTTTTTGTAAAGAGGTGTGCATGTAGTACATTTTATTTATCAAGGTGATTGTCAAAACTAGAGAAGGGTTTGGAATTCCTAACCATTGGAAATTACAGAAAAGGTAATTCCCACTTTGGCCAGGTTTTCTCTCTAAGCCTCAGTTTCCTCATCTGTAAAATGGAGATAATACCAACTTCATGGAGTTGCTGTGAGGACTGACATGATAATGTATGGAAAGCACCTAGCATGTAGTTTGTGCTCAATATGTGACAGAAAATCAGTCATGCTCAATTTAATTACTTGGAAAGACAAAATATTTCTAAAGTGGCACGCCATTTGTCATTCTTATACATAACTTTTCTAAACAAAGAAGACTCACTCCATTTTCTTGACGTACCACAGGCAAGAGTCTGTACTTGTCAAATAGTCAAGTGCAAAACTGAAGTGACCATCCTTAGATGTATTACCAGGTGCCATTTCTTTTTCAATGGTTTATTTGTAGGACTGAGGTTTGGGGGAAATTAATATATTGCCTTGTCATAAAATTTGCCATTCAAATCAGCAGTTCTTTTACTCAGATAGATATAACTAATTATGAATTATAATAAAAACGACTTCATTCGGCAGCAGGAGTTCTCTCATTCATTGCTGCTGGGAATGCAAAATGGTGTAGCCACTTTGGAAGACAGTTGGGTAGCTTCTCACAAAGTTAAACACAGTCTTACCAGATGATTCAGCAGTCACGACCCTTGATACTTCCTGAAATGAGCTGAAAACTTATGTCCACACAAAAACCTACACATGACTGTTTATAGCAGCTTTATTCATTATTGCCAAAAATTGGAAGCAGTCAAGATGTCCTTCAACAGGTGAATGGATAAACAAACTGGTACATCCAGACAGTGCAATATTACTCAGTAATAAAATCAATGAACTATCAAGCCATGCAAAAACATGGAGGAATCTTGAATGCGTATTACTAAGCAAAAGCAGCCAGTCTGAAAAGGCTACATACGTATGTCTCCAACTGTATGTCATTCTGGAGAAGACAAAACTATAGAGGCAGTGAAAAGGTCAGTGGTTGCCAGGAGTTTGGAGGAGGGACAAATGGATAGGTGGCGCATAGGGGGTTTTTAGGGCAGTGAAACTACTCTGATTGTAATGGTGGACACATGCCGTTAAACATCTGTCAGAACCCCTAGAATTGTACAAAGAGTGGACCTTAATGTAAACTATAGACTTTCTTTAATAATAATGTATCAGTATTGGCTCACAAATTGTAAAAAATGTACTACACCAATGCAAGATATTAATAATAGGGCAAACTGAGCAGGGAGCATCTAGGAGAACTCTCTGTACTTTCTGCTCAAGTTTTCTGTCAGTCCAAAGCTGCTCCAAAAAAAAAAAACAGTTCTATTAAGAAAACCCCCACATTCTATATATCATTCACCTCCCTACTCCTCCATTTGGTTTATCTGTTTCAGGAACAGAAGTTACAAAACAGGAGGATGGAAACAGTCATCTGCAATATGGTAACTGGAGAACAATACTTTCCTAAGTCAGTAAATGTCCTCTCTGATATGGTGTTAGCCTCCATGCTACCCTCTAAGCTACACTATAACTCACTAGGGAAAACAGTATCACCACGCAGACACTAAAATGTGTGTGAGTATCCATTTAATTGAAATATTTTGTTCTTACTTGGAATTGGTTGAAATAATTCATTTTTTCCATCATTTTCCTCATTGGTTGTTGCATTTAGAGCTGTTAAAACAATAAATTGGTGTTATGGTAAACAAAGCTCACTTACTAAAATTATTGTATGTGTGTATAATATATACAGTTTATTCTCGTTATTCATGGTAGTTACGTTCTATGAAGCCACATGTACACTGAACTAGTAAATACTGAACTGCCGCTCCTAAGGGAAATACAGGGTGAGGTTCCTGAGAGTCTCTGGTCACATTTTCATCAACCCATCCATGCACGACCTTGTTTTATGTATGTTTCTGTTTAAAAACGCTTTATTCAGTATATGTTGCGGATTCATTCATATTGAACTCGTAGTCAACAACACTATAACTCATGCTTGAGCGAAGCTTATCTAACACACACACATCCTCTCCACAAGGTGCATCGCAGCCTTCTTGTGCTTAGGAGCACTAACCAGCATTTTAATACTACACTTGGGGGCCAGTTTGAATAGCAAAATCACCAACAGAAAGCACAAAAATGCAAAACACATAGCAGTAAAAGGACACTTATTTACTGTACAAGAGCTGAAAAAAGCATCCAGAGTGTTGCCTTGTTCCACCTCCACTGGAAACATGAGTGTCAGGCAGCGAAAATCTGCTGCTGCTCTGTGCATGTCTGCAAATGACCATGAAAGTGCAAGTATTGATTTGGGGGATTACAAATAAATTTCAGGTGTAGATAAGTTCACAAATACAGAATCTGCGAATAACGAGGATCGACTGAATATGGTATTTCACATTTATGACACTTGCTTATATGTGTGTGATACATGAATTACATTTATACATGCATGCATCTATATGTGATATATAAATTACATTTATACATGCATACATATATGATAGGCATGTTACATTTATACATGCATGCCTATATATTTATGAGATATACATTACTTTTATGCGTGCATATATTTTGATATCTGCTTTGCATTTATTCATGCATCTCCATGTGCTTATGTGCATACTGCTCTAAACACAAAGAGGGACTATATTGGGCAAAAGCCTTATTTAATATTTTTAATCATAACTATATTAAATGACTAGATTACAACATTTGTAGGGGAATAAAACTTTTGGAGGGAGAATCAGAAAATGTGTGACACTTGATCAACTTTCTGGGTTTGTTTTACATTTTTTATTACATGTGATGACGGCAGCAAAATGTTGACATTAATTCTCAGTGTTAGAACTATGTACACTGACCTTGGCTTTCTTACATAAGCCTTTAGAAAACCAGAACATTTTCCCAGCTACCTAACTACTATGAGTTTACCTTTCGCTAAATTTGTCCAAAATTCAGGCTCATTTTGACCCTGGGTGGATTCTGTTTAGAAAACAAAATAGAAGAGGATAACAAAATAAGGTAATTTGGCTTTAGTAGATTAGCGATAGAACATTCGTTCATTCATTTGTTAGTTTAGTCATTTAACAATAATACTTTTAGTTCCTACCCTGTGCCACCAAGACACAGGTCTTATGTTCAAGGAATACACTCTCAGTTTGGGAGGCAGACAAGCATCGCTGATAATTATGTTGCAGGATAATGAGGACTTTAATAGAAATGCACAGGTGGTTTTCAGAGGGACCTAATTCAGGTTGCAAAGGCCAGAATCCCTTCGAATGGGAGCTGATGCTGCCCTATAGGCTTAGAGGACTAGAAACTGCCAGGCAAACAAGGGGAGGGAGAGGTCATTCCACTGTGCACAAACTCAAGAGTCATGAGCAGGGTCAGTAAGCTCTGAGAGCTTCAGGCAGTCTGGAGTGAAGAACGTGGATGGGGAATGTGACCAGAGATGAGACTGGAAAGTTCTTGAATGGTCAGATCATTTCAGACTTGAATGCCTAGTTAAGAAGTTAGAACATGACCCCAAACCTAGTAGTAAATTACTAAAGATATTTAAGAAGGGGGATAGCAGAATGATCAGATTTCTATTTTTAAACTTATGAAAAAAGTGAATGTTTAAAAAAAATTTTTAGTAGTGTTAAAGATGCAAACGAATTCATAGTAATCATATAGAAACATACTTGGGTTGCATGAACAGGAGAAAACAGGGTTTCATGTAACGACAGGTCCATTGCCTTCAATTAGATCACTCATTCAAAACTTTAGAGGAAGCCATCCTGGGTTCATAGGGTTTCACAAATATTTTATAGGGAACAATATTCTTGGCAAGAGAGTAAAATGATGATTTTGATTTTGCAACCTCTCACTCCCAACACCCCCGGCAAAATAATTTTAGGAAACACTAATAATTGACTCTAACGAGACAAGTTTATTCCTCAAGCAGGTAGAAATTTTACATTATGAATAAAAAATTATATTAAAATGTATTAAGTATGTTTATATAAATATAAATTTATATTTAATGTAAATCTATAGTTAGTATAAACATAAATGTAATACATTTTATTAAAATAAAATCATATTTTAAAAGAGCTCACTTCCCATCCCTGGTCAGGTAAATCTGAAAACTGACTCTTAGATTTTCACTGTTTAAAAGATTTTAGGGGGCAGGCCCCGTGGCTGAGTGGTTAAGTTTGCGCATTCTGTTGCAGGGGGCCCAGTGTTTCATTGGTTCGAATCCTGGGCGCGGACATGGCACTGCTCATCAAACCACGCTGAGGCGGCATCCCACATGCCACAACTAGAAGGACCCACAACTAAGAATATACAACTATGTACCGGGGGACTCTGGGGAGAAAAAGGAAAAAAATAAAATCTTAAAAAAAAAAAAAAGATTTTAGAGTGACTGAATTGCAGCGGTACAAATTCTTTGAGCATGCTATTAGTCTATGAAATACTCAGAGGAGTGAAACCAAAATTTTTAAGTGATATAATGATATGCTCCAGGTATGACTACTGTGTAGTAACTTTAATACTTGGAATATTATTTTCAGTGGGTTCTTCAAAAGTTTCTTCTTCATTGGTGACACTTTCAGGAGGTGCTGTGGTTGTTTCATTGACAAGCTGATCTAGGAAAAGGGATAATGGATTATCAGCATGTAAAGATATTGATGCGACATCTGTGATTAGGCATATTTTTAAGCGAAAAAATGGAACAAAGAAAAGGAGACAGGAAAAAAAAGAAAAAGATGTTGACATTTTCCTGAGGTAACTTAAAGGAGGGGAAAGAAGAGGGCATTGAGGAATAAAGTTTTTATGATACTGGGTTGCCTGAGGTGGGATTAATATGCCACTAATTTGCAAGAGAGAGAATAAGCTGGAAGCGTGGGGCCACAGGCCTCCTCTGGAGGTGAGGAAGACCTGTTGGATGAGACACATTGGCTTCAGCTGGTTCCCTGCACAGGCCCTGAAGTGATATTCTCAGCCTAGGGCAGCTTGGTTGCTGGTGTGTAATGACACAGGAGACGGAGGTAGCATCAGCATCCTTGTAAATTGGAAACGTATGCAGTCTAACTACTCAAGACAGAGTTTTGGACTTAACGATTTGTGGCTACAAATCGAGTATTTTCAGGCCTGATTTAGTATATTTCTCAGTCTATAATGTGTCCCTCTGGAGACATGTCGGTAATGTATTTGGGAACAATTGTGACTGGAGAACCATTTTGTTTTCCCCATGAAGTTGGCCATTTCAGTTAACTTGGCTTAATACAGGAATCAGTGAAGTTTCATATGAAGTACAGGCGATCTCACCACAGGAGGAGTTGACAGAGAGGCAGAATTAATTCATACTGAGCCTACAAACAGCACCATTACAGGTATCTTGTTGGCAAAAACAGAATGGAAAGGAGAATCCATTAACAGAGGTGACACTGATCCAGGCAGGACTTCACAATTGATATGTAATCCTTAAATTCTGCAACCCTCATACTCTATTTTGGAGAAAAGTGTCTGGATTGCCTCAGCTCCTCTCCCTGCCCTCAGAGTCTTAGGGACTAAAAGAATCATTACTCAAATTATTCTGGAGATTTCCATCTCCTTGAGGGACTTGCTCTTCTAGAATATCCCCACCATGTCAGTATGTCTCCCTCTGTCAGAGTCGCATTTAAAATGACAACAATTTCTTGTCCCATCCAACTTCCTTTGACAATCCTTTGGGGACCTGAATTGTGGGAATAGAAGTTAGGGTATTAAAATCTCTTCCATGGGTCCTGTGGTCCTCAATAATCCATCTCCTAAAGGAATTTGAGGTCCCCGGTCTGTTTGAGAGCTGGCTCCCTCTGTCTTGTCCTAAACAACTCAAGATGTTGTTAGCTGTGTACAAGCAAAATTCCTGTAAGTGATTTGTTAATTAACGTACGCCCTTGAAATGTCCCTATCTAATTTATGTCCCAAGATTTGGAATTGCTCAAAATATTCCATTATTGTCAAGTGGCTCTATTAATAATTAGGCATTACTGAGTCAGGCTTTTCCCAATAATGAAATTGCGATAGCCAGAAACCTTCTCTTCCCTATTTAGTTTCATCCTCTTTTCCTTGTCTTCTGTTTTATGCTTGTGTGTTTCATAGATATGAACTGTTGACACCACAAGGTGAAGATGTGGTATGTGTACTTTGGAGACTTTTAATGGCCTCCAAAGTCAGATGCTGGCAATAGTTTTACCTACCAAATAGTTAACGCTTGGTGGAAAGATGCGAAAAGGAAATAAGACCATTTGAAGCTGAAGGTATAAAGCAGAAAGGAGTAAAAATGTGGGTCTAAGAAAGACATCCAATTTTCTAGAGTCCTAAATTTAGTTATTATTTGATTTTTCTTTCCATGCAAACCAAAGCTATGAGGCTAAGAAATGTAAGAAGCTCCTTGCCTTCTGAATTTATCAGTGCAATGGACATGCTATCTCCTTATTTAGGAACTAAGACTCCTTGACCTTTTTCCTATCCAAGACCCTCTGTGCTCTTGTGAAACCTTGCTTTAAGGGCTTTTCAATATTTGCATTGGCGCCTCTCAGTACTTACAGTTTTTAAAAGCAAAATTCAGATCGGTTGTTGCTCTCACGGATATTTCAGAGTGGGTGCCATTGGGATTTTGCGTCGTGAACACATCTGCAAGTGTAAGACCAAAAGTTTTCAGCAGCTAGCTAAACTTGTTCCTTTACACTATTCCCTCATCTGATTTTTTTTAAACATATGCACTAATTCCAAGAAAAGAACAATAAAGTATTTGGGACATTCTTCCTCTACTAAATAAAGTGGAGCAAGGGTCAAAAATTCATAGGGAAAAAAGCTAAACTAGTATCCTTCTGCTAAGTGACTCTTTCTGAGAAGAAATTACTGAAGAAATTGTGGAAAAACATATATAAGTGCGTAACAGGTGCTGAAGTAGATTTATAGATGTGTATTAGTATCACCATTTGTACTGACATGATCAAAGAGCTGAGTAAGAAGCATTTGTTTGCCTTGAACCTTCTGTTAGACTGTGGAACAGTTCAGCTTGAAAAGCATGTACTTTAATAACAATCAGGGTCTCCCGTCTGCATTCACATTCATGTATGCACATGGAAAATCCTGCTCTGAAGAGTTGTCAGTGGGGCTGATTGCAATTCAAAACTACTGGGCATATCCACCCAACCAGAGTCAAAGTAAACTGGACCAAGATGGCAGGCTGAACATACATACACGTCTCCTCTTTCCAAAATCTTATGAGATGACAAAATTTTATACACACATGAATGTATATACGTGTTTAATATGTACATACATATTCATTCTCCCCAGCACACACACACACAAAAACAGTGCCTTTAATAAACCATAATTTTTGAGGAATTTCTGAGCTAGATTTATGGAGAAATAAAAGGAAATCACAGCCCAACATTCATGTTATGAGTTATGAAACTACAGAAATCAAATTTATTAATTATTAATTTATGTAATTTATAGTTATATTTTATATAATTTATTAAAATTAATTTATAATTGGGGCTGGCCCCGTGGCCTAGTGGTTATGTTTGCGTGCTCTGCTGCAGGCGGCCCAGTGTTTCGTTGGTTCGAATCCTGGGTGCGGACATGGCACTGCTCATCAAACCACGCTGAGGCAGCATCCCACATGCCACAACTAGAAGGACCCACAACTAAGAATATACAACTATGTACCAGGGGGCTTTGGGGAGAAAAAGGAAAAAATAAAATCTTTAAAAAAAATTAATTTATAATTAATTTTTGCAGAGAAAGACAGATCAAAGAAACAATAAAAAGATAGCAATTGACCCAATTACAAATGAGAGTTTAGACTATATTAAATGTGAGTTTCACGTGAGTAGGGCATTGGTGGTAGACATTTGGCAATCCTCCTTGAAAAATATAAAGTTTTATGCCTATTTTATGCCATATACAGAAATAATTGGACTTAAGATGTAAGAGTCGAAATAAAAATATGAAATTACTCAAAAAATTAGGAACATAATTTAGTATCTTGCCTTGGGTAAGGCCTATCTAAGCAAGATCCAAAAGGCAGAAATTATAAAGAAATTAAGAATTGATTCTATAAAATCTGAAGTTTTCTCTGTGATTAAGATATCTAAACAGATTTAAAGATAAGCAACAGCATGGGAGAAAATACTTGCTACTTTTACTATAGAGAAAAGATTAATATACTAAATAAAAAAGAGCCCCTACAAATAAATGAAAACATAACCTAATACAAAAATGGGCAAAGGATATGAACAAGCAAATCATGGAAGTAGAAATAAAAATGCACATAAATACAAAGAAATACTCAATTTCACAGGTAGTCAGAGTGCAAATTGAAACTGATGAAAATTTATTCACAAAACATGATTAATAATGTTCACTGTAGATGAGATTGTGGGGCATTCTTGGGGGATGTAAATTGGTAGATACTTTTTGGAGAGCAACTTGGTGATATCTATCAATATTTTAAAAGATTTACCCTTTATTCAGCAATTCCAGCACTTGGTATCAATCCAAAGAGAACACCCAAGTGTCCACGAAAAGAATGTACAAGGAAAAAACTGCACCTGATCTAATTCCTTAATAAAATAGTGGATAAGTTATGGCACATCATTTTATGGAATACTATTTAGTCATGAAAAATAATGAGGCAGATGTGAAAAGAGCTCCAGAGATGTTGAATGAGAAAAGCAAGTTATAATACAATTCTTTAGTATGACCCTACCTATGTTTTTTATATATGTGTGTGTTTGTGTATATAAGAAAGATTTTTTGTTTGTTTGTTTTGCTGAGGAAGATTAGCCCTGAGCTAACATATGTGCCAGTCTTCCTCTACTTTATATGTGGGATGCCACCACAGTGTGACTGATGAGTGGTGTAGGTCCCTGCCTGGGATCTGAACCTACAAACCAGGACCACCAAAGCAGAACGTGCTGAGCTTAACCACTGTGCCACGGGGTCAGCCCCAAGATTTTTTTCTTTCATCAAAGTAATCATCAGGCTCTTGATTTATTTACCCTTTGGTTAATTCAAAATAGAGAGACATCCTGAAAAGGAACTGACTGCACCATTCTGCACACAGTGGAGGAAGCCTGGAGGTGGACAGACTAGACGCCCCTCCTGACTCTGCTTCTCAGTAGCAATGAAACCTGGCAATTGACCTCTCTGAGCATCAGGGGCTTTTTTCACCTACAAACAGGGAACATTGATTCGTTATAGAAAAAACAGAAAATACGACTTAGGCATTAGCGTTTCCAAAATGCTTGAGTGTATGTATATATATAGATATCTCTCTCTATATATATAGATATATATAGATATATCTTGATTGTATTTCTATTCTTTTTTGACTGATGTTAATACAGATCCCAGGATAATTAGATTTAATCTTGATTTTTAAATTTTTATCAAGAACTTATGAACTTTTCACTTTTTAGAACGGTGGACCTTATACGGACATGGAAAGAAAGCCCACGTGAGGAATGGTAAATAAACTAAAGTTTCATAGACCCTCCAAACATCTCAAAGTCATCCTGTTATGGGTGGAATTTTGGCCCACCCAAAGATAGGTTCTAGTCCTACCCCCAGTACCTCTGACAGTGACCTAATTTGAGCATGGGATCATTGAAGATGTATTTGGTTAAGATGAAGTCACCGTGGTGTGGGATGGGTTCCTAATCCGATGTGAATGGTGTTCTTCTGAGAAGAGAGAAATGTGGACACAGACACACAGGAAGAACATCATGAAAATGGAGGCAGAGACTGGTGTTCTGCTGCCACAAGCCAAGGAACGCCTGGAGCTCCCAGAGGCTGGAAGAGGATAGGAAAGCTCCTCGCCCAGAGGCTTTGGTGAGGGCCTGGCATGGCCCAAAGTTTGATTTTTGATTTCTGGCCTCCGGAACTGTGAGAGAATAAATTTTGGTTGCTTTGAGCCGCCCAGATTGTGGTACTTTGTTTCAGCAGCCCCAGGAAACTTGACAGACATCTCCAAATAAATCCTGGTGAACTCATCATAAATGAGGTCCATCGTTATCAATGTGAATAAATAACCATAATGCCAAGATGAACCCTATGTCAATTATAGACCGTTACCAACAGAACCTTGTTAAAGTTCATCTCATCTCATGAAAACAGTTGTAGGAAATAAGAATTTCATTTTACACACTGAAAAGTCTAAGTTAGAATTTAAGAAGTAGGAAATAAAGTGATTATTGGAGTTTTAAAAAGAGTTAAAAATAAACCAGTATAATCAGCTTCATATATGTACGGCTATTAACTTTAAAGACTTACATTGTTTTATATCTTTATAATAATTGCCACTTTTCTCATTAGCAGGAGTATTATCCTCATTTGCTAGTTCCTCTTTATTATCTTCTTCAGCTACAGGCATCATCATTTCAGGCTCTGAAAAAAGCATGACACACCATAGATCAGAAATACAGTCGTCCCTCGGTATCCGCAGGGGATCCGTTCCAGGAGGCCCCCCAGATATCAAAACCCGCGGGTGCTCCAGTATCCTTAGTCGGCCCTCAGTATCCGACGGTTCCGCATCCGCGGATTCAACCAACTGCGGATTGTAAACAGTACTACACGATCAGCAGTTGGTTGAATCCGCGGATGCGGAAGCGGCAGCTATGGAGTCCCTACTGTATGTTGATTTCTTTTACTACTTTCTTGTTCTAACTGCATTTTTTCACAAAGTATTTGAGGCGGAGATTTAAAATCTAAATTATACCATATTTCCAACAGTAAACTTTATATCATCCTAAGGAACATTCCCACGTACCAATTTTCTAGGATAATGGGTCATCTTTCTCATCTACCATTTCTGTGAAAGCTTTAAATGCTTACTCACCTTCACTTTTGGGAGTAAAGTCGCTAGTCTGTGAGGAGAAAACCCCGGGTAAAAAAAGAAACAATATAAAATTCATTGGGAAAACGATGTGCTTTCTCCAGTAACCTACTGCGTCTCCTCCGAATTTCCTGTCTCTGGCTCGGCAGGTCCTGTGCCCAGAGAGGACATTATGACGTCACTGCCAAACGGAGGTCGGAATCCTGGCGAGGAATCTCCAAAAGCTTCGTCTCAGCCTGATGTCTATTTTACCTTCGGTACTAGGATGGTTTTTTAGTTTTTCAAAAATAAACCATTGTTAAGATTGTCTTTGAAAATTAAGACATACGTTTTCATGAAATAATGTGAATTATTGCCCCTGGGCTTTAAAGAACCACTAATATGGTTGATAGTAAAATGAGAACAGACCTTTTTGGTTTTCAAAGCATTACAATATTGTATGTTGTTTTAGATTACTGCAATCAAACTATCTGTTAAAAACTCATCAGAGATACTAAGATTCAAGGCAAATTTGCTGCAAGTTCTGATTCATAGGCTATCTGAACTATAATTCTTTAGGAAAAGTTTTTGAAACTCATCTTTGTTGGGTTTTAAGACCTATATTCTTTATGAAATTAATATATTTGTTTTGCTTAAGACTTTTTTTTAACAATGAAACCCATCTTTTACCTCACATACAGATTGAGAAAATTGCCTAATATTTAGTTAGAAGAGGACTTAGGCATAGGTAATATTCTCCACATATTTCTCATATAATAACTCATATAGTGAGCAATAAAGGCAAGAAATCAAATGGACAATATCACCAATATTGCTCTTCATGATATTAAAGGATCACCAAACTTCCCTTCTCTCAATTTTAGTTATTGTTGAGGGATACCTCTCAGTGTTAGAGAACATTCATAATTAAAATGACACAAGCATCCGGGAAAAAGCGTGAATTTAAGAAGACTTGAAGGTTTTTTTCAGTGTAATGAATGCTCACAAATTACGTCCAACCTGTGGTCTCCACTGGGCATACCTGATGGACTGGAGAGGGAGCTCCCCAGGAAGCGAACAGCAGAGGAGGGTGAGGGGAGGTGAGAGGACGACTCCTCAAGGAGGAGATGGTCAGGATCAGAGCCTTGGTCAACCAAAGGGCGGTGGTCCTGTGTGTAGCACTGGTTTTCTTTCAGGTCTTCTAGCCCATTCTTAGGTGAGCGCTGGCAGGTGGAGAAGAGGTGTGAGTAAAGAGCAAGCAGGCCTCTGGGACCGTTTGCTTGGGTATCTGTCTAACAGACTGCAACACAGAAAAGGAGAGAGACCTGAAGCAAGCACGCCCCAGGTCGCTGCAAACACAGCTTGGGATGATGCAGCTCAGCCATCGTGAAACTTGGCAGAAAACACAGGCTCCCGGGGGAGAGGGGGCAGCCAATGGAACTACTGGTGGTATCTGGTGATGTTCTGGAGAAACATTACCACAATAGGCTCAAAGGCTGGCACAATGCTTGGCACATAACAGGTGCTTGAAAAATGAATGAAAACAACACTTTATTCAGTTCAGGAAGCACTTAAGTTCCAAAAGTCAACTACGCGTTTTCTAATGACAACAAAACAAAAATCTCTTGGTTGTTTTATCATCTATGCTTATCTCTGCTGAATCCTCTGATATTCTTAGGATAGTTATCTTTATTTTCTGATGTGACAAATTCTCTCTACAGGTAATTGAGTTGGTAGAGTACAGCTATGGTAGATTTTTTTTAAACATTGGATTTCATGAGACTAGGTTTGTTTAAAAGTTGATTCTAATTTTCCTTTATCCTATGATCAGTACCCTTTCTAGGTGTTATGGGTTGAATCGTGTCCCCCCAAATTCATATGTTGGAGTCTTAACCCCCCCGGTACCTCAGAATGTGACCACGTTTGGAGATGGGGTCATTGCACATGCAATTAGTTAAGATGAGGACAAACTGAAGTAGGGTGGGCCCCTACTATGATGCGACTGGTTTCTTACAGAATAGGGAGAGTTGGACCCAGACTCACACACAGGGAGAATGCCACAGGAGGTTGAAGGCAGAGATGGGGATGATGCTGCAGAAATGGAGGAACATCAAAGATTGCCAGCAAACCAGCAAAAACTAGGAGAGAGGTATGGAGCACATGCTCCCTCACAGCCCTCAGAAGGAACTGACCCTGCGACACCTTGGTCTCAGACTTCTAGACCCCAGAACTACGAGTTAACACATTCCTGTTGTTTAAGCCACTGAGTTTGTGCTACTTTGTTATGGCAGCCCTAGCAAACTAATACTAGATAAACCCTTTGGATCTTGGGAAGAGATTATGGAAACTAAAATGGAATGTGTCTTCACTGGATGTCATCGTTATTTTAGGCTGTGGTCAGTCATTCCATAAATGTAAATATTCCATTACTCAATATAGTAGAACATTTTCCTTAAAAAAAGGCTATATTTATTTTCTGTATATTAAACTATATTTTAAGTCTTTAAAGGATGCTCTAAGAAAGATCCATTGCTAATACCAAGAATGTCATTAGATATGCTTTATAATCTATGATTTTATTTTATTCCCCAAATGGTTTCATGTTTCTTGATTATGTCTGGATTACAACACCCTCTCCGGTTTCTGTGTCTTCTCCCACAAGAGCACTGGGCCTGGAGGCAGAGGGCATATATTTGGGTCTTAGTTCCATCACTTTCTGCCTGTTTGATCATGGGCAAGTCATGTCCTCTCTGATCCTTAATTTGCTTGTCTGGAAAATGGGTAAATTAAATATCATACCAAGTAGATATTTGAGTCATTTATTGGGTTGAATGTATTCCCTGAGTTTACTTCATAGTTATGTATTGATGATATATTTAGGTCTTCTCAGGTTCTGCAGACCTGTGTGTAGGGCAATGTCAGTGTAAATAATAAACTACACGTCTGTGGTTTACGTTGCCTCACCTCTCTGGCCTGATGCCCTTGCTGCATGGAAGGACAACTCTAGGAAGCAGAGTGGGCTTGTCTCTAAGAAACGTGTACAAGTGTCCATTTCCAAGCTCTCTTTGTTCCATTGGTGGCTCAGGGACAAGACAGCACGATCCTAGAAGGTCTGAGAACCTCAAGAAAAGAGAGTCATTTCTTGTCTGTAGGGTGGGGGGAGAGGTCACAGCAGTTCTGTCTTCAGGTCACAGTGGGGGCAGTGGCAGCAGCTAGGGTGGGCTGGCCTGGAGAGAGGGCTCCCTGCCCTCCCTCCCACCAGTGGTCATGCAAGCAGGGTCACATAGAGAGGGACCAGGTGGAGAAGGGTCGGGCTCCCCAAGCATATCAAGTACCTCTAGGCCTTCAGGCTCCCCAGGAGCTCCCCCCACCAACTCACAAACAAAAACAGCACACAGCTACTTCAAACAACTGCCTGACAACCAGGTCACTTCAGCCAGTGTCCTACTGAAGGCATACATGCTTTAACTATATTAGGGGAACCTAAAGGACTGGCTATTATTCTGAGATCTACTTTTTCTATTCTTTTTGAATGTTATTGAGGTCACATTGGTTTATAACATTATGTAAATTTCAGGTGAACATCATTATATTTCAGCTTCTGTATAGACCGCATTATGTTCACCACCAAAAGTCCAGTTGCCATCTGTCACCATATATATGTGCCCCTTTACCCCTTTCACCCTACCCCCTACTTCTTCTACTCTTTTGGTGTTGAAATGTCCTTTCTTCACCATGAAATAAGGGTGATGATAGATGGCAGCATTTCTAAGTCACTCTCCATTGTTTAATTTTAAATTTTCTAGGCCACGAAATCCAAACATCTGAGGATGAGAGAAAGGCGGTTGGCCATTCTTTCTACCCCTTGAAGAGCCTGAGTGGGGGCCTCACTGAAGAGAGGGGTTTAGTTCCTTCTGGTGGGGGTGGGCCGCCAGGGAGGGATCCTGAGGGGTGAAGAGGAAGGCGTTGTGATCTGGTGTGGGATTTAGAGAGAGCAGCCTGATTTCGGTTTGTGAAAAGTGGATGATGAGAGAAGATCCTGGACACAGGCAAAGTCCTTGCCTGGCTTTGGTACAGTCATGGCCCGAGGAAGGAGGGCCCGAAGCAGTGCAGGGCCGTGGGAATGGGAGATGAGGGGCCGCTTTGGCTTTGAGGCTAATTTTCTAAGAGTTTGGGCAGATCTTTCCCCTAAATTGCTGAAGCTTATCTGCCCTTTTGTCTTTCCATAATCTCATTAAAATAAGGAGGCTGCCCTTCAGGACAATCTTTCAAACAATGGGACAGAAAAGAAAAGGGTGCAATTTATGTTCCACTTTTTCTAAATACAAGCTTTTTTCTCCTTCTGCCAGCCACACTAGTCTGTTTTGGCAAGCTTCCATGGGTAATAGCTGCTTTCTCCATTCTGTATTCACAGATCGGCTGCATTTAAACTCTAGTAATTATCAGATTTCTTTGTGTCTGCAGATCCCCCGCATCTGGCCCTAATGCAAATCACATCATGGTAGTTACCAGACATGATTGGTACAAGAAGGGATGCTGAAGATTTGTATGGAAATGGGCAAAATTAGTCTTGTCAAAGGGCTTCTAAACCTAGGCATGAGAACAGGCAAAGCAGGGGAGTGCACCCAGCTCAAAGCGAGGGCACTGAGGTTGGCATGCACTTGCTCCTGTGAAACCCACGTAAGGATAGTGTTTGCGGGTAAGTTACTCTGTTGAGTAAGGGCCTCTTAAGCATGCTCAGCCATAGTACGGATGCAAACGTCTACTGCATTGGATTGAGTTTTCCTGTGCGTGTTCCAGTATAGGGCATTCCTATTGCCCAATTTGAGGAGAAAATATTTACTTTCCTCTCCTCGGTCTATACCAGTCTTCCTTGGTAGACTAAGGATGGTCAGTAACGAAACTGTTGTGTGGGACAGATGGAAGGGTGAAGCCCTCTGAATCAAAGGCCAAGAGCTTGGGGGCGGTCCAGTGGCACAGTGGTTAAGTTCGCACGTTCTGCTTCTCGGCAGCCTGGGGTTCGCCGGTTCAGATCCTGGGTGTAGACATGGCACCACTTGGCAAAAGCCATGCTGTGGTAGGCGTCCCACGTATAAAATAGAGGAAGATGGGCATGGATGTTAGCTCAGGGCCAGTCTTCCTCAGCAAAAAGAGGAAGATTGGCAGTAGTTAGCTCAGGGCT